TGCAGTTCCTATTTAAGGAGAGCGGGAAGGCTATTAATATCTTTCTACTGTTTCCACCTTTCTCCCCCCCCCCCCTCTCTCTGCTCGCAACGTACTCCCTCGCCCTCCTCGCTCTCCACAGGCTCACGCTCTTTCCTCCTAGTTTCTCTCCTCGTGTCTGGTTTGTTAGCACCTAGCTGCTGTTAGCATTGTGAAGTGTGTGTGTGTGTCTCTGCGTGTCACACTTTTGTAAACACAGTTAGAAATCCTGCATGTCTAAGGTGACATTTCTATAATATATATATATATATATATGCCATTGGAGAAGCGTTCCTGCTCTCATTGAGCTGTTTGTGGTACGTTTGCTGCAGCGGGTCTATATGTTTACCCCTGTGTGTCCTTGTGGAAGGTGTCACTGCAAGTGTGAGTTCGATAACTCAGCGTGGGTTTTGTTGTTTTTGTATGCGTGTTTGTGCGTCTGCAGCGTGTGCACAGGTAGCGGGTCAATCCCCGAGCGGTCGTCAGAGCTTCATTGATGCACGTGCACGCGGCTGGAGGTGCGGTAACATGACCCCCGCGCTGCCCTCCTTCACTTTATGTCCAACTTCATCCTTCCAGCCGCTCTTTCTTTTGCTCTTTGGCATCATTCTGACTTTCTCTTCACGCTTCTCTACCACGCTCTCATCCGTTTCTCTGTATTTTTCCCCTCTCGGTCTTCTTTGTCACCCTCTCCTCTCCCTCCGCCTCCTCTGTTGTGTGTAACTGATAGCTGCTTTATCATCCACAGCTGATTGAATCAAAGGTGCACTCTCCCACAATGCAGCTCCGCCTCACCCCGGCATTGGAAACACACATAGAAACACACGCCGCGCAACGCAGCGACACGCAATGTCACATATGGTGTATTAGCACTGGTTATGCCCATTTTATCTCACTTAAAAAAAAGGTTTCACAGTCCAGTCCAAGTAATGCGGGAGAGAGCTCCCGTCTCACTTATGGATGCTTACAGGAAAACAGCAGTAAAAGCACCCAGCCCAGCCTCCATTAACAGCAATCTGGCCGCCCTGTTAGTCTGCATGTATTTGTTGTCTCCCCCACGAGCCGCCCGATGGCCCTCTGGAGCTTCACGGGCCGTCAGCTACGTTGTGTGCACTTTACCCACGCTGGTTGGGGTGTGTGATGGGTTACCCACGCTGTACCGTATGCCGTATCTGGGATGTGAATGGGTAACACGAGTAACAACTGCCTGCTGCAGATGAAGAGTCATGTGCTCTCCTTCTTTCTTTCCGTCTCACTGTGCTTGCACTTTTCCCGATTCTGCACCGTGTGCATGAGACAAATTACACTCTGCCGGCTTTTTGGAAAAAAGTCCGATATTTTGTGTGCATATCGCAGATTCATCTTTCTAAAAGTTCTGGCAATTACTAACGCAGACAGCGTTACAATAAACCTCTTGAGCTGCTGAATGTTTATTTTATTCATCGTATCATCTTTTTGATTCGCTGCATGACCAATAGTGTATCCACACATCCGCATGTTACTTTACTTTACCCTCCCCTCACTCCAGGTGTGGCCACATGTTCGGGCCGGTTGAAGCGGATGATTCCCTCGTATTGAATACGCAGGAGCCGAGGCATTGTGATCTTTGACTCTAAGGAGATATTCATTGATTCATCTTATTGTCTTTGCCACGAGGGCATTATTCACGCTGATATTTGTATCCGTAAATCCTGAATTTGGATTCATTTCCAGATGTCTTTATTGAGATACTTCAATTGGAATACATTTTGTTGAGGCAGGTCAGTGAAGCACTCAGGCCTGAGCTGATTTTTTCCCTTGAGACCGGCTGCGCTGATTTGGTGGATTTTCACTGATGCTTTGAAGGAGAAAAGTGTGCCCTCAGCAGAAACCTGACTCCCTCTTCAGATGCATTGGTAATTGGCTTGAATATCATCTCACCCGTTTCAGTTATTTATCTATTTAATTATTATTATTTCAGTATTATTTGTTCATATATTTACTCAGTGGGAATGAACTACATTCAGTACGAGGTGCTTCAGCTAAACACTTGATACAGCGTGATCAAAGGGGACAACATATGTGCCATATATGTTCATAAGATTTACCACGAGGTTAGACCTCATGCTTGGAGGATGTTTCATTAGTAACCAATCCTTATAACTGACAGCCACAGGCCTGGGCAGATTTAATATAAGGAGACATGGTTGGTTTGGATGATTTGAAGTTACAGTAATGAAATAGAAGTGACAGGAATACCGTACGAACAATCATACCAACATATATTACGACGCCCGCCGGCAGCAACTCAGCGCGGCGTTTTGGAGTAGCTGCAAGTAAGCGAGAGCACCACATTCGGGAAAAACGTAAAGTTGCTTTTTGTAACTTAATTCTGCGGGGATGTTGCGTCTGCATTTTGTAAAAGCCAAACGGTCGATCGCTCCGTCTGTGCTGCGGCTCGTTTCCTGTCGTAAAGCACAACTCGCACGAAAGAAACCACCTAGAAGATGCTGCTCCAACTAATCGCCTCCTTATGGAAATCCACACAGCGCTTCAAGTTAATTGAGAGGAAAATGACAGACAGTTTAGTCAGCACATTACTCAGGTGATGAACGACCAAAATGCATTGTTTGAGTTACCCGAGTGTTTCCAAACCAACTCCTCTGCGGCTGGAACCATCCAGCGCGCATGCAGCCTGAGGGAACCGCTGAAGCCTCATTCGGGCCGGTCCTGTTTATTCACGCTTGGTATGACGTGTCTTCCTAGATGTCTTAAAATTTACCTAAATTGTGTCTTGCCATCTGCAAACGGTGCCAGCCAGGCAGACAAAACAAATCCAGCCCGAGAAGTGGCTCTTCCACTGACTCATGTGGTGACCAAACAGGGGTTTTGCAGAAGTTTGTCTTTTCAGTTTGACGGTTTCTGGAGAATCGGGGGGAGGAGCTCATCTCACTATTTAGTTCAGTTCAGCAGAAGAGTGACTATTCTGATTGTTGTTTCAACTGATAAACTAAGTAATTCTGGATCAAAATATTCTCTGATGAAATGAAGGTTCCTAATGTGCATTAATCAAAGGGTGTCACAAAAAAGATTGAACAGTTTCAAACCCCCGTGGTTTTAGTCTGAGAGTCTTCTAAATGATTGTCAGTGAGTTGCAAGATTCACTTCTTGTTTTTCTCTAATTGTTGCATTAATTCTATTGAATTGTGAACTATGATGCAGTTCAGTATTTCTTATTTTTTTCAAGCAGCAGCTTCTGCTTTCTTGACTCACACCAAACCGCTTTAAAAGCAGCTGTCGAAAATACGTTTTATATTTATTTCACAAACCTTAGTTTGATTTTGATTAAGCACCTGGCAGGTTTTTTTTGCTTGTATTTATGTACGTGGTTTAAAATAACAAAACGTTCAGTTTGCTTTTCTGAATCAACGTCATCAGTCCCACTTCAATGACACGACATGATATATTCCTACTTTTCACCAGAACCGTGATCTTTTCCACGCTGTGGCACAGTCACAACGTTGACCTCGTGTTTGGAACTCAAGGACACGTAAATGAGGCGTGCTGGGAGGGGGGGTGGCGGCCAGGGGAGGGGGGCATATTTAGGAAACGCTCCGCGGGTCGTATTAGAGGACGGGGAACAAACAAGTAACGGTAAGTCGATCGCATTACTAAGCGCAGAGAAAGGGCACCATTGTGTGAGGGCCGGGGCAGTGGTCCAGCATCCAGCAAGTGTTCTGTAACTTTGGGCCTGTGACATCTAGACCAGCTGGACCAGCAGCTGCCCCCCCCCTCCCCCCCCCTCACCGCTAATCCTTTCTGTCTGCCAGCTATTCACACGGCACCGAAGGTGCGAAGCGCTTCTGAGTGTTTGTGTGAGACTCTCGGGCCTCGCTCAGCTCCTGTTACCAAACATGTTGTCGTGCCACCGGTCACGTTGTTGTTGTTGTTGTTGTGTTACTGTTTATTCCAAAGATAATCCAAACCAAAGCCATCATGTTGATGTGATGTAACAAAAGAATGAAAGTTTTTAAGGTAAGGTCATTATACTAAATACAGGAAAATACAGAACAACTCTATTTACCTACTGCTGCAATTAAAGATAAATAACATAAAACACTTATGAAAAACGGAGAGAACATAAATTATACCTTTTTATTAACATACATTTTATTAACTTTACATCCTCACTGTCTGTAATTAAATTGCTCCTGCTAAAAGAACTCTGCTCTCTTTCTAATTTTGCTGCCAACAGTTCTCCTCTGAAACTTCTCCCCAAAACCTTTTCCACTGTTTAAGTGGGACAGAGTGTGGCGGTTGCCTCATCAAGCAGCTCACTCTTTTCAACATAAATGTTCTTCGTTTGAAGTTGTACTTAATGCATCGCCCTTAGTTTATTGGAGGTAGGTCATTTTTCACATCATGGAACAGCTGCACGGGAGAATTTCACTATTATCAAGCGCTTTGTGTGTAATCAGTGTTGGGCATTTAAAGGGATGTTGACAACTTGACGTCTATTCGAGACTTCCCTCCTCTCCTGAGTCACGGAAGTGTTTATACAATCATGAAAGCACCTCCAATATAAGACCCCTTTTACCAGAATTTATGTTGTGTTTTATTCTCAAACTGAAGTGGCCATTACGTATGAGGGACATTATTATTTTTACAGTACAGTCGTCCTGTGAAGGAAGTAACGGTAATCTATTCCAGTCGTTTATATCCAACCAAAACGAGATACTTTCACATTCAGTCGCATTAAACAACTCAGCTTGTGAACGTTGTTCTGATGCTCGTGCAAGTGACCGAATCTGACACAGCGAGCTCGTGTTCGCTGTTACAGATCAACACATCTTATCCTGCTTATGTGCGACCTTGTTTTTCTCTGTCGGTTAATCACTCAGCCTCAATTAGTCCGTTTGTTTTCGGTCTGCGGGGATTTATGAAACCCGGGAGTGTTATTTCTGTTGCGGTTGTTTTCAAATGTCTGTAACTGTGTGTTTCAGTTTTCTGCTGGTGTTCAGCTGCTTGGTGTTGTCTGTGTTCTCCACCATCCCCGACCACCAGAGGTTTGCCAACCAAGGCCTCTTCATCCTGGTACGACCTCCCTCTCTCTCTCTCTCACGTTTACATCCCTTCTTTTCTCTTTTTCCGATCAATCACCTGACCATTAGTGAACTTACACTCCGAAATAATGACAGATAGGTTCAGGGCACCTCAAACCGCCCGAATCATCTGCAAAAAAACAGAAAGTAAGACAAATACATAAGAGAGGCGTTTTAATAGAGTGTTGTAATATATCATTCATTTAAATGCTTTAAATTCATTTTTATGCTGTTATATAAAATATAACAACATAAAGTCGTTGCTTTGTATATTTTAGGCTTTATTTCACCAGCCAGGTCAAATGATGATGTGACATATGCTGCATAGCGTAGCACAAGTGCTGGTTATTTGAAAATGTACCTAACTTGATGCTCGCTTTGTTACTTTCTATGCTGCCGTATTCACCTTCATGTTCTCTTGATGAATACCAATGTGATGCTTTGAATATAATTATTAACTTGAATGTATTGTTGAAGGGGACAATTTTCTGTTGAGAAATTGAGACACATGCTAAACAAATGATACAGACATCCATAAAAAGTTTTATGGGTTGGTGGTGGAACATTTGTTTGAGTGATCGGCCAAAGTGTACGCTCACTTGACAGCTGCATGTCACTAACCTGTGTGTGTGTGTGTGTGTGTGTGTGTGCGTGATTTGTAGGAGTTTGTGATGATCGTGGTGTTTGGGTTGGAGTACTTCATCAGGATCTGGGCAGCTGGCTGTTGCTGCAGATACCGCGGATGGCAGGGACGGCTGAGATTTGCCAGGAAGCCTTTCTGTGTCATAGGTAGGTTTTGGTGTGTGTGTGTGTGTGTGTGTGAATGAGTTGGCAGTACAGTCCTGTGTGTGTTTTAGAATGCTTATTGTGATCATCTCTTTCCTAATATCTGCACAGACTTCATAGTGTTCGTGGCTTCGCTGGCGGTGATAGCGGCCGGGACGCAGGGCAACATCTTCGCCACGTCGGCCCTGCGCAGCATGCGCTTCCTGCAGATCCTGCGGATGGTTCGTATGGACCGTCGGGGAGGCACCTGGAAACTACTGGGCTCAGTGGTTTATGCTCACAGCAAGGTAGGAGTGACCTGACAAACGTAGGCCTCCTTTAGCACGTGCTGCACCACGAAGACACACTTTCTTAAGTTTGCATTACATTCTTAATGGCCACGTTTAGAGACACTGGTCAGGAATCATAGAGAAGGTATGATGAGTCATTATAACCACATACTGTCCATCTGGGATTTTTTATTAAAAAGCTGACGATGATGGTCATAATGGTTGCTAATGGGATGAATAACTTGAACATGTGGTGCATTAACTGATGACCAGCTGTAACTTGATTACTTTCACTGCCCTCAAACACCAAACTCTCCCTTTGCTGCATTTTGGGTAATTAGTTGGTGTTTTTTGTGGTGGCCTCACACCTGACAGCTGACCCCCTCCGGTCAGCTGCAGAACTTAGTGAGAGCGACGGTGGTGGTGAAGATGATGATGATGATGATGAATTGAAGTGTCAGCGGTCTCAGCAGATCTGTGCAGCCGAGTCAAAGTAGATTTGCAAATGTGATGATGACGGGAGACTTTAACCAATAATGATGATAGTGATACGGTAATGACGGCAGCAATAATTATGATGGTGGATATGCTGTTGTTGCTGGCAGTATGATGACAGGTGATGTATTCCTCCTCTCTGTGTACCTCTCAGGAGTTGATCACCGCCTGGTATATCGGTTTCCTGGTCCTGATCTTTGCCTCCTTTCTGGTGTACCTGGCTGAGAAAGACATCAACTCAGACTTCAACACCTACGCAGACTCCCTCTGGTGGGGGACCGTGAGTACTGCACGTCACACTCCGGCTTACGAGGGTCGTCAACACTGTATCATTAACATAAAGTGATGTCCGACAGGCAAAGATTATACAAACATGCAAGTCATGTGTGTAAGACACCTGGGAATAGTATGACTAAAAATAACAATGTAGATTGCATCTTTGGTTTTGATACACTCTCAAAACACAAAATATTCCCGTAGAATGACAATGATACAAAGCGCAGGTTTCTAGTTGTAGCTGTAGTTTCCCACACAGGCCGACAAAATGTCTTCGTCCACCCAGATTACCCTAACAACCATCGGCTACGGTGACAAGACGCCTCGTACTTGGCAGGGACGGCTCCTCGCCGCCGGCTTCGCTCTCCTGGGAGTCTCCTTCTTTTGCCCCTGCCTGCTGTAAGTCCCCTGTATGTCCACATCCATACGTCTACTCACAGCCCTGTCAGTGCCCCCCCCCCCCCACCCCCCCGACGACCTCTCGCTCCCCTGACTTGGATTTGACCTATGACCCCCCAGGGAATTCTGGGGTCAGGCTTTGCCTTGAAGGTTCAGGAGCAGCATCGACAGAAGCACTTTGAGAAGAGGAGGATGCCCGCCGCCAACCTGATACAGGTAACCGGCGCGGTGACTCTTTTGTTCTGTGGTGATATGGGAATCGCTCTAACGCGCTCCACTGTGTTTCCGCCTCTTCAGGCTGCGTGGCGTCTCTACTCTACGGATGCCAAACACTCCTATTTGACAGCTACATGGTACTTCTACGACAGCATGTTGCCTTCCTTCAGGTGAGCATCCGTCTACATGCTCCGAGCTGAGTGGACTCAACCGTGAGAATTAGGCCGTTGTCTTTGGTCAATTGTTTTTGACGTGTCGTGTGTAATAAATGCAGACGGTGATTTGAGAGCAGCATCGCAACAGTGAATTCTGAATAATCAGTGGTGGTTTTGTCGTTGCTGCGCATACATTTGTTATATTATTCAAATTCGCAACACGTATCAGACATGCAACCTTATAGCCTTAAAAGCCCCATTCAGATAAGTCTGGGCAATGGTAGTTTAAAGGGAACAAAATGTCCAGTGCTTGAATTTTTGTGTCTAAGGAGCGTACCGACCAACTGTGGAATAAGCCAGTCTGTTTTGCAGGCTGTCGAGATCAGCAAACATATATATATATTCAACCAGCCTTTTTGATTCGGCTCCACGTGCTATGTCACATGCAGTCTCATTCGAATACTCATCCTACGTACATCGGCTTGAGGACTGCCTTTGCAAAGGTGCACTGAAACACAGCCGTTCAGATAGAGCAAAGCATTACATTCTAGTAAAAGCAAAAACAATATTAACCTGAAAATGAGCATGATATGTCCCCTTTAAGTAAAATGGGATGTTTTTTCCCCAAATTTATAAATGATCATTCTTAATTTATTCTGGGCCGAGCCGTGATTCTGCCACCATTATCCAATTTGATTTTCATTACGTTCGTTGTATGCAGTGGTTTTGTATATTTTGCATTCATCTATTAATTTGACTAATTTGTGTTTGCTTAAAAGGAGGGGAACATGAGAAGCTCACATTGCATTGTTTGGAATAAAAGTCTTCACACACGTTATATTTCTCTCAATCATTCCTCTTCTTTTGAGCATTTGGACCATTGATTTGGCCTTTTTGTGTGTTTTTTCATATTTTGTTGTTTCTTTTTGTACATTTGTCATTTGTTTTGTTTTGTTTTGTTTATTTGTGCACGTGGGGGTGTCAGAGAACTGACGCTACTGTTCAGTCACCTCCAGCGACAGCGTAACACCAAGAAGGTCCTCCCCAGCTCCTACCACACGCTGCTGTCTGGGCTGCGGCCCTACAGCCTCCCCTACCTGTCAGGGGACAGGTACGCACCCCGCCACCTCTTACAGCCTCACGGCACACACAGACAGGTGGCCCAACGGCACCCGTGCCCCCTCCACCCGTGCACACAGACACCCAAACCCACTCAACACCGTAACAACAGGGACCCACAGAAGAATACATTCAACAGGTGCACAGAGGGAATAAACGTTGACTTGCTTCTCGAGCTTTCTGCACGGATGAATTGTGTAACTAACAATGTTTCACTAATGCTGATTTGCGACCACTGTGTTGCAGGCTCTCCCCCCCTCCCTCCCTCCCTCCCTTTTACTTGTTTGCATCTGTGTCTGCTAAGCTCGAACTCTTCTCCGCCGCCTCCCGCTGTTCACTCACTGGTTGCCTCTTCCTGTCTTCCTCTTTCTTTCCCTTTATTTCCATTGTGTCTTTTCTATGCCATCCATCCTCCATCTGTTCTCAGGAAGGCAGAAGTCCCATGCAGGTTTGTTCTCCAAGTCATGAGCTGTGCTTGTCTGTTAATGGGTATTTATTGTTGAGTGGATTTGCGGCGTTGGATTCATAAACTCTTTAGCATGAACCTGAAACGAAAACCAGGATAACAAAGGGCTGATTGTGTCAATTGGATCAGACTTGTGCATGCAGACGTTTAGAGAAGAACCGGAATAATTCAAGTTTAGCCAGTAGGAAAATGTCTTTGATCTGACGAGCTGCTGTCACACCATCATGTTTACCAGCCTCTTGATGAATATACTCTGCTGAAACGTGACCCACTGCCCTTGCATGACCCCACCTGCGGTTTAAATCCCGCCTCTTCACTTCTCACCGCCTCTGTCGCCATAATCCAAAACTGCCTTACACGAGAACATTATTCGGTGTTCGGTAAAGTAACGAGATCTGGAAGGAAAGGGGGCGTTGGGATTATTGAGATCTCACATTTCCCCCCCCCCGCACCTCATCTCCTTTCCCCGGCTTCCTCCTTTCCACCACTTTATCCTCACGTTGACCACGTACCCAGGTCATGTACCAGAACCTCCCCCGCCCCCTTCTTCATCCCCTCACCCTCTCTCCCTCTGCCTTGTGTGTTTTCTCAGTCAACTCCTTTCTAAAAAACGGGGTTTCTTCCGGATTCACGCCGGCCGCAAGCAGAGGTATCCATGGCAACAAGCTTGTGCACGCGGCACGCTGGAAATCGATGACACTACTCATACTCATTGAACGCACATCCTATACACTTTGCCTGAAACACTTAAACATTTGTGGACTATTGCAGCGGCTTTCAAATTATTTTTCTTACTTTTCAACCGCATCCTGCACTTATCAATCAAAAACTTAAAACAGGCGTTCGGCGCTGTACTCTGGTGCACAAATACTTGAGTGAATCCTCCGCTATCTCCAGCAAAGTCTTTACTGCTGTAGAAATGAGGGCTGATTTTGTTTGGTTTGGCTTGAAAGTCAGGATTCACCATGTGTTGAAAACACAACGGAAGTCCTCAATGGTGTATGTCAATGTGACAAAAACATCTGTTCCCAGTTAACTAACGTCCGATGAATTGCCACGTTCTTGGCTGGCTTTCTGTTTTCAATACAATCCTTTGGCTCATTCGTAGTGGCTTCTTGGAGAGAAGGCTTAAATGATTCAGCATGCTTTCACATTTCAGATTATCCATGAACCTTTCAGTAAAATTTGTGCCGTATTTTTAAAAGGTTTTTAAGTGCAAAAATGTTTTGTTTGCATGCAACCGTTTTTTTTTGGCAAGATTCAGCCCGTCGTCCTGAATTCATCCAAATTCATTTGCTCGCGCTGCATGCAAAGCTTTTTCACAATATCCTCACCTCCAGTCTACTTGCAACATTTCAGCTTGCTTGTATAAAATGCTACTACCACTAACACCCCTCCCCTCCCCCAATAACTATTTAAATTTTAATTTAAATGGCCAGCTGACACACACGCACGACAAAGAGTATATCATCGCAAACATGTGGGAGTGAACAACCGGGCTGGAATGGCTCTGTGGTGCATGATGTTCGCCTCGCCGTATGGATCCGTGACAACGTGTGACATGGAAAGAGGCTACGGAAAAACAGCAGTGTTCTCAAGAGGAGCCAATCTGCTGGAGAGAATTGGTGCCAAATAGCCTTCCTCCTGTAAATGGATGACATCACATACCAGCCGTCATTGGGCCGGTTGTGAGTGGTACAGAGTACTTAATGAGAAGCACTTTCTGCGCGGCTGCACTTTGAAGCTGATGTTTTTCATGCTTTTTCACTCCGTTGAAGGGATTAAGAAAGCGTGTCCTTTATTGTGATGGTGAGTGAAATATTTTCCGCCGGTCCAGCACTACTGGAATCGGGTTTCAATCGGACTTTGCTGAATCAGGTGCTTTGATAGGCAGATTAAATTAGCAAATCTGCAGGGCCGAATCATTTTTGCAATATTGCGTGTCCCTGTGGTCACACGGCCTTCCGGATAAGTCAGCTAGTCTGTCCTTGGTTGACATTTAATATAGATGTCTGTTTGTGTCCCTATTTTGAGTGTTGGTTTCTCTGATTTTTGTAAAAGTCGGGGCCATGTTTTGTTGTGTCACTTTAACTAACTCTTTTCTAACAGCCGTTCTGCTGCTGCACTAAACTAACAGCTTAGTTTTCCATAAAGGTCAAAGGCATGGACATTGTGATCATTGCGAAGAACCTATACTGATCCAAAAATTAACATTACAAACCCCTACAGATGTTTGACCATCTCATCTTCACTATCAGCAGTAAAATGGGCTTCCGGGATCGGATCAGGATGAACAATTCCCGATCCTCCCAAACCATTAGGAGCAAGGGGTCACCGCTGCCCCCGAGCTCCGGTGTCCGAGGCTCCCCCAGCCAGGAGAACGTCCCCGAGGCCATCAGCCCGGGGAAGGTCCAGAAGAGCTGGAGCTTCAACGACCGCACGCGCTTTCGCACCTCCCTCCGCCTTAAAACGCGCCCTCCTGTCGATGGTAGTCAATGCACACAAAGCCCACACACTTCACGACACTTCCCAAGGGTGTTCCCTGCATGATCATGTTTCTCCTTCTGTCCCGGCTCAGTGGAGGGGGTCGGGGAGGACAGTGTAGAAGACAAACCGTATTGTGATGTGTCCATGGAGGAGGTAATCCCGGCAGTGAAGACACTCATTCGGGCTGTAAGGTGAGTGCTGCCATCAACAGTTATGTTAGTTATACCTGCCATAACGTTTCTTAGTTTGGTCACTAAAATTAAATATTATATTAAAAAATATAAACAGTTGAGACCTTCTATTAAAATTGTAGTTTAATTGAAATAATTGAATAATATATTATCAATATCTCAAAGAAGAGTATTTAAACATGGCCGCTTCTTCCCGGTATTTGACTGCTTGCAATATTTGTTGCACCTGTTTGGGTTTCCGTCCGACGTGAGCAGATTCGGCTGATGAGGTAGAAATCTTAGGAGAGGTAACCGAGCCCTCCTGCAGGCTTAGTTCCCTCGGGCGACCTTGTGGCTCAGCAAGCGCCGCTCATTCAGACCAGACAGGTGGCGTGTCACGCATACGGGCTGGATGGATCTTTGCCGGTCTGGATGTTGATTGCCACCATTGCGTCACCTCTTTTTCGCTTGCAAGCTTTGATGCAATGACACATTAGTATGTCCGTCATGTCCTTACACAATGTGGGCTTAAACACTTTGGATGAATTCAGCGTACATTCATGAAGAGAAGCAGAAGCTCTGCACACCTAAACCTGGTACTTATAAATCATGCACGGTGAGGGAAGATATGCTCTGTTTGCAAATCTATGCCACAATTTAAATAATGAATAATGACTCATATGCAAAATGAGAAAATAAACAAGTTACCGTTCTGTGCTTCAGCTTTCCCATTTGGTTTACAACAATATCATAAATACAGCCTCTCCCAACCCTATGCATACCAACACACATCTACCAGCACACATACACTCCCTCCCAGAGTAGTAGCGTATATTTTTTTTACCAATGGTGGCAGGAAAAAAACCCTACAATTGGTAGCAAACATCTGGTGTTGTGGCCACGCTGGTCCTCAGTGAGGTTTAGGCCTTTATTAACTGTCTTCTGGGTCCCTGATGTCGATCTGATCCCTCAAAGCATTTCTCATAGTAGCAATATGCTGTGTGTGTGGTTCCAGATGCTCTCTAGAATGAAGAAGGGTATCTGTGTTGCCCTCAGCATAAGTCACCGAGGTCCTCCAGCATGCAGCTGTACCCAAAATATATTTTTTAAACTTTTTACAGCATCAGAGTCATCATCATCCCTCCCTCTGGTGGAGACTGAAACAACATTTTAGAACTGAAGCTGTTATATTGATCTGTGTCTGTCTTTTCAAGCCATCTTCCCTCGTAGGAAGTTGCAGTTCCTCTGCAGCCTCATTCATTCAGAGAGTTTGTTTCTGTGCACATGTTGAGTGCACATGAAGAAAAACACACCAAAGAAATCAGAGCTATCCCTTTAACCGAACGTCTCTTCTTTGTGGACCCGGCAGGTTCTGTAGATATTTTCGGGCCTGATATAATCGCTTGCTGTCATTAACATGCCACTGAGGGTATAATATGACTTCGCCTCACGTTTTGCACTTGACTCAGCAGATATCTCTGACCTCAGCTGCTCTGTGCTGCAGACAATAGAAGGGAGGGAGTTCCTATAGATAGTTCAGGTGTGTAAACAGCTGGTGCTCCACCGTGGTCACACACACACACACACACACACACACATGCATTCGCCTCGGCGAGTTCCATGATTGATGTTCGTGAAACACAGAATTTCGCATGCAGGCCTTAGTGCTGAGGCTTCACTTTGAAAAGGGCACACATGGTTTATCAGTGCCTGGTTGCCCAGATAAATGTGTACAGTGTTCTGTTTATATACGGAGGGAGAGAAGAAGAAGAAGAAGAATGGGAGGATGGGAAACCGATGTTTTTTGTACTTTTGTTGCGTTGTATACTTCTCTGTAGGAATGATTGAATGCACATACTGTATGCTTGTTTAGGTGTTTTTCTTAGCAGGTAGGTGAAGAATGAGCCCCTGCGCTGCCCCCCCCCCCCAACCCTCCCTTCCAGCCCCCTTTGACCCATAGGATCGCTGTCAGCATAACATTTACCGTTAAGGCGCAGATTAAACCCTGACATCGGAGACCATCAGTGATCCACCTTTGCTGAATTGCAAAAAATATTTGCACAAGCCACGCAAGCACTTTGGTGCAGATATGACACTTCCTGTCCCCCAATTTATTGATGTGTTTTTTCCTTCCTTACTTCCTTACATTAGGAAGGCATAATATGCCTTGGTGAGCCTTGCTAGCTGTATTGTACTACTGCTGTTGTACTACAGGTGCATGTAGTACTACTGCTGATGGCTGTTGTACTACAGGTGCATGTACGATGCCACTCCATTGACCAAGGAAAAGAGTCTGTGTTTGAAAAAGACCCTTGGAGGATACAAATCAAACCCTCCCCCTCTTTTTTTTTTTTTTTTACCCACACCTGAGACCCACCCTGGCTAAAGAAAAATGCATCTACCAGCAAAATGAGAATAAGACCGCCTGCAAAAATACCCCATATGCTGGAGTCATCAAGAAACCGAGTGCTGTGTGAGGAGAAGAGTACGCTGACGGCTGTTATAGCGCCAGCAGGAGACCGCCACTCCCCCCCCCCCCCCCCCCTCGGTCCACTACCCCTTCCCCGTCACACCTTCTTTCCTTCTTTGTTGCCGCACGGGTTGCCGCACGGGTCACCACACAAAACCGTGCGCCGTAAGTGACTGCTGCAAGTGCAAGCGCTGCAGACCTCAACAAAGGTTGCAATGATTATTTCAGAAACTGACCCCACAGTTGTGTACACAGATAGGTGTGTGTGTGTGTGTGTGTGTGTGTGTGTGTGTGTGTGTGTGTGTGTGTGTGAGTGAGTGTGACGTTGCCTCAGAACAGCTGAGTGCTCCTGATCTCTTCTGCTTCCCAGACCTTTGATGTGATTCCTTTTCTTTCTTCCTGTGAAGGAAAGTGGGAGTGTCGTAGTGGATTTAGTCCTCTGGTTGTGTGAGATAAAAAATAAATAAATAAAAATCCCCGCTTCATTGCCCTTCCACTCGCTCCCACTCCTCCTTCTCCCCCAGCGGACTGGTAGCACAGTACTTCACCTGCTGGGGCGACAGCTGCAGCGTGCACGTTTTTGTCCCGCGTACATTTGGTGATTCCAGTGCGTCTGCGGAGCATCTCCCAGCTGCCTATCGCCTAAGTGATAAGAAGGGAAATGAATCTCCCACCCGACGCAAAAACGCCGACATAAGAACTCGTACTCCCATACCATTATCTCTTGCACATCCTCCGCTCCCTACAGCACCACGCCCAGCCAGACGTACTCCGGCGGAAGGGGACATCAGCGGCATGTTTGCCGGGTAGTGTACATTCCTCGGTGTGTCTCCCCCACATTGAGACGTGGGTTGTGCGCTGGGAGAAGGAGCAGCTGTGGCACCAACATGGCTGTCAAACAGAGCAAGACACTGTTGCTTCTCTCTTTTTATTTTTCATTCATGCTAATTGCTGAAACAGCAAACACTGAGCAGCAACGGCCTGTGTGCGTTGTGTCATCGCCACAACACATTCACGTTGTCGAGCAGGCGGGCGACTCTGCTCTCTTTATGGGGGCTGCTGGCGGATGATAAGGTCACTCCGATGGTAATTAATCATGTTACTTTCAGGCGTCTCCCGCGTCGGTCGTCCTGCTCCTGCGTTCTTCAAAGGTTTACTGCGCGTCCACACGCGTGGGCGAACAGTAAACCTTTAAAGGTGTTCGGAGGAGTGATAACAGTGAGTGTTCCGTGTGCCGTGTAGGATCCTAAAGTTCCTCGTGGCCAAGAGGAAGTTCAAGGAGACGCTGCGTCCCTACGATGTGAAGGACGTCATAGAGCAGTACTCTGCTGGACACCTGGACATGCTGGGCCGCATCAAGAGCCTGCAGATGCGGTACGTTTCACGCAAGACATTGTATAAATCAGAAATGGTTTAAATCCTATAAGGAAAAAACGGTTGAAAAGATAACATTCCTCTATGATAATAGACAACTCTATTCTGTCTTCAGTATATTCATGGCAATATGTTTTCTTTTGTGTGAAAGGGTGGATCAGATAATTGGGCGAGGAGCCGTTCAGCCCGATAAGAAAGCGCGTACTGAAAAGGGAGAGAAAACTCCTCCGGAACTGGACCCACTGGATGAGCTGAGCATGATGGGTCGCGTTGTTAAGGTGGAGAAACAGGTAACAGAGGAAGAGTTCAAGTTATGTCGCAGTTATGTTTTTAAACATAAGATAAAACCAGAGATAAGAGGCGGTGTTGCCATTCATTTACTGTGTATACAACATTACGAATGGACATAAGGAGGAAAAAAACAGAAGCCAGTAATAGAAAATTAAAAAAAATAAATATATATAATATTCAGGTAGTATTAATAGTTGCAAACAATTGAAAGGTGCAGTAACAACAGCAGAAGGCGTGTTTGACTCTCTGAGAACTGTCGTGGACATGAGATGAAACGGAGCACCAAAGGAGATTGACACATGTACCTGTGCGTTTGTTCAGGTACAGTCCATAGAGAACAAGTTGGACCTCCTGCTCAGCTTCTACTCCCAGTGCCTCAAGAAAGGCTCGTCCCACTTCACCCTGTCCTCCCTCCTGGACCCCGAGCTGACATCTGACTACCACAGCCCCACGGACCAAAGAGACCTCTTCCCCTCCGCCAACACCCTCAACATCTCTGAGAGCGGCAACTTGGAGTGACATTGAGCTGAGCAGTCTGCAACAAAGACACCAGACCCTCTACAGTACGTCTTGCTGCGGCGGAGTCCACCCTTGATGGCGTCAATCACTTCATATCTGTCCGGGATCATTGATACTCTTCCATCTCAATTCTTTTAGCCTCAAACCGTGTTCCCGAAGTGGACGTGTTCCCAGAGCGGATGCAAACAGAGGCCACCAGGGGGCTCCACCTGTCAAGGGGCAGCAGCCAAAGCTGCTCCCCGAACACACCTCTCAGCCCACTGGATGAGGAGGACGGTGAAGACGACTTGACTACTGAACCTCCTTCACCTCTCCTTCGCCAGCTGTAGATAATCAGACGTTGAAAGTTTTGTAAATCTTTGGGGAAATCTTGCCCCCCTCCGTGCTTTCCCCCTTCGTCATTTAGTTTTTTTCTTGGCTGCTTGAATCAAATGAACGAGTCCGCTGACTCAGTTGTCATAAACAGTGCGGCAAGTGCCACGCCAGTCATCCGTCCACCTTGGGGTGACTCTGATGAATGTAATAGGTCCCTCCTGCAAATTCCCCACCACCAGGCAAACGGTTACGCACCAACCAACGGTTACGCTGCCTAAAAGTGCACGGGAGGCCTGTGCTTATGTAGGATGGAGCTTTTCACAAGTCAAAAATCCCATGAAATGTTCTGGAGGTGACTGAACCTCCCCGATGTGTTTCAGTCAGGTAAAATAGTGTTTCCACACGCCCACTTTAAACCTCTCTGTCTTGCAGCCCGCTCCCCAGATATGCATGTTACTTTAGACGAAACCTCGCGGCTGCCCAATTATGTTTGGTTCCATTCATGTCACACCTTTCTGCACTGCTGCCCATCGCTCGCATCTGACCCCCGGGTCAGGTTTTCCGTGTCAGCCGGTCCGCCTCTCCCTCGCCATAGTCCTCACGGTCACCAGGCGGCCTGCCATCATGCAGCAGCTCTGGAGATGACGCAGAAACCTTTTTGGCCACTTTTAAACAACCTGAAAGGTGTCTAGATCCAACGCAGGAACCCGTCTTAAGAGGTGGTTCCAGCCGCACAGCTTGACTATAATCACAGGGTGCAGGTTTGACACCCAAGGGTGTCCCTGACTGTTGTTGCCTGTCCACGTTACTCTCTTCTGTCTTTTCTGGTTCATCGTTGGGGGTGTTTGATGCACAGTTAACGCTCTGCGCTTATGGACAAAACTGGACAGTGCACAAAAGCACACACATACACACATTCACAAAGAAAGAAATTCCTTCACTTAAATACTTTGGCACTTGATGAATATTTTTGTTTTGTTTTCTCTTTTTGACTTGATTTGATTTCTGTAATTATGTTAAACACTCCATATTTTGTAAACTATAATGGCAGAAGTCTGTCTTTTTAATTATTTTGGTTTTTAGAGTGAACGTAGGATTTATGTTAATATATTTCAGTTAGATTGTTAAATACATGTAGCATTGTTGTCACGTCGAATCATGGATGACACAACTGTAACTACACACAGCTGATCAGGTTCAAGCTCACCACTCATGTATTTTCCCCGTCATCAGATAATCGATGCCAGCTTTTTGCAAGTAACATCAGTTCTTTTTAGAAGTGATTCATTTATATGTTCCAGTCCGACCAGGTGACTCAGGTGCTCCATTTTCCAGTGAATGTACTTACTTGGTTGGTCTCCTTAGATCTATTCATGCAACGGGGAATCAAATGGAACGTAATTCTTTGCATTTCTTTCATAGAAGACCTTTTTCCTTTAGCCTGAACTATAGCAAACTGAATAGAGGCATTATTAGACTGACCAGAGCTGTCACTTTACTGTCACCTGGAATGTTGAGCTTCATGAAAATATGAGACCACTGTATTGCATGTTAGTGGTGGCCCCAGTATTAGAAGAAAAGAATAACGTAAGAATGTCTCTTGTGGAGTCTTGGGTATAGACATGAAAGGAAATGACCTGTGCCTTCGATGTCCTCGTTCTGTAACACGGTGCGGCTTCCTGTCTCATACGGAAATGTCGCCGCTGCTCGGAGGAAGTGTTTCACGGGAGTTTCACACACGAACCGCTGTGCTCCCCCTTTCTCCAAACATCAAGCTATCTAAAGAAAGATCATCATTCATCTGAATATGATGTAATTGTTGTTGGAATTAGTTTTTTTACACGAATGCTGCAACTTCTTGGCATTGCCTGGGAATTTGACCGTACGTCCGGCACATCATTGCATCTCTACCGGCACCTCGTGGCATCGAGGCCCTTACAGTATTTGTCACAGGAAACTGTGCAGGCATGCGTCCTTTCATAAGCATGTCACATAGAGAGAGAAGTATGGCTTCCACACAACTACCTCTGAGGCCACTAGGGGGCGCTAGTCTAGAAAAACCAAGTATGACAAACAGTAACTGAATGTCTAACTGACTAAATGCTATGCATGACTCAATCTGCACGTTGTCTCTGTCACGCTGTTCTTCTTCATGACGGCCTTCCATCCATCATTCACTGACTTGCTGCCGTTTGACATTCCAGCTCGTTGCCCTTTAACTGCTCTTAGGTATTGGAACTGTTGTAAAATGAAACTGATCAAAGCAATAAGAAAAATGCTAAAGCCAACAAAGTCTTCCGATTCCAATCGATGTAGCTGCTGGTTGATGAAATATGGCGCTTATGTTATCTTCTAATCAAACGGACACCTCGATTTGATCTTTCAAAGAGGAACAAAAATGAGTTTCTACTGAGGATAATATCAGCTCACCTGACTAACTTATTAATTTATTTGTTTCAATAAAGTTCTTTGGACTGTACGTTGACTCCGGTCTCTTCTTGTCAGTGAATCGACGGGCCCTTTTCACAGAAGCCACGTGAGACACACACAGATGATCAATTACACCTGTTGACCCCGCTGCGACGTGTCAATCCACATGTCCGTCCATTTCATCAACATTGTGATGTGATCAAAACCGTTCTAAATCCTAATTAAAAGGGAAAGACGGCCCACAACCACAACCTCATCTTATGTGAAAGTGTTTTATTGTAATATTGAGTTTTCTAACATGTAGTTAGAGTGAAATCTTGGTGGTGATATCTTTTTCAATATAATCACAAACATGCTCAACCTCCTGTGAAATCAGGCATCGAGTCATTTTAAGGCTTTTTAACAGCATTCTATTGACATACTTGAGTAGAGGAAAACAATGAATCCTCATTTATAACACAATTCATTGTGTACGACTTGCTTCTGGATACGTCTCCAAGTCCTCAGCTCACCTGCTTCTACGTGCACATGTTTCCTACGCCGTAGCAGTGGTAGAACAAAGTCACGTGTCGTTTGAAGGGGTCGACAATCGCAAAGGCGAACGTCTGCTCCTCCTCTCGTCTTTGGGGGTAACATCGCCCGGACTCGTCCTGCAGAGGGATTATTAATGCATTACACGTGTGTAAATAACAAGCCTCTCGCGTGGGTGAAGGACCGTCTTTGAGGACAGCATTCAATCAGTCACTTACGTAGGCGCGGACCTTAAGGACTGTGGAGACAACGCTGATCTTTTTTGTCTCTGGATCCTTCTGAACACTGCAGAGTAACGGGCAGAATTACCGTGTTATTGTTCGAATTCTACGCATCTAATGACATGATCAATAATTCTTCTGGTGTTTATATTGCTGGACAGAATGGAAGTGTGGCAGCGAATACACAGTAAAGACTCGGCCCACCTGATCAGGTCTTTGTAGATTCGCTTGGTTGTGCTGAGGTAAGGATCTATGGTGTCTTCATACTGACAGAGCTCTCCCCCGACACACAGGTGCTTGAAGAGGAGGAACAGAAACTCTCCTCGCTCCTCCTTCCCGACCACATGGTAATGCTCAGAGTCCTCCTCGCGCAACATCTAGGAGAACAGAGGGAGACTTTCCCTGATCCCCATGTCTAATGAGATAAGGGACGGGTGAGTGGATTGGATTGGTAATAAGAGAGAGCGACCTGTCTTAGTTCATCGTAGTCGGGGTGGACATCATGAAAGCATTTAACCAGATGTCCCGAGGGCCTCACAACCCCACAAGAGTAGAATGGGTCAAACAGCTCCATGGAGACATGTGTGCACTGCACCGGCTCCACATCAACAGACACCACTGGCTTGTCTACGCAACAAACACACACACAAGTCAAAAAACATTCCACTGAGATTTGACAGCAAACCATATCCAGCAGATGAGATCAATTTCCTACTGTGAGTAATGAAAGGCTTTCTGGGGGTCACGACATACCGAGGGGCAGCCAGGCTCCGGCCTCCATCCTCCTCAGAGTGGATACCACGTTGGGGTCTCTGAAGAAGGACTGCATGAGACGGAGGGACATCAGAAGCAATGGTCAAACATGCCGTGACACTTAATCAGAGGAGGCAACGCGTGTCTAAACACATCGATCACGATAGGATGGAATATAGGATCGGCTTCACTTTCAGTTTTTCGGTTACATCTCACGAAAGGGTCTTACCAGTACAAATGTCTCGCTGTTGTAAGGGTGAAAGCACTGGTCGAAGCTGTAGGACTGAGCCGAAAGCCTCCCCAGCATGGACCTGAAACCAGCACACACACATCCGTCACACGATCATGGTCACCTACAGCTACTGTCACTGAAAGACGGATGAAGGAGAGGACTTTTAACCATTTCATCAGGAGTTTTAAAATGTCTCGGTCCTGTAGGAATGACGGCGTCTTTGAGGAAAGATGATTAAAAGAAAAAGTCTGCTCAAACGGCCAATTTTCTCGTGCCATGTTTGAACTCTTGCTCTAAACAGACTAAACAGCGACGACTCACTCGTGTTCGCAAATAAGCGAAAAGAGTTTTAGGCGTCTACGGACCAATCAGCGGCCGGGGTGCTCCCTATTGACCAATCAGCGCCCCGCTCGGACGGGTTTCTCCTGTGGCCCGGAAATGCTGGCGGAGTGGCCGCCTTTCTCTCCCCCCTCATCTCAGCGGCTTCGTGTACTTGTTGCCTAGGCAACGGAAACTTTTGCCTCACAAAAAGTTTAGCTAGCGTCGCCATCGTCCTTACTTTTGACTTAATATACCCTCGTGGTTTGTTTGCATTGCTTGTGTCCTCGAAATGTATCGAATTTCTAACGTTACTACCTCCAGCAGAGGACGTCTACCTGAGGGACAGGCGACATATGTCCCCACGGCCGCTAGAGAGCGTCCCTGTCCCGCTTTAGAAAGACACCGTGCGAGCTACTTGCAGTGTTTCTGATGTGTTGCAGAGGCCTTTCCTCTGTCTTTCCTCTTCGGATGCAGCAGGCAGTGTGTCCAAACAATCTCAGCTCAAGTTAACTGGCTTCCTTCTTCTGAATGAGGACCATGAGATTCAGTTGAAAGCACCAACATGAATGAGAAGAAAGACTATCGAATAAGTGGGCCTTTATTTGAGATTATATAAAATATAATAAAACGAATGGCTTATTAATTCATGTGGTATTTGTCTAATTATTGAGCATATTGTCACATCCATCTCCTTTTTCTTACATACATTCTTGTATGTGTACTTTTTGCTTTGCTGTCTGAACTGAAGCAAAGATTCATCTCAAGGTAATTTCTTAAACCAACCCGTGTTTTATATTTCAGATGGCTAAATGCTCCCTTTTAAATTTAGTCAAACTCGAAAAGTGCAGTTATGCATTGTTGTTTTTTGCCCCCCCCCATCCAAAGGGCACTGTGTCTTTGGCTGTCTCTCACCAGTTCAGGATGATATGCTGCAAATGCTTCGGAGCTTGTAAATCATACATGTTTTTACTCCCCCTCCACCCACGGTCCAAATACTCACGTCATTCCAAACATTCCAAGATGGTGGAGGATGTTGCATCCTTCTTATCCGCATTCCGGTATAGGGCGCCTGGACCCGGGTGTTCTCCATAAGGAGAGGCGGTAATATCCGGCGTGGACATCCTGAAGTTATAATAATGTAACCATGTTGTGTCTCTTTTCAATTGTCATTTAATGGTTAAAGTTGTATGTTAAAATGTATCACTGTCCCTATTCTGCCTTACTAGAAATGTGGTTTGACGTATAAACCCACTGGCCTTATTAGAGCAACCTGAAACTACTGATGATAATTGGACAAATAAACTCAATTGTATTTAAATGCTATGCTCTCACAATATAATCAGACAGCCTGGGATAATGTAGTCTGTCTAGACGGTGACAAGCATAATGCAGAGGATGTATGATGGGCCAAAGAGTGGCCCAAATCCAGCTGTTACAGCCAGAAGAGGGGATTGAAGGGAAGAGAAAAGTGTGCCAAATTGATGTTTTGATACCGTACAGCTAGGCTATAACCTGATATAATTGAGCAAAGTCATTCAAGCCAAAGTGTTATTCGCCATCTGGTAATTGCACTTGATTCATGCCCATTAGACCTATCAGGATCAAAACCAGAAAAAACATGGCAGGCATGAAGGCGAGGCAGGTGTGAAGATGTAACAGCTGAGGAATGTTTGCTTTCGTTGATATGTTTCCGTGACAGTTGTACAGATTAAAGACCAGATATTGAACTTAGTTGAATGATAATAATTGCGTCCGCCTCATTACAGAGCAGCTTTTACTAGTGTCTGTCCAAAAAACCTCCAAAGCCACTGTACAAAAATAAACTCATACAGGACACTGCTGTTATGGCCTCTGACATTTTTTAAATTCATCTGGTATTTTAAGGACCTTTTAGGAGTTATTACAAGCTCTTTGTAGTATTTTTCAGAGTTAGTATATTTTAATGTACACTTTGTAACACAAGGAATTGAAATCCCCCTATCCCCCTATTCCTTTAAAACAACATGTTTAGACTTTCTTTTTGTCTGCTTAGAGTTTTATGAGAGTATTTCGGTTGAGTTGACTGGACATTATGTCTTTGTCATTTAAAAGATTCTGCCTACGGCCCCCAGCTAGAAATATGTGTCATCATGACAAATGTGGTCCTGGAGGCTCCAACTACAGAAGCAGTTTTCAGTCCTTTTCCAGGTGTTTAATTATGGACCTTTTTTTAACAGCTTGATGAGATGGTTTACATCTTACCGCTGTGCAAAATGGTCTATTTTAACTAGCTAAGTTTTAACTTTGATTTTAAATTTAAACATTTTAACCGACCCTCTTTATACTTTTAATTTTATTAAATTTCTTTAAAGAAAGAGTAGTTTAATACTAAACAATACGCAACTGTTATTGAGAGAAAAGAACCAAGGGAGAAAGAGCTGTGACCGGACTTGGAGAGCAATGGAAAAATCCTGCTGGAGTATTTACATGATGAACGTATCGGTAAACAAATTCATGTGATCATCAAGTGACCCCTCAGATTTATTAGAGGAGGTTGTCGAGGGTTCAAAACCCCAGGTTGAGAACCTGCATGCAAATGAGATAAATGGGACAATCAGATGTTCAGAAGTCAGCGTTACCTTGTTGTGTCTTCCTATGGACACACTCCACACACAATTTTATTTGGTCTGTGAGATCTTGTGGCAATCCCAGAGGAGTCATGCAGGGACACGCTGAGGAGAATGAATACGGAGGAGGGGGATGGAGATGGAAGGGGAATGTCGAGGGGCCGCAGGTAGATGGATAAGACCCTCCCAGATGTGTCTGTGTGCCTCTAGAACCCAATGCTGCTGCCCGCAACTTCACCTCAAATGTTATGATGGAGAACACGAGTGATCAGATAAGGTCTTTAACGGTCAAAGGTCAGGATCATTACATGGAGTGGCAGGTTTATGGGTTTGGACTAATAGCTGTATACCTTTTAAGTTTAACTTTCCAAAGGATGTACATACACAAATACACAAAAACAACAAATATGGTCTTCTCTCACTAGTTATTTCTGTCAATCTTTAGCAGAGCTTAGAAAATATGAATTTGCTGCTACCTGAACATAAGAGCTAAAAAACATTTTATTTTTTAAGGAAGAACACAGAAATCACATTCCATAAAAATATTTGATATCAAAATGTTATCTTTTGCTAAAAAACTTCAGCACCATCAAATTGTAATTAGCTCTGAAAACACTGTTTGTTGTTGCTCACACTTTCCTGTCATTACAATATTATTTTTTTGAGCAACATGGTTCTGGCTCTAGTCAAGCTACACAGAAAAAAAGAACAGCGTGTGGATGATGAATAGGTATAAATTCTGAAAGGAAACGGCATGATTGAAAAATGATGTGCAAATCTCTTCAGCAATAACACAATTATTTGAATGTGACTGTTTTTTACGGACATGGAATAAACTCTGCTGCATTTTATATTAAGTGCATTTCACATCAACAACCCCCTGCATTTATCTCTCGGGCTCCTTCACCCTCTTGACATTTGGCAGACAACCCCGAACGCTCTGCCTCTCCGCACTTCCGTTCTTCCCCATCTCTGTGCCGGTCTCCGTGGTGACGCTTTGTGTACGGCGGGCCCGACATGGAACGCGAGGCTGGATTTTCCGCAGGCGTCCGTGGAATCTAATCTGTTGCAGCCTGTTGTTGCCTCGCAGGGAGACAATCTCGCTGCTGTGACATCGACTGGTAAACAAGGAGGGCTGTGCTGCCCCTGACCGCTGCCTCCTGCCCAACGCAGGGCTCCCACGGCCATGTGTGTGTGTGTGTGCATGCTTATAAAAATGCCCTCACACACACTTCCTGGAACCATTGAGACCACAGAGTCAATTTTAAACAATTCCCTGGACTAACTGAAAAGTGGGAGCGATAAGAGATCAAATTAAAAGAGAATGTCTGATATTGGCCTGAAATAACAGAGAACAAGATCAAATGTTTATTTGGCCGAAATAAATGTTTTCTAAGGATGTTTATTTACTGTTGTAGACCCAGTGGCGATCGGTAGGTGGCTTGTGTATCAGAAGGAGTAAACGAGAAGCAATAAAGCGATAAACGCAGGAGAGGTGAGGAGCGCTGCTGATGCTGATGCTGACGGCCCCTGAGGTTCACCGTTGGCTCTCTGATCCGCAGTCGGCTCCAAATAAAACAAAACTCTTCCTGCAGGCTGAACCCACGCCCACGTTTGAAGATATACTCTCAAAGAAATCAAGCTGTATACGAGTGCCGATGCAATGAGTCATACTGCTCAGGCTTCCCTGGATGGGAAGCGTTAAAGGATAAACACTGAACATCTGCCAGCATGATTTGTATTGTGTGAACAGCATTTTGTGTTCTCTGTGAATTTATTTTACCTGATGGTACGATGGCAAAATAATTGTATATCACAATATCTAGATATATTTTCCCATCGGGATATGATTCCATAGAAAATGAGCAAATAGCAAGCTTTGGTGCTTGGCTGCCATGGTGATACTGAGATACTTACACACCGTTTCTGTGCAATCATACTCCAAGAGGACGGTTGAATAAAACATTGGTGAAAAGCTACATTGCGTTACTTAAACCTAACCTCAAAGAAAGTAATTCAACATCTCTGCACTGCCCCCAGGTTGTGATTCTATTCAAGTGATTTGTGATTTACAAACGCTAGGCGGTACCTTTAATGGGATCCTCAGGACAGGCCTGGGTGATGCATTAGGCTCCATTAGGAGAGATGAGTACCCTCAATGAACGGATGGATGGCCTGATGAGCGCGGACCTGACGGGTATTGATCAACCATCACAGCTTCAGTCAGTCCCCGCGGAGCCGGGGTTGAGGGGTGCACCACCTGATGCCTCCTCTTTTCTTTTTGATTAAAGCCAAGCGATGACATCACAGACCAGGGAGAGTGTCCACGGGCGGATCCATGAGGAGCCTTTGCTCTCTTCTCCCAGAGGATACACCAGATGCTCAAAGGTTTCCTCCTTTGTCCATTGTAACTCACTCGGATGTCCAGAATCTCTTCCCGCCCCCCACCCCGAGTGAGTCTTCCAGTCGACACAGTTTGTGCAACTAGTGAGTAAGATTACATCAGAGATGTGTGTGCACAGCTGGAAAGTACAAAACAATCTAAGAAACAAGCCCCTGCTCTCCTCGTACAGTAACTTCTGCATGTTACTACAAAAGGCATGGACTTGTTTCATGATGTGTAATCTTTGGCACTGACGATAACAAGCAGTGTAATTTAAAGTAAAACGATATCTTATTGGAGTAATTTATAGTGATTGTAATCTGATTGATGGAGTCATCGACCTACGAGCCCACTCTGGTCCCACCATAGGTCGTTTACTTTATGTGTGCGAGGGCTTTCCTGCATGTGGTTTTTTGTGTTTTAGGGTTAAGCTTGGTGCAATATTATTTTACAGTTTAGAGATAAAATTACTCTCAAATGTTATGTGTTGTTATACCCTCATTAATGAATGACAAATATGTTATATGCAGTCTTGGAATAATGCTAAGTGTTGCTTGTAATGGCAAAAAATACAAAAAATAAATGCTTTGTATAACCAGTTTATTAAGTGCTGGGATGGGGGGGCCGGTGGGTGTCTCGCATTGATAAGATGTCCTGGCTGTAGAGACACAACAAGTTGGTTCTCATGTGTTGGATGTAAGTTTTCTGTTGATGATCTGTAACTGAACGGCCTTGCCCCGCTGTGGGGGCAGAAAGATATTCTCGGCAGTCTACTGAGCACGTAGTGACATTTTTTCCTTGCAAGAAAATAAACGGAGAAAGACATATTTGATTCAGAGCCCTATTCTTATTTACCGACTGTCTGCAAAATCTTCCATCGCACACCATGCTTAACATTACTGCACGTAGCGCTCATCCTCATATACTCATCTGATGAGCTGTTGTTTTTATGAATTGTGTCAACCAAAACATAATTTTACTGACTTGAATGAAGTTCCGATATTTTGAGCAATTAGCTTTTCTCTGTCAGCATCTATTTGCCAATTTGTGGTTTCACTATTGATTTGAGTCATTTGAGACAAGGTGACAGACAGAGTGATATTTACTTTACACGCTGAGCAATCGATTTCTTCATCACATGATGGTGAATGTGTTTGACACTGACGGGAACTGGAAACCGTTTTTTCTCTGGGTTTTTATACGCAAAATGTCGTACAGTTAACGGTCACCATTCTAAAGGAAATGATTCCTGCAACATTGTCTACTAGAAGATACGTTTATGTATTAATGATTTTAGGAGCCGATATATATTGATGTAATGCTGCTTGCTCACATGTTCATAAACATAAAAGGTGTGACATAAAACTGTTTTAATGCACATTTGGAAAGTACAACAATAACGCAGCATGTAGATGAGAAATAGTGGAGTAATGAGAATACAGGCCACTGAAATGCTCTTCGTCCTAAATAATGCGCTTTAACTAAACTTTAGTAAAAGATCATGGTCTTGGTTGAACATCGAGGAAAACTCAAAAGAGACTTAAAACACAGGAAATAATATGTTGATTTTATACACATTTAATCCCCTTTGTTCCACAGTCCGTAACCAAAGGGCTTTTGTTGCCTAACATCACCACACACGTCACGGAAGATGCTGCTTTAATGCGTCAGAGTCACGACGAGTTCCTTCATTTCCTATGTTTCTATAGAAACATAAAATGAGTAGCACATTAATATAATTTCCTCCCTTTCTCCGTTATTCCTCCTGTGTATAACAGTGAAACCGAGTGACGTATCATCTTGTGTATCAGCGTGTATCTCTATTGTTTTAACTTAGTTGTTACTGTCATGTTATTTGCCCTTCAACTTGTTTTCTCTTGGAGAGATTCTCAACAGAAGCAAATATAAATCCCCTCGAAATGTTTCAAAGTGACCTGAGCGACAGGATCATGGAGCGAAAGGGGACCAGTATAGATGTGTCTCATACGAAGTATGAAGTTGTTTGTGTTGGAGTTGTGTTGTCACGTGCCGTAACTCCAGCTGCAGAATAGAAAGAACAAACAGTACAGAGAAAACTCTGACAGTCCCCCAAACGTCTGTGCTTCTCATCAACACTGCCACGTGGGTGTGTTTCCATCCACCTGCTGCTGCTAACAGAGTCCAAAAACCCACAAAACAATTGTTTGTTGTTGGAGCACTCTGTGCACGCGTGTGGCGCCAGCACGCACACCCTTGTTTTCGACCGGCCGCAGTCGTCCCGCATGTTCCTGGAACAGGAAGGACCACGCCGGGCTGGACCAGGACACGTGTCCACTCCCCCACGGGGTCAGGGAAGGAGACCTCCACCCTGTGACGGTGCCGCTGGGATTCCCGGACTTACTGCATCATGGGCCGATTGTGATGCACTGATCGGCTGAATGAGAGGGATTGTTCCTCAGCATGACTGTGTGTGTTTGTGTGTTTGTGTGTCGGGCCCACGCCATACGTCTGTCAAGTCCAAAGTCACTTCTTTATTATTCCTAAAGTTTCCTTTTTAACACATTTATTGTCCATTTCTACAAATGCACGTCTATTTGTGTGCACGTGAGCGTGTGCGTTGCCTTTCCCTGTAGCGTCCTACACTGAGGGTTCTTTGTGTGTGCATTCTATTGCTGCCATGTGTCCTCAGCCTCCTCAATTCAGTCTATTTTCAGGGAAATTACCTCACAAACAGAAGCACCTCTGATCTCATATGTGGTTCTTCTTATCTGCCGAATGACTGATCCCGGTTAAACATCTGGAGGCCTTGTTAAAGCCTGAGTCACCACTGGGTGCGTCGGGCTCAACCGTGCACACATCAAATGTATACCCATGTGTAAGTCTTACAACACCCCGTCTAAGGGTCTTGTGAAACATACAGCGGCCGTCAGAGGTGATTCACTCACTGCGTCTTTGGCGATGAATTGGAAATGAATCACTTCCACTCGGTGCTCTGGTGACTTCCTCCTCTGATTGACGGGGGTTATCTAAGCTTTGTCTCGCACATACGTGTTCTCCTAGGCCTCATGACCTTCTATACATGACTCATTTGCTGCCAGTATATGTGGGAGATTCTTTACATTGCTTCACCTGTAACTGAATCTACCTTCACTGGGTGGTAAAAGGACTTTTAGAGTAAAACTAAGACACAGCTTGGAGCACCTTTCTTCAGGAGGTTGCGTGAGCGGTGTTACAGTCATAATTATAGTGTACGAAGCGAATGTGTTGCCCAACTTTGCTCCCATTAGACTGTCAGAGAGTCTCTTTCACTTCTGCCTTCTATCGGCGTTTTTAGTCTTACAGGTTACTGAATCAGATGATTGATTAATCACACGTTCATGTCTAGTTATGCTCCAATCAGGCTTTTAGGCAGGATGCCAGAACATTACAGAAGGCTGAATCTCCATAATGAGCAGATAATCTGAATGCTTTTAATTTGAAAGTCTTTGTGATGGGGCCTCTGGTAGCATTGTTTTATTTATTTCTTTATTTTTAAAAAGGATTGTGTTGAGTTTCACGTGTCAACTCATTAGAATCAAAGTTTGAGTAAAAGTAAAAAAGACACATTGTTATGAGAGGTCCCCCAAACGCTTCTTTCAGTGGGTGTTTAGAGCAATCTTCCTTCTATTGAGTTTTGGGAAACAAGAGTCTTGGCGGATACCCATCAGGGGTTTGGCTGACCTGTGAGAGGTCACACTCCGTTTTCTGTTAATGTCCTACAAGTGCCAATTATGTTGAGCAAGTTAAATTAACGGACATTTAAGTACCTTTGTGTGGGCAACGCTGTCTTTTGTCTTCATTGGGAGCCCTGCAGTCCTCTCCTACCTGCACAGTTTCTCAGTTATTGATTGAGGCTTTAACACGTTGATCGATCCTAACAGGGGACATGGGGGGGGGTCTATGGCACAGCTGTTTCATTTGGGACCACCATGTCAGTCTCCTAATGAACCTGAACACATCATTCACACTCTGAGTGGAAATTCGGGATATTTAGTATGTTGTGTTTTGGCATCAGATGTGAACTTAAATTACATAGCGTCCTAAAGTTTATTGGTTTGATAAATCAAGTAAAAAAAAGCCCCCCCAGCCCTTTATCATTTCCTGAACTTAATCCATTCAGTTCATAGAGGAACAGAGGAAAGTGGTGTAAACACATTCCAGACACGTAGATCTTTGTATCTAGCACATTCAGAGTACTTGCCCAAAACACCTGCCAACCCCCCCCTTCCTCCTCCTAGAAGCCAGTTTGTACGTTTCTAGAAGCGCTATCCCATAATTCCCTGGCTTCCGCAAGTGAAGATATACAACCCGTGACCACTAGATGGTGACCTGGGGGTCAGCAGCACCGACCGCTGCTCTACCGCCGAGGGACGGGCAGATTTGGCCCCCGCAGGGGAAACACCACAGATATGAGAGAAGGAAAAGAGAAGAAGAGTGAGGAAAGAAAAAATATACATGATGATTTCACTTTCAGACTGGATGAAGAGCTGCAGGAAGGGTTAGCAAAGGGAAAGTGGAGAGAGAGAGAGAGAGAGAGAGAGAGAGAGAGAGAGAGAGAGAGAGAGAGAGAGAGAGTAGTGAAGCAGGGCAGAGAGTGAGGGGGGTCGGTGAAGGAGGGGTGTGTGGGGAGGGGGGGAGTGGTTAGCCCTTCTCACTGCCTGTATATAGAGAGGACAGAGTCTGACAGAGCAGATCCAGTGAGAGAGTTTCTTCCTCTCTACCTGTGGAGGACGCCTTGAACTTCTGGACTTTTCTATCGGATTAACCACGCCGGCATTTCTCCCTCAACTTAAGGTAACACGACTTTTCTCCACTTTTCAAAAAGCAGTTCTCCTCATTACCAAACTCCAGGCAGGTGCAGGCTCGAGTTGTTGATACTTATCTCATTTTACTTTAAACGTCATTGTGATTTGATATTAATGTTTGCCCATGACTATTTGCTTTGAGACGAGATCCATCTGCTTTATTTCCAAAGGCACGGAACTTAAGTACGTCGTCTTCACTGTTACAATATATTTACCCTGTGGGTGTGGGATTGTAGGATTATAATAGTGTATAGTTATTGACAAGGTAACTAGGCTACAATGGCTTTGTGGTGACTCCTCTTGTGTGCCTCTGAGCAAAAAGGGCTTTCATGCTGATACACTGAGACTAGATGCCTGAATCATCAGTGTTATGCAGAATTATCTCATAGTTCAGCTGTGTGAAGGAAAGTGAAAGAATGGATCATGAGATGAATCCGTTAAAGGTATAGTGCTTTGTTTAGTACCTCTCGTAGCCATTATAGTATATAGTTTAGGGTTTTAATATCCTATCCAAAATATGTATGTCAATGCAGTGGTGAGTATTTGGAAAAATGACATTACATTTAAAATGTTATATCATTTGGGTGAACTGAGCTACTGATAAACAAATGGTCGGTCTGTGTTTTTGACATTGTTGGAGATTCCTCACAGCGTTGCTCGGCTCACTGAGATCAAGCAGGTTTAAGTTTTGACCGCCGGCTTGAAGCGGAGATGAACTCTCAGCCGCAGTGACAATGCAGTTCTTCTACTCTTACCGTTTGATGTGTGTATGCACTTCCATGCATGTCCTTTGAAGGGCTTCATTTGTCCCGTGGCTGCAGTGTGGGATCAGTAGCCGGGCCGCACACATGCCAGGAGCACTGATGGGCCACAAGGAAGCTTCCAAACCATGATGATACGGACACGTCAGTTTAAATGTTAAGCTGAGACCTGCATCCAACACAATCAGATATGGTCTCACTTTGAAGCTACTTTATTGCACTACCGCTCAACAAAACACTTGTGTTAAGGAGGAGACGTACCCATCCCATGCTGCCATATGCCTTTGTGTGTGTGTGTGTGTGTGTGTGTGTGTGTGTGTGTGTGTGTGTGTGTGTGTGTATCTACGACTAGGAGGGCGGTCATGCAGAAAGCAGCAGGGCAAAGATCTTTATCGGGAACTGGCTCTATGTGTAGATGGTCCGTTGGGCTCTGAGATCTGACTGGGTAATCAATGATGGTATACGGCCAACGGCGAGTATTGTTAAGGGTGAGAGTTGTGGATTTGCTTGATGTCCAGACTATCAAGTCGGACATTGTTACGCGTGTGTTCACCCGTACTTGAAAACAAATAGTGTGACAGTTAAAACCATTAGAGGAACTATATCACTTTATCGCTATAGAGTCACTGACCAAAAAAAATCTAGTCCAGGTGAAACAAATGCTTGAAGTTTACTTTTAACAGAAGTTTTGATCTCATTTCTTAAATCACTGACTGTGCAGTTTTTCTCTTTTTTTCTTGATGCCTGACAATACACCAGTAATCAGCCGCCGCCTCTGTGTTAAACACACATTCATTGCAGGTTGAAGGTTCCCCTCCGCCCGCCATGCTTCTGTGCCCCGGCGTGGCTTTTAGATAACCGCTGTTGTCTCCGGGGGCCATTAAAACTGGATGTGTCTGCTCATTCAGACAATTTCTTGGAGTGTGACAGATTAGCTTTGACAGCAGGACATTACTTTATTTTCCAGGACTGAGATAACATGCTGATCTGGGACGATAATATTGTGTACCGGCCGGTCCCTCACAGATAAAGCAACACATTTATTTACAGATTGATGAATATTTTCTTGTGAAAATGCTAAGCGTTAAGCAATACTAAAGCATGATGGGGGACTCACATTATTGGCTTAAGACTTCAGCGCGTACTTGTTTTCCATCATTTTCTTGCCGAGTACATTTACATACAGTATTTAGCTGCTGTTTGTTTTGGATGCTTGAAATGGTTAGTAGTTGGAAACATAAGCAGAGGATTCCAGGGGTCACGTGTGTCCGCTGCGAGCTCTGTTTGAATGCAGCTCCTGTGTGTGCTTCCAAGCACATGTGCGACGGTGTGTTTGTGAATTGCACAGCGGGAGGTGGATGATGTGTTGGCAGCAGTCATACCCCAATCATGCTGCTCTCGGTCCAACCGTCTCCCCTCTCTTCCTGAGTTTTGTCTCTTCTGTGGAAAAGCAGTTCACAGAAATATTTTTGCTCCCTAATGTAAATGTCAATGCTAGAATTATACGAGGGAAAGTGTTAAATCACGCCACCTTTTACTTAACATCTGGAAATCTTATATCCTTCCTCTGACAGATTTATCATGAAGCTTTTCCTGTTGTCTGTGGCGGCGCTGCTCCTGGTGATGGGAGAGACCAACGCAGAGAGAATCCTGTCGCGGAGGACCAAGAGGGACCTCGCCAATCCGCTGCATGTCCGAGGCATCAGGGACCCGTTTGGCTCCTACTGCGAGAGGCGAGGAGGCTGCTGCCCCGGCAGAGACGACCTGTGCACGGTTCCCTACCTGGACACCATCTGTTACTGCGACCTGTTCTGCAACCGGACCATCGCCGATTGCTGCCCTGACTTCTGGGGACATTGTCTCGGCGTGGAGCCACCCTTCATAGGTAAAAGTGCAAAAAAATAAACCCCAAACTAATGCATGTGCATCAGGGAGTTTTGCAGGTGTGTACGGGCCTGTCGTAGTTATTTAAAGTCCTTCTGAGAGCAACACAGAACCCCTCTAAGTCTGTGCTGTGACACTTGGAAATGAATTATAGGACCTGTGTTAAACTGACTGTTAAACTAGAAAGAAACATGCTGACGGTGAGGGAACAGACAGCAATTATTGGACACATAAACGCCTTCTTTTGGGGCGTCTCTTTGCACCATTTTTCTTGAGTGAATGTCAGAAGGTGAGGTTGAAATAGAATATATAGAATAGAGATATGGGGTCAGAAATACCCTCCCCTGCTCTCACTAAAAAGCGCGCCAACCTGACCTCTGAGATGACCACATCTGGACTCAGAGGTGTAAAATTCCAGTGACAGCGGAGGACTACCTGCTAACGGAACAGGGAACAGTAGGCTTCTCATTAACCCAGACAGGGAGGGGGGGAGACGGGGTTGGATGGAGGGATGAATGGAGGTCAAGAGAAGGAATGCGGGGTATGCGCGCGGGGAGGGGGGCCTCAGACAACGGGCGCGGGGCGGCAGACGGAGGGGTCGTTACAGGTATGTGTTACCTGGAGGACACGGCGGGGGGGGGGGCGTGACAGGGTGGCACACTGATGTGAGTGTGCACAAACACACGTATTCGACCGCGCCGCTTCAAAGGGATGCTGACAGCTAAAGCCCCTCAGAAGGAATTCCCCAAAGGTGGGCTTTTCTCATTCTCAGTCGTTTAAGTCCTTGTTTGTCGCTCTAATATTTGCTCAAAGAAATATCTGCATTCGAGCCAAATTAACAGTATCCCTCTATAGACAATCCTTGTAAATGAATAACTCTTTTCACGCTCTTCAGCCCCGCAGTAACTGAGTTGTGACGGACTGGGTGAGACAGCTGGGAGGGGGATGCTGGGTAACAGAGGTCCTCAGTCATAAATCACACAATCAGCTCTGGACCGAGCAACAGAGACACGGAAACCTGCTCGCACTGTAAATTCTCAGCCAGTAAATTCCGTCTGAGACCCACAGTGACGGCACCTCCCACTGTAAATCAGCATGTAGATAAACATCAGTGTTAATCTTTTAGCCGACTCCAGTATCATTCTCACAACCTGTAAAGGTTCAAACTTCAAGTGGTGGAAGTTCTCGCAAGAAATGCCGATGCTCTCCGCCAGCTTCTTGATTTCTGCCGTCGGTTTGTGACGATGTGCACCATTGGACCCGTGGACCATTGCAGCTCACTGATGTTAATGGTTTTCTGGTGCTTGGCTGTGGACTTAATGGCAGGCTTCTTCTGTGGCGCTTTCCCTCAATGTCGCTAGGGATGGTGAAGTGGAGCATAAGCTGGTTAATGCATGACGAGGGCCCGGGAAAGCATGGGAGGGCGGGAACGAAGCTAACGCGACATTCCTACACTGGATTATTGGAGCTTGGAGCTCCTTTGCACTCACATAAAGACCTAAACACACACACACGCACACGCACACACACACACACACACACACACACACACGCACACCTGAGGAGTTGGTGACTCTTTTTTCTATTTTTCTTTCTCTCTCTTTATTTTTTACTGTGGGCACAAGTGAAGGACTTTGACCAGTAGAGTTGCGTCATTAAGTGAGTGCTTTATATAGAAGTGCATCTCTGTCTCCCATTTGTGTATTTGCTTACATCAGTCACCCCTCTTTGTCTCCTCCCAGACACCTGCGAAAGAAATGGAAACAAGTTCTTTACAGGGCAAACATACAAAGAGAACTGCAATTTATGGTAAGTGAGCCTGTCTTTCTTCCTCTGACTTCTCTTTCAGCCTCTTAAATCTGGGGCTTTCCCATAAATGGACTTTTAAGTCGGTTGAAGCTTGAGAAACACGCTTTCCACCACTGTCTCTACATGCTCTGTGTGTGTTTTGTCCTAACACTTAATATGAGGCATGTTGGTTATATTGATCACATGATTTTCATCACACATGTCTGTCTACTTGCACTTTCTCATACCTCTTTGTTTGGAACTGGCATTTTTTTTATACCAACAAAAGGAAAAGCTCATGTGGAAAAAATAGAATTAATGATGATGAAGTATTTAACTCCAGGGTGTTGTGCATGTTGGCTCATGATGACACTTTAATGGATGTTAGTATTACCTTTCCTCAATAGCAAGTCAACGTCTGCTGTTAATAAAGTCTGGAAGAAGGTGTGAACGGGAAGAGGTAGAAAATAAAGAAAAGCACACTCAAAGTTCAGTCTTGTTTTTCACTTCAGTCTTTGTATTGGAAAGTTAATACTGATAGTATTTTGTTATTAATTCCAAAGCTTTCTCTTCTTATGATACGTTGTGAAATGCTTTATGTTTGCGTCTGTAACATGAGGAACGGAACAGTAGCTGCGTAAGTGAGGATAAATGTAATGTTTGTGTTAATCTAATAATATCCCCAGGGCCTCGGCCTTCTGGGCGATGTGGTCCATCTTTGAACTGTTCTTACTCAGATGCAAATCGCCTCTCCTCGATATCGTGACACACTGCTCATGTATTCCTGTTCTCACTTGTTTTGATTAGAAGTCCTTGACAACCTTGTATTCTATTTCCAAGTGGACACATTTATAAAACATCATTTTTTGTAACCTTGACATGAGCTTAATTGTTGCTGAACGCGCTATTTGAGATTAGCTCAGTGACGGCAAAGTGCGTTTTTATAACAATGGCCTTCGACGCGCTGAGGTCACCAGAGTGCATGTGGCTGTTGACATTTTTCGTCGTAATAATAGTAACAGTCGAGGCGAGTAAGAGCAGATCTTGTGCGACTGGATGAAAGAGGCGCAGGAGGTCGAGTAAGAGAAGGCAGGAAGGAGAGAAATTGAGTTCTTCCCCCGTCCTCCACTGTGGTTTCTCCCGTCTGTGTCATTTGATGTTCCTCAAAGCCCCCATTTGTACGTGTGTGAACATGAACACCCATGTTGATTTAACACCCATTTGTAGACCCCTCTTCAGTTTCTCCTCCTGCATGGCAAAACACACTCTGGCTGTTTGTCATGACACGTCCAACCGAAACAACGCTGACCCCGCTGATCTCCACTTAAAAGCCTGTTCAAATCTAGAAGCTGGACTGCGTCAATCTGACAGGCCCGAAGTATGACTTTCATCATTGCAGCTCAATTAGGTCCCACGTGCGTAGATAGGCCAGCAGGGCAGTTGATAAATGTCCTGCTGCGAGTTAAAAATAACCTTCAATATCCTAGTTCACATAAAAAAACGTGTTTATTTGCTAACCCTCCCCTTTAGTGGAGTCTCACGCCAGCACGCCCTCACACATGCCTGTTGAGGCACACGGATGCTGGAGGAATTGCACCGCAGCCTCGGCGCGGAGGGACACACACTCCCTTTTTCTACTCCTACTCTCTTCTCTTATTAATTCCCCCAATGGACGTACGTCCTCCCAAGTTTCAGAATCAGGGCTGCAGGGCGGAGGGGAGGGCTTCCGCTCGGAGTTGCTCTCCCTCTTTTCCCTACAAAGTGTCTCATTAGCAGGGATCAAGCTCGCGCACACCGTTATCTAACCTCCTACGTGCCTTCACGAACCACTCGCAAAATGTCCCAGATAAAAAGCTGCGTTTTGACTGTCAGTATTGCCAACGGACAGATTGTGTCAGTGCGAGAAAGCATATAACACAACCAGAGTTAGCATGGAAGTAATGCTCATTTTGTGTGTGTGTGTGTCTTAATGGGATCAACCCAACTGGGAGCTTTTCCCGAGCTGTTGGCATCCTGATAACCTGATAATCCTGATAACTCTTTATCTGCTCCAAATGAGCTGAAACGCGACGCCTCCTTCTCTCACGCAGCCATGAAGGAGCGATCGCCTCCGACTACCTGCAGCATTTCTGCTCAAACCAGCACGCAGTTCAGATTGGACGAAAGCCGATGCCAGCTTGGACTTCCTGAACTGCCGTCTAGCTTCTCAGACAAAGTACACGTCATATCTGAACACAGAGCATGTGTCTGTTGTTCCTACTGATCAGGCAGGATTTGGCGAGTCAAGGCACCTCATGTCCTGTGTCTGTCTCTAAGCGTGTACGTGTGTGTGTGTGTGTGTGTGTGTGTGTGTGTGTGTGTGTGTGTGTGTGTGTGTGTACGTGTGTGGGTGTGTACACGCTCAGAGGTGAAGAGCGTGTCTTTCTCTAATAGGAGTGTGACAGAGAAAATGTGGCCTGCCGCTGACACTCTGTCTCCTTGTCTCCTGCTGTCATTATCCCGTCTCTGGGTGCGTGCCCAGCACTATTACCGTGTGGATTTATTGTTGTCTTTGACCTACTGGTGCTGAGCTGCGTGTATTTGTTACTGCTGGAGGAGGAGGTGAAAGGTCATTGTCTCCTTACTCCAGTCACAGCCATGAGACCGAAACAGAAACTCTGTCGCTGTGTACGAGCGTGCGGCTTCATGTTAACATCGTCTTTGAGATTTAGAGAGCAAAGTGACTTTTTCATTGCCGACATTTTTTGAAATGATCCAGTAAGTTTGCTCAGCTCAGCATGAAGATGTAAACTGAGTCCTGATTCTGCAAACAATATACGTTGTGTTAATTATTGAGCTTGAGAGATGCTGATCGGCAGATTGTGTTACTTTTGGACAAACGCAGGCTGGTTGTTTCCTAATGCTTCCAGTGTTTTTAATAAGCCAAACCAACCCGCTGTTGGCAGTAGCTTTATATCTATTGTATAGACACCAATTGTGTTTCCCAACATATTAAACTGTGGTGACTATACAACTAATTAAAACGAGTTATTGATATAAAATTACAATATCTGCTGAATACATGAAGGCATACAGTTGAGTCACCTCGAGTTCACATTTCGCAGCTTCCCAGACATTTCACACAGATAGTGACCTACTTGTACAATTTGAAAGTACTCTTACTTTACGTTAAAAAAGCAATTCCATGTTCCATTACATTTTGGAGCAAAGTCGTATTTTTACTTGTTATTTACATTTATTTTATTTCAAATATTTAGATTATTTTTGCTGATAATTCCTGAATGCAGGAATCTTACTTTTACTTAAGTATACTTCCACAACCAGTCTAGCATGCACACACACACACACACACACACACACACACACACACACACACACACACACACACACACACACACACACACACACTGTGACAAACTGACAAACACACACTTCTGAGTCATCAGAAAGTACACAAGTTATTTTTGAGCATTCCCTAAGTAAACATTGTGGTGGTCATTAATATCCTGCTTCTATCTCTTCTGTCATCTTCTTGACTTCTTCTCTACTTCCTTCTGACTAAAAATGGATCCTCGTTCCGCAGCCTCAAAAGGTTGAATATTTCCTTTAACCTCTCTCTGTTTATGTCTCCCTCACCAGTCAGCTTTCCTTTTTTTTAATGTTACTGACATTTTTCTCATTAACTACCAATTTGGAAACTCCACTGAGCCCTTGAATATTTGTCTATCTTAGTCCTCCTATTTTAGCTGTTGACCTCACTAGCGTAATCATACGCATGGAAATCATAAGTAATGCAATCGCAGCCGCTAAAGCCTCTCAATGGCCTGACGTCTTTGCCCCGTCTGCCTGTCTGTCCTCTGCAGCACATGTGGGATCACGGGACGCTGGGAGTGTGAGCAGAACGCCTGCCTGATGGAGCCGGGCCTGATAGACGGCGTCAACAGAGGCAACTACGGGTAACGAAAGCAAAACTTGCATCGACGCGCATACTCGATGACACGGTATTCTACAGTAACATCCGTACCACACATTCTCCTCCTGGTTTGTGCTTTCAGATGGACGGCAGCCAACTACACTCAGCTCTACGGCATGACGCTGGACGAGGGCATCCGCTTCCGCCTGGGTACACAGAGGCCGTCCAGGACGGTCATGAACATGAATGAGATGCAGGTACAGGACGGGGTTCATCCCTCACATTTTTACTTTTGAGGTTGATCGGACAAAGAGAGGTTCCAAAGGCACAAACACAAAGCATCAGCGTCGACGCTCATTTTCTTTGCTCAGGTGCTTTTAAGACTCTTGCCATCCCCACTTTTTTTTCCCACCATTAACCTTGGACCTTGTTTTTGAAAGGTTGCATAAAAACGAAATTCCACACAGAGATTGGAAAACTATTATGTTAGCTGTGTGTTACCTCTTAAATCCAGTTTTGCTTTAAAAATCCACTTTAAAAAGGATTTTCACTTCTGCACCCATTGTCCCATAGATCACATACTCTGTATTTGCCGTTCCCACATTGGGCTGTTTGAGGTCATGTAGGTGAATTGTTACAGTGCCGTTGTGGCCTGTCACTTCTTTGAAAGCTCCTGCGTTCTTCCCGTAAGTAATTTGGTAATATTATTGTGAAATACCGGTTTAGAACCCTTTTACAACAAAGGAGCGCTGATGAAAACGTATAATCATGGCGGCTTGTTGGTACGAGACGGCGTCTCGGGCTGGAAGCTCAGCCTTTGTTTATGCTCGGCCCAGACAGATTACATAAGAGGGAACCAAAACATCAGACACTATGGAGGGGACGGGGACTGGAGAATGAAGAGCAAACCTCGTCTTCAGTCTGCAGCCCCCCACCTCTACGCATCCCTTCATCCACCTTGTTTACCTCTTCCAGCATTCCACTTCACCCCTATAAACCTCCCAACTCCCGCTCCTTCTTCCGCTGTCGGCGTGTCCCTACCTGTGCCAGGAACCAGACTAGAGACGTGCAGCCCATTCATAAATGACTCTTTCCCACTGTTCTTTCATGTCTGGAGGTAGACTCCGTTTAAGGGATGGGAAAATATGAATTTGTTAATTACTTAAACAATTTTAATCTGGTGTTTCAAGATTCTTTCTTTTGGACTTTGACCTTCTAAGCTACAATTCTCAGACCAGCGGCAAATTCCTCAGTTATGTACGAGGTGGCCGTTTGTGCTTTGAATACCTTCCCATTAATCCGAAGAATGGTGCACAGGAGCCAGGCTCTTAGGGAGAGAGAGCGGGAGAGTGGGGAGGTGAGGGGAGGCTCCGCTATCACACATGACACACATGAGATGAAGGGAGCATCCGACCTCAGGTGGAGACTAATGGGTCAAGTATGTTTGGTATGTTAGAAGCACCTGCCGGTGAACATGCGCTGTCAGGAAGATATCTGCACCATCATCCTAATTAGGATTGATCATCACGGCGGTCTCGGTGCCTCCAGGAAAGATTTTGTTGGTTCAAATGATGTTTTGTTAGTAGCCAAGCGGCTTCATGTTTTCACGGAGAGGACGGGGATCAAAGTTCCTGTCTATTTTACAGAGATTGACCCCTGGGCCACATGGGCCCGAGTGCTTAAGGCTAAGCCTCTTCTAGGATTGATTAGTAGACTAATCTGCCTGGGATCAAAACTTGTAATACAAAGCTGTCCACAAGTACTTAATTGCATTTGTTAGTTTGTGGGCAAATATTTAAACAGCTGTAACTCTGTGTTGGTTGTTTGAACCTCTATTTTTCTTGCGGTCTACGTCTTATGATGATAATTAAACAAGCCTAACTTGTGTGTCCTCAATGAGGCTTACTCTTTGAGTTCAACGGTGATTGAGCTCCATTGACTTGACCTGACTCATCGCTCCTCTCCGTCAGATGAACATGGATCCCGAGAGCGACAGTCTGCCACTCTACTTCAACTCAGCAGAGAAGTGGCCGGGAAAGATTCACGAGCCGCTGGACCAGGGCAACTGCGCCGCATCCTGGGCTTTCTCAACTGCAGGTAGAATAACCTACAAAGACAAAATAAATATCCAAACTCTGATGTCTTGACCAGAAAGGGTCGTCCTCAAGTTCATGGTTGTAATATTTTGTGTGCACATATTAGTTATGCCAAATGTTTATGCATGTGTATGATCACATTTAGCTTCCCGAAGACAAAAATAGTTTGAAACACAAAATCCTACATGGATTACAGCAAATGTCGTTGGGAAGGTTTTCCTTTGTGTTGTTAAGTATGCCGTTTAGTAATAAAGCCTGTTCTTTTCACCAGCTGTGGCCTCAGACAGAATCTCCATCCAGTCAATGGGTCACATGACTCCTCAGCTGTCCCCACAAAACCTCATTTCCTGTGACACCCGCAATCAGGGAGGGTGCGAGGGGGGACGCGTCGATGGAGCCTGGTGGTACCTCCGGCGTAGAGGGTAAAGACTTTTGTTTCACTCTACAATAAAACAAGAAATAGGCAAAGCAACGTGTGACCCTTCTAGAGATCAGGCCCGTTTTTACCAAAACTCCTCTCCTCCCACAGAGTGGTGACGGAAGGCTGCTATCCGTACCGACCCCCGCAGGAAACGCCAGCGGAGGTGGGCCGCTGCATGATGCAGAGCCGCTCCGTGGGCCGGGGGAAGAGGCAGGCCACGCAGCGCTGCCCCAACGCACACAACTACCAAAACGACATCTACCAGTCCACACCGCCCTACAGGCTCTCATCCAACGTAAGGCCCGCACAGGCACGGCACAATCGATGCATACTCTGGTATTACCTCGTTACATTTTCTACTACAGTAAACAACGTAATAGGCTTACATCTGTTGGATTCAGGATTTGGAGGTTAATGGAAATTCAATTTTGGATGGACAATACAGGCCAGGGAGTCATCGTATCATCGTCCATAAGCGTTATAAAGATCAAGATTCAAAAGTGTACCTGGAATTAGATTTCTGTTCTAAACTTTACAATAATGTCTACCTTGCCTAAGTGTTTTTTTTTTGCACACAATAACCATATTGGGAGGAAATTAAATCTCACGCAAAGTTCGCAAAAGAAAAACGAGTTTATTTCACAATTTAAAAAACTGATTTAAATCCATGATGTTCTTCAAGTCAGGTATTCTTTTACAAACCACCCCTTCCCTGCCCTTCCAGCACAAAGTAACAGTCACTGAAAGTGCTTCCAGATCCGTTTCAGCATGGAGCTCGGTGCATCTTCTACAATTCAAAGTTGACCACTGAGCTGCAGCTGAGATTTTACCGGCCAGCATCCATCATTGCTAAATGACGGCTAATGTCCCTCGAAATCATTACAGCCTGTTGTTTTTGACTCTCAATGGCCTGTGAATTCAATAAGCCAGGCATTAAGGCCAAGGGGCCCTGCTGGACTCAATGTTGTTATATGACTTTAGACATTCAGGAGGTTGTTTTTATCCTCTCCATTTCACTAACAAGCAATGATCTTCTTTTCTTTCTCTCTCGCTCCACTACCTATAAATGTATACTTACATTGTCTCTCTCAGGAAAAGGAGATTATGAAGGAGATTATGGATAATGGCCCTGTGCAAGGTAAGGCCAATTCCATATTTTATTGTGAACATTTGCTCTCAAGTGAGGGTTAGTAAAAAAGCAAAAAAAACAATGTACTCCCAACTGACACACACACACACACACCCACACACGCACACGCACACGCACACACACACACACACACACACACACACAAACACACAATGCTGCCATGTCTGATGTCGGTGTGTATGACTCAGGGGGGGAAACTGGAATTTGTTTGGTAAAATTAGGTAATTTTTTTTAGATGAATTGTTGTTTGAGCTGTTTGATATTTCCCTCCAGTGTTCCTATGGCCTGTGTGAGATTTATACACCAACAAATTCTCTGTGCCTTTTTGTCCTTGCAGCTATTATGGAGGTCCATGAGGACTTCTTTGTCTATAAGAACGGGATCTATAAACACACTGATGTCAGCTTCACCAAACCTCCACAATACCGCAAACACGGCACTCACTCAATTAGGATCACCGGGTGAGTAACCAGTACAGTGCAAAACACTGTGTGCACTTTTTGTGTGAACCAACAGCCTTATGACTGCGTAGCTGTAAATCTGCACTGATTTCAACAGACCTAGCCTAAGACATTTTAAGTTTGTGCAAGGATCTAATGCCTTTTGATGATGAAAGACCATGTGCCCTCTCACACATACATGTGAACAAGTTCTAGACAAAAGCTTTTGCCCTCTCGACTCTCTACATGTGTCTGGTTTCACCAACCTGTTTTGAATTGAGCAGCTGCTTGATTCAGAGCTTCACCTGCATGTGTGTTTGCACACAGCGGGAATGTACGCGTGAACAAGCTTCCCTCTTTGAGACCCCCCCACACCCTAATCTCACTGGCCCTCGATGGAGCTCCTCTGTTTGAGTCACCCTGCCGTTTGGAAGCGGGTCTGTCTGTCGGAACAATGACAAGTTGCCGCTCGCCGGTTTTCACTTGACAAATTAGAAAAACGAGCAGCTACCTCATAAAGGTGTCCGGTGGCGGCAGAGGAATGCGTGTTTGTGAGCATTCGACTGCACCACAGCGTCTATAGACACGGTTTCTCAGTGCTACGATAGCCTCCAGGCTTTTATCTGCTTGGCCCTTGATGTGTCTGCCGTGCGTATTGTATGACATCATAGGGCACGTTAAGGTATGTGTATGATAAACACTCCAACCTGTACTTTAGCTTGTTGGAACTGTTCCCGAAACGTCTTCCTGGAAAGCTTCGCATGCAGAGGATCTTTCACAACGCTCATGTGACTAATTACATCTCTACTCGTGCTCTTTGGCTCCTCCTACTGACGCTGTGATTGCTCACCACTCACTTGGCCAGTGGATGTGGATGCAGCAGCAACATGGGTTCATGGGCGGAACATGGCGTTTCGAGCTCCGACCTGCCAGCTACAGGCATCGCTGGTGTTTTCATAGTCCAAATCCCATAGCGGTGCGTTCCTTTAAGCCCACGGCCTGGGAAAGTTTGTGGAAAGATCATTGGGGTCCAGTGTGGTGGAAAGGGCATTGTCTGGGCCGCTGATCCCGACTGCACCGGACAGAGAGAGGGGATCAATCCACGGAGAAGAGGTCAGAGGTGGGTTGAGTGGACGTTGATGAAGGGCGGCCCACGTGGGCACACCGGTATGCCCATCATTGTCCCGGCCTGAGCAAGTGAGCTGATTGGAGGCCAGATAAGTGATCAGCGGTGGTGTGATTCTGTCTGGCTCTGTGCATGGCAAAAAATAGGCAGACAGGCAGGCATGTGGGATGCCACACACACACACACACACACACACACACACACACACACACACACACACACACACACACACACACACGCACACACAGGCAGGTGTGAATGTGCCCTCACTCACCAGCGCAAATCTCATCTCTTCATTATGGGTCAGATTGCCGTTAGCATCACTGTTAACGCAGATGTTTTTACTGTCTCTGCGTCAGGGAAAGCTATTAAAGACACTCACAAATAGAGGTTGGCACCATCAGCCTGTGTTGGGGTGGTGGGCTGCAGGGTTTGTAGAGATCGGAGATCAGCCACTGTATTTCCCAGCATTCCTTTCTCTTATGTAAGAAAACAAGTGATTGGTCTCTCGGGAAACGAAAGTCCTGGAGTGCAAAAACAGGATGGAAGTTTGCTTTGGAGAATGTTAAGATCACGACGAGCAGCATAGCCGGCGTCTATAAAAGTTGGCAGCGGCCAAGCAAAGTCATGAGCGGAATTTATGGGACTTTCGCCAAGTTTTCATGAGAACAATGATGCGAGGGAGGGACAAGGGTACGAAGAGGCCTCAAAGTTCAGTTTCACATAGTATATTTGGGCATTTTCCATGTTGGTCTTGTTGTCCGTGAGCGCGTCACTAAGGCGGTGTTCCCTTCCTCGTAAACCTTCTCTCTCCTTCCGCTGTACGGATGTGAGGGGTCAGGACTTCGACTCAGGTGCAGAGCAATAAGGCAACAGAAAATTCTTTCAAGGTTTGGAATCTTTTACTAGGAGAGTAAACTAATGCAAAACAAAGGGGGCACAGGCAAAGGCGGAGTCCACACGCTCTTGTAGAAACAAAAAGGAAGAGAGCCTGGCAACAAAGTAGAAACAAGATTACAAAAACAGCACTGGGAATTTAACAACAAACATGTACCTCTAGGAAGGACAAAAGATAACCTGACACAGACAAGTGGGGGGAACTGAGGCTTAAATACAGGTGGGGGTGATTGCAAACTAAACTCAGCTGTGGGGGGAAACTAGATACAGGAAGTGCCGTGGTTACAAGAATAAAACAGGAAGTTAATCTTCACAGTCTCTTCGAGTCGTCACAACATGGACAGGAAAAGGGGATTTCCTTGTTGTTCTGGTTGGAATGATGTACTGAATAAGTGATGTCGAGGCACAAATACTCCTGAATAATTTTCAGGATGTTGTTTTTTTCCCCTTTTTGAACAGTACTTCCTGCTTTTCACTTTTCACAGAATAATATCAAGCGTGTTTTAGGTGAACACATTCCTGAGAAGTGTTTACAGCTGTGTAGTGCTGCTTGGCCAGCGTCCACGCTTAAAATAGCATTTCAAACTCTGACACATTTTATATCTGTATTTAAGGAGAAGTTAGCGTCCGGTTGTTTGGCTGTAATGCATTTTCAGTAACCATCCTCCCTGCTTTGTGCATCAGGTGGGGAGAAGAGAGAAGCTTTGATGGGACATCAAAAAAATATTGGGTGAGTCACCGTGCATAACAAACCCATGCCCGAATATCCCCTTAAATGGCTCAAACGTGTTGTTCTTTCCTATGTAAAATAGATTTTAAAGGTAGTGTTTCACTTAGAATCTACCTAACATGTGCTTAGATTTGACTATACTTTTTTTCCCCTCAGATTGCTGCAAACTCCTGGGGAAAGAACTGGGGAGAGAACGGCTACTTTCGCATTGCTCGCGGGGAAAACGAGTGTGAGGTTGAAACATTTGTGATCGGTGCGTGGGGCAGAATCACGATGGAGGACATGCACAGCCACCATCACAGCCATCGTCGCCGGCACACTTAGGGATGCGGCGGATGTTAAAATCACACGTAGGCCTTTGTTTTTAGAAGAAGCACAACAACAATCTCAACACTTTAGAGCACCCCCCCCCCCCTTCAGCATCAAGCTGGCTGGGACGGCCTCAAAATCCCCATGAGAGCTTCATCATTTCATACCTCACTTCACACTCTTGGCATCAATACAACCCGTCCTGTCTTCCCCACTCCCCCTGTAACCAAAGTTTAATGGCACCAAAACCACCAAGATAAACTCAACTAAGCTAAAGATCGTTTGCGTCGCCTTATTCTTAGGCACCTCAGGTACCTACTGATCCAAAGACCACACTTCCCAGAATCCTCAGCGTAATTCAATGAAACACAATATATGACAAAGGCAGAAAGTCAGTCTGATCTTTTTTCTCCTTCTGTGCACTTCTTTGTTGATCTGAACCTTTAGTCTTTTCTAAAACCATAATCCAGGTGGACTGAATTTCTGAGGGACAGTTGGAAAAGAGGACATCCGAGAAGCAGATTATCAGTCATCGGACCCTCTCAGAGAGACACACCCAGCCGAACCGTGTAACGTGATAATACATCATTCAAGTCACACTGGTCCCGGGTGATGATGTTTTTCTTTGTTTTCACTTTTAGTGCTTTTTTATATGAAAACACCTTCCGACTTATTCGTCACGTGCTATTCTTCTGCTGTTTAGCTTTGTGATGTCCTTATTTGAGGCTAATTGAGGACTTGTCAGAAATTGTCTTTCTTCAGCACATCCCCACTTGAAAAGGAATAATTCTTTATCATAACCACTTTAAATTTTATCCTGGTTTTCTTTTGCTGTAACTTCAAAAGGTTTTTCCGATGTGCAGTGTGCTGGATTGACAAGCAGCAGTTCGTTGCATATTTCTCATGCTATGAAAGAACCTTCAATCTTAAGTGAGCGAGTGCAGTGGAATATGGACCCATCAACATGAGATGCACAACAGTTTTACAATAAAGATGAGAAGGACAAGGTTAAACTGAGCTCTGGCCTGAAGAGGTATTATTTCAATTTTTGACAGCGGAGAGAGTGAGATTCTTCTTTTATATATATATTTTTTATATTGTATCTGTGGGCATGTCGCTAAAGCTCAACAAGAGGGAACACAATGACATAATCTCAATCATTTTTTCATTACAATTTATTTCCACCATAATTTGCGTAACCTTTCATATTTATCTACCTAAGATACTTCATGCTCTTTTTAAGAGCAAAGAACATGTTACTTTTCTCATGCGGAAGGAAGTATTATAATCTGACTGAGATGTCCAGGGTACAACATGTGCATTCAGAAGATGCATCTGATTGTTAGTGTTCATTTGTTTTCATTTCAGGATGTTGCATTAATGGTCATTTAGGTTTAGCGTTAGCTCGGGCCCAAAGTATGATCCGGAATATAAGTGGCGGCTGGTGGAATTTTCTTTTGGTAGGGCCATCCAATCCAATCAATTTCAAAACAACCCACCATATGATTCAATCAAAGAAAGGTATCAAACATGTGTTATTACTTTGCAGTTAAATATTTAACATGTATTCCAACACGTGGACTAACATAATAAGGATATCTTATTCATACAATTCAGTATATATAGTGATATTTTGTCTAATATGATTTATAAATACCATATCCTATACATATCATAACTATATAATATAAGTATCATGATGTATAATCTATTTTTCTTTATTTCTTTTTTTGTCTCAAGGTGGGGCCAGTCCCCATTGCCCTCTATTGGCCAGCTGCCACTGCAATGTATAGAGGGCTTATAAAACCTCTTATAGTGTTAAATGTGCATGAACATCCACTGCATTAATTATGATTATGTACATTATTATTATGCAAATCTATCTAAACTCAACTTCTCCTAAAGGAAAACCACAACCCAGGTGCAGCAGCACACAGCCACTTAGAAAAGTTGTGTATTTTATGTCAAATGAACCACTCCTTATTCACTGATGTGTAGACTTTATTTATGACGAGCTGTGTAAATTATCTACTGTACTTTTATTCCTAGTTTCCCTGTGCAATGTTTTTGTTATCGCTCTGTCTCTTGTTTTGTGTGCACTTGACTTGTGCAGCACAATAAAGTCTTTCAAAAACCACACAGCCTCATTGTGGACTTTTTGTGCTTTGAAGTATTGAAACGAGGTAATGTGATAAGGGAGAATGCTTTTCTGTAGGTTGGGTGGCTGACATGGAGAATGATTTTTAAGAACATTACGGCAACAGTGAGCCACAATGGGAGGGGTTCGGGTGCAGGGTGCTCCATGGGACTAGGGCAGTTTTCTTTAAGATCCTGCTGTGTCAGCATACTCTTCCATCAGTGAGGGCAATAATTCGTGACCATCGATCAGTAAAAGACATGGCCGGGGGGTAAGCATAATCCTCCATAAATATATTAATGTAATAATTAAGTACATACAATTATTATTATCAGAAATTAACATAATGATATTTTTAGATAGAATCCCCCAAAACATCTAAACTGGAATAGCTGTTGAATTTGGAGTTAGAGAACTTTGTCTCAAAAACTAAAAGATGGACTAATAATTAAGTGTTTACTCTTATTTCTCCAGTAAATGTTTGTGCCTGGGATTTATGAGCTTGGAAAAAGAGGAAGATCTGTTAAGATTTTTTGAAAATATATATGCAGCAGTAGGGATCTGTCTGCAATGACTTTATGATAAGACAATGCTTTGTGTATTGTTAAAAATTATTCATGACAACTCTAATGCACTGACAGACAAACAGGCATGTTACAACTGCAACTGTCTCTTGTGCGTGCTTTTGCCTTCAGCTCAATTTCATAGAAGAGCATAACAAAATAAAAATAATTTGTACAATTGAATCATTAAACTGAAAAAAAGAAAATCTTCACTCAGTAAACAGTATTTCAATAAGGCTATTTCCACCATTTCTTCCTTAGATTTGTTTTGGTGTGTTTAGCATGTCCGTCACATATAAACACCTGCCTTACACTTTCTAACACTGTCTCACTTCAAACCCTCAAGTTTGAAGTGAGACAAATTGTGGGTCTGTACAATTAGCCCAATTCAGCTAACGGCCACAAATATCAGCAGGTTCCTGCGGTGAAAACTACCAGGTGTTATCACCGACGCCATTTCAACACTTTGGCTAATAGAGGGGTGAGCAGACCTGCTGCGAGCAGCTCAGACGCCTTGGAGGGGTCACCATTTGCATTCCTGCATCCAATCCCTCGCCCAGGAAACTCTTTTATGAGATTCATAAAACATGCATTGGCCATTTTTAGGCCCACATATAACGGGTTTAACAAGTTTCTGCTGGTAACAAGTGATACATTTTAAAAGAAAAAATTGTTGCAATATTTTTTTTCTTAAAAATATATTAATTTTAGCACCTAAAATGATCTCCAATACTTCCGAGATTATTTTGTGACGTATTTTTCTGAGCTGAGAAAAAGACCTAGACTTTGACTTGGAAACTATACTATAACTAAACTAAACTATTTCAATATTTACCACGTATTTACCTAATATTAATCACCCCTAGTGTTAAAAAATGTTCAAATGCTCACAATTTGCTTTGTTTTTGAAAGGACAGATGAATATAAATACCGACTTAATCCATTCCTCAATTATAGTACCCTCTCATTCTAGGTCTGCAGTAAATGAGTATTATGAATCATTTCGTAGTTTTACTAGTATGTGAACATTTGCCAATTCATCCCACGGGTTATTAAGACCCGACCTCGGTGAAAGCTTATATAAGCAGCGTTATGAAAGTATCAAGAGAAAAGCACACAATATACCAGAGCTTATCTCTTCACAGCAGCCACGGGGACCAAGTAAGGGAACTTGGATCAAGGGATCGGCCCAGTGACTGTTTACATTTCTCTCATTGTTTCTGCGTCACCGGGTAGCCAAAGCATTCATTATCCCGGCAGCTTCTGCTCCTCTCCTCCCAGCTGATGGTGCAGTGGAATAGAGGAGTACCAAGAAAATGGAGGAAGGGAAGTGAACAATAACTGGCTTGAGACACCGCCCTGGTCCCCCCCCCCGGTCCAGGAACAGGATTTTTCTTCTCAGGTTGTGTTGTGTCCACCGTCGCCTGTTTTTCACACACTTGAGAGAAAAAAAAATCACTTTTCCATGCGGTGACTGTACTTGAGTACACTCAGGGGATGTCAACAAACATGTTGTGGAAGATCACGCTTAGCTGCCAGAATCAAAGCCTTTTTCCCATAAACAACAGACTGATGATGAATGTACATAGTTGAAGGGAATCTTTTCTCAGCAAAGTGCTGAAGTGGGAGCAGATCAAACAGCTTCGGGGGGAATCCTGAGACAAACCTGTGCACTGTGTTCCTTTGAGGTATCGTTCTATGCCGTGTAGACTAATATTACCACATTACACACCTTCCAGCAATATACAGTACACATACTACTTTCCTGAAAGTGCTTCTGCCCTCTGAGACTCTGAACTTGCTCTATCGACTGTAGATGATTGATGACTCAAAACAGTCTGATGTTTGATCCTGAATCAACTCCTTCGTCCACATCTAAGTGAAGTGGTTTAGTGCTGCCACCTTCTGGCGGCCAATCAGTAAAGTCGTAAAAAAAAAATCACATTTTGAGGATAAGCTTTATTTGTTACAATTTAGAAAAAAATCGCCAAAAAGTTACAATTAGAATGTTTTTAATAAGAAAGTAATTTCGTAACAATAGCCTATTACATTAATTATACTTATTTAGTTCCTATTTGCAAATCATCGTCAAGCTAGTTGTGACTATACCAAATGATAAATCCACATTATAACATAGAGAACATGTTTAGGAGACAGTCAAAGCCGGGATCAGCATGCGACGTCATCTCCTCCTCCTTGGATCAGTTGTTGCTGCCTTCTGTTTGATTCTGTTGTTTCTTTTGATTCTGTCTCACTCTAGCGTGGACCATTTCCTCTCCTGCATTCACACATTCTGTAGGCACATATGTAGAAAATACCTGCAATGGACAGAGACAATGTCTTAGTGCTGATGTAGAGATAACACAGTTCCAGTCAACATTTCTACTAACAATGTTAAACAATCTGACTTTAATATATATATTACGATCTTATTTTTTTTTTAAAGTTTCTTGCTTCTCTGGTTATTGCTTCTTCTGAGCTCTTTGACAATAGCGTAAAGTTTACGATCTGGACAAAGATTGATTCCAAACATATATCTTCTCACCTGCAAAGAAGTTCATGAGCATGGCCACCCAGCCCAGAATGTAAGACCAGGAGAAGCGCCAGTCACCGAAGCGCTTTCCCAGGAAGTTGATTGTCACTCCAGTATAAATGGCCATTCCCAACAGAACAAAGAAAGCTATAAGTGGGAGAGGGAGGCACATGTCAGTTATGATTAAGTTAAAGTTAAATGTATGTGCGCCAATTCAGGAGAAAACAAGACTCACTTGAGACAAAAAACATGATTCCTGCAGCAAAGGAGCGGTTGAACCTTTCAAAGGAGGAGAAGTGGGAGAAGGACATGATGCCAGCGATGATGCCTGCGAAGCACGACATCCCTGAGAGGATCATGAAGGCTCTGGTGGCATTCCAGTAAGCTGGAAGCAAGCGGGTAGAAATCATCAGACATGCCATCATTATGAAGGTGTTTTCAAACATATAATACACCTAATGTGCGTTACCTATGCTGTCAGTCTGCATGTAGCACTTGTTGGACATGCAGTACCTCCACAGGCCCTGGTGGGCATAGTTTCCAGACATGCGGTACTGCATCCAGTAGTCAGTTGCAGTGGAGACCACCAACAGGATGTTACCAACAATGGCGCAGAACAAGCCCCCTCCCATGAAGCTGTACATCTTGAGCTGAGATAACGGGGCCGCTGCAGAGCAACTGCAATGTGAAAAGAGAAAATTATAGATGGTAAGTAATCATATATTTTCTTTTTGTGTACTGCAAACAAACATGAAGTTCTTATTGTCAAATTGAAGAGATTTGGTAATGAAATACACACATCTCTATTTTAAGACTTGTAATCTAATCTAATTGCTGAGATAAAGACAGTGTACATTAAAAATATCCTGTGGAAATGTACAATAACGTCCCTTAAATGTGTCATTCAAATGTATTCACTGAAGTTCTGCCAACAGTGCAAAAAAACATTTTAAAAATGGTTGTGATAGTTACAATTTCTTTTAATGTTTTTGCACTGTTGGGGGAATTTCAGTGAGCTACCAGATTTAACTAAAACCACAAATGATTCCTGCTAATTATAAAGCCATCTACGGACAACCACAAACATATGACATGAACAGCTAGACAGAAAACATTACTTTAAATATGAGCATGTAAAAACAGCACGTTGCTTTAGGTTTAGGTTTTACACTCAACCACCGTTTCCTCAAACATACGTACCTCTTCTTCAGTGAAACCATGACTATATGTGGAACAAATGCAAAACAAAACCACGGCGAAAGCTATGATGTTGCAGTTTGTTGCTGTTGTCCTCCGTTCAACTCCTCATGTCACACCAGTGCTTGTTCGGCTGTAACGAGGTTTTATCTGACTCTGCCAGCCTCTGTCCAACCACAGTCATCATATGTAAAATGTGTTGCTGTAGGATACACACACAAAAAAAAACCTGAAATTTGATCCCTTACCTTGTTTCTGGAAATGCACCCTCTCTACTGTCCACCTTTCTGAGGCAGAGATAGAAAGGAGTGGAGGGGAGAAGAGAGCGACTGAGAGCCGTTGCTCACTTGGGTCCAAAGAGACAGAGAGTCACAGATAATACGACAACCAGAAAGTTGCCCCCCTCGTTTTTTTCTGTCGATGAAAGCAAAATGCTTTGCCGCAATAGTCTCCCTGTGTGAAATGCACTTGAATGAAACACCATAGGGGTCACAATGCACGTGACCCTGTACATTTGAGTGGGTGGGTGGTTTGTGAGGCCTTGGAAAAGGGATGGTGGTCCATGTTTCTTTTTTTTGTGTAAACGGTATGGTCTAGAATTGGGGATATGCATAGGTATGCAGGACTGTCTGTGTCAATGTAACATGCTGAAACACACACTTTTCTTTCTTTTGAAACACAGAGGCAGTGGGGAGGGACACATATGGAGGGAGCGCTGTATAGTGGGACAGTGTCTCTCTCTCTCTCTACCTCTACTTTAGTATTTTCTTAATTAAAAATAGATAAGTACAGTATATACACATATATATAATATCTGAGATGAACTTTCGGACTGTAGGGCTTAACAGTATCTAGCCCTTTTCTAACTCTTTCTTATTTCTCTATTTATCAAACACATTCAATCCCAATAAAGGTAATGAACAAGAGATTGAAGGCCCATCGACTCCAGTGGAGCTGCCAGAGGCCAACAGATTTTAGTTGTACTGGGTGGATTTTAGAGGCCCTGTTTCCAGTGGTCTCTCTGGATAAATATGGGTAAAAAAAATGACGAAGCCAAAAATGGTAAGGGAAAATGTAAGAGAGCACAATGTTAGGCTAAGCATATGTAAATTAAACATGCACCTTTAGCTCCATCCCCACTGAAACAGAGCGGCTTCCACAGGATGACTCTCAGGTCGGCATCCATAAAATAGGCCGGATTTACATTATCATTTCTAAATTCACACCATTATGAACGTCTAATATAACATCAGTTGCAGGTTTGATTCCCTAAAAGGAGCTTGACCATTCGGGACCATATTGAGATGTATTCACGACTAAAGAAACACAATTTATTTAAGTGACAAAACAGCCTCGTCCACCTCTGATCTCTGTTGATCACACAGATGCTGACATAGAACAATGCGATGCTTGTCAAAAAGCAACTGATCATGACATCTTGTCGCTGTCAGCGGGGATCAACACCGAATATGAATCATATGCCCCACGTTTTTTTTAAATAATTGCTCATAAATAAATTGAATGTTCAAATTGTGACCCCAGCCCCATTAATAAAAATGTAAGGGTGTTTAGTTTTTATCCCAATTGAAGTTGTGTGCTTTTGCTGAGGTAGCAAGTAATGATTCTTATCATTGATTAATCTGTCAATTTAAGTATTCATTGTGAAATTGTGAATTAAACGTCATTAAGTCAAGAAAATATTCATCACAATACGCAAGACCACTTGATCACGATCCATCTGATCCAAATCTTCACCAAACATCACACCAAATAAAAACACATTTTCATCTTTGTGCTCGAGGTGACCAGGCAGCGGACTCCTCACACGTTCTGGAAAGACGTTTGACCTTTTATGATCCGGAAGCTGACGCCAGACCCGAGCTGTTCCATCGGCGGAATAAAGATGGCTGACCAAGGCGCCGCAGATCCTGGGAATAACAACAATAATACACCTGAAGCATCGGAAGGAACTATTATTAAGGTCACAGTAAAAACCCCTAAAGACAAAGAGGAAATCGCCATCGCAGAAGATGCGTCTGTCACTCAGGTTTGTCCATTTTCGCCTGTGGGGAGCTGCTTTGCGGTTCAGCGCCTGCTCTAACGTCATGCCCCTGCCCACAACTTCAGCGAGGAAGCTAGTTAGCCATGTTAGCATTTGTCGCTACTCTTACCGGCTAACTGATAGTATGTGAAATCAAAGACGTCGTGTTGGGCGAGAGTATTGCTGCTTGGTTCAACAACTGCTTGGTGTTATTAAGGTTATAGACACCCAAAAGAGAGAGATGACCTCGTCAATATTTCGAAATGGCTAATCGGCTAGCCAGCTAACGGTAACACTTAGCTAGCTTAGTTAGCTAACTCTGCTTACAAGCTAAGCCAACGATAGCTTGGCTAAACTGTAGCCAAACAGTGACAGCTGACGGGTGGCGTTCTAGCAATATTGGCCTGGAACCATGGAAGTGGTTTTGGACAAGGGATATGTCGAATCTCTTCCATTTCTTATTTTAGCTCGAGAGAGCTTGAAAGATGCTAACGCTTGCTATCACTCTAGAACATTCTCAGTGCTGCCACTGAGTCATTCAGCTTTCTGGGGAATATTCCGAATTCCCCGAGCTGATGTTGGCTCGGCGACGGGTTGAAGTGAAACCACGCAATCCTGAATGTAGGTTCAATGTGAAGGAACATTTTTGTCTGGTTGTGTGCTTTTCACGGTTATATATTCATGTGTTTCACGTTGGACTTAGATCCCTTACACAAGTGTGTTGAAATCTTTATCTAACGGTAACGTTACATGAAGCTTTACTGTATGAAAACTATATTTTATTCTCTAAGATGCACATTTTGTTTATGGAGCTGTGACATTGTTCAATATGAGGACGTGCAATTAACAGATTTCCTTGTCTTTTCTTTACTTCGATCGTCATCAGCTGCCACAACGTATGGTTTAAAATAACAGTAAACCTCTGTAAATAATTACATATCAATGGAGTAAGAGAGATAATAAGAAAGTCCTAAACCACAGATAACATTAACTTGACATTCATCCTCTTCTGATAATCTGACTTTTTGAAATAACTTATTTTTATTGTGTTGGTTAGTAGATCTATCCAATCTGTTTCATGTAGTGGAATTCATTTAAATGTTCAAATTAAATCATAACGTCGCTAAGCATAATTCTCAACATTATATATCCAGTTTTTAACTGTGACAATGAAATATGACATCAGCCTCCTTCAGGATTAAACTAACTTCTGTTCAAATTGTGCTTCACACAGTAGTGTGACTGGGGGGGAACTGACTTGTCAGATTTGGGCTTCAGAGGACTTTCTGGGAAATTTCGCAAGGTTGATGTGGAACATACAACAAATTTGAGCAGCTCAAATTACATCGTTACTTTTGATATTATCCTTTTAATTTCATTTTTCTGTCCCTCCTGTTCGTTTCTCGATCTCTCTCCGTTTCTTGCTGTCTTTTAGTTTAAAGAAGAGATCTCGAGGCGGTTCAAAGCCAAACAGGACCAGTTGGTTCTGATTTTTGCAGGGAAGATCTTGAAGGATGGCGACAGCCTTGGCCAACACGGCATCAAGGATGGTCTGACAGTTCACCTGGTCATAAAGACAGCACATAAGTACGGCTAAATTATTATACCAACAAATTTGTGTTTAACTGCATCAATAATATGTAAATACTACCAGCCTACACGAGTACTTGATTTCATATGTACCGTTACTCTGTAGGGCAGGAGATGGCGGTAGCACCTCAGCCTCAAGCTCAACCACCACTCAAGCAGGCAATACCTCCACCTCTAGTCCAGGTACAACCCCCTCCTCCACAGCAGGCTCCACTGGCAATGCTGTACCACCTACACAGACGCCCAACATACTGAGTGAGTCCACCTGTGTGTTACTATTTACACTCCAAACCCCCATTATTAATTCAGCTCCTCATGGATGATGTTTAAAACCATCGCTTGCCCATCTGCTGTCACTCAGCTGGCTTTGGTGACTTGGCCGGCCTGTCCGGACTGGGCATGGGCTCATCTAACTTCATGGAGCTCCAGCAGCAGATGCAGAGGCAGCTCATGTCCAACCCAGAGATGCTGTCTCAGATCATGGAGAACCCGTTGGTGCAGAACATGATGTCCAACCCAGACCTAATGAGGCAGATGATCATGGCGAACCCCCAGATGCAGCAGCTAATGGAACGCAACCCTGAGATCTCCCACATGCTCAACAACCCTGAGCTTATGAGACAGGTAAACGAAATGGAGCGGGGCTGAAAGGCAGAGAGAATGGACTCTTGCATGAATACACGTTTTGCACTGTTTATTTAGGATTTTACTTCCTGTGTTTAGAATGAACTACAACTGACTTGCATCCCTGCTGCTTTTATCTCAACTCCCAGACCATGGAGCTAGCGAGGAACCCAGCCATGATGCAGGAAATGATGCGAAACCAGGACCGGGCCCTGAGCAACTTGGAAAGCATACCAGGAGGTTACAATGCTTTGCGGAGGATGTACACAGACATCCAGGAACCCATGTTCAGCGCTGCCAGGGAACAGGTACCTTGTAGGGATTTTTAATGATACAATCCATGTCTGGCCTTAGTTGCCAGCGTTAAAGGGTTAACTATCTCTTTCTCTGTAGTTTGGAAACAACCCATTCTCGGCTTTAGGTGGGAACTCTGAGTCAGGCGCCCAGCCATCACGGACAGAGAACCGGGAGCCTCTGCCCAATCCATGGGGGCAACCAAATTCTTCTAACCCCTCTGAGAGTGGCGGGGCCTCCACAGGAAGCACGAGCACCACTGGAGGAACCAACCCCAGTGTGTCCAATCCTCTGGGAATCAATGCTGGCAGTCTGGGCAATGGTACGTATGATGGATGAGTTTGTGGTTCTCAATACACCTGCTTGCTAAGTAATCAATTTAATCCTTTGTTTACGTGTTTAGGTGCATGTAAACTCCTTTTTGTTTTCTGTGTGTTGCAGGGATGTTTAACAGCCCGGGCATGCAGAGTCTACTGCAGCAGATCTCGGAAAACCCTCAGCTGATGCAAAACATGATCTCCGCTCCATACATGCGCAGTATGATGCAGTCACTGTCTCAAAACCCAGAGTTGGCCTCCCAGGTATGAAACGGAAAGATGTGTGAACACAGGGCTACGGGCCACTGTACTGCATGAACCAACAGGGCCTTTTTATATTAGAACCCAAAGCTTGCCTTAGAACGCATTGTTATTCACATTGTGTACCACATGTTAAATCATAATAAAATGTAAATAGGTTCTAGCCTGTTGTGCATTAGGCAAATAATCCCCGCCATTTATTGCATACTAAATAGAGTGGATTGTCTGTTAAGCTCCAACCAACGTACAGCTCCGACTTACTGGGTTCTCACGAGCAATGCTGATTACACCAAACCAGAAAATCCTTAGTGAAGTGCTTTTATTTTTGTCATTCAACATTTTGGTGTTGATCCATGCCTAATGTAATTATCAACTGTCCTTTTTTCTGTCTGTCTCTTCAACAGGTTTTGATGAATAACCCCTTGTTTGCTGGAAACCCACAGCTGCAGGACCAGTTCAGATCTCAGTTGCCCATTTTTCTGCAACAGGTATCACGCACATTTTAGCCCAGACATGGGCAAAATACGGCCCGATGGGCTGCAAACTTCCCCCCCGAACTTTCAGTCGCACTTAAATGGAAACATGCCTAATACCAGGGCTTGACATTAGCACCTGCCAAATGCGGGTGGAATTCGGCTGTGGCGAGTAAAGCAGTCTCTCTCACTTACTACTTTGGCGGGTGTAATTCTATATACATCTCTATTTTTTATTGTAGTGTAACAGCTATTATTAAAGGGTCATAAGTGCATCATGCACGGACCCAGAACGCTCGGTTACATTGGTGCAGCGGTGGTTCATGTAAACAGACTACGGACCGCGACGACCATTTTCACTTCGGTGACTTTGAGTGTGCACTTCCTTAGCTAATCGTAGACAGCTGAGCTAAACTAACCATTAGCAGGCTAAAGCTGCAGCACTACAGAGACAGCAGTGCGTGGAGATGAAGACCCGTTTAACAGTTCCGGGCTGTTGACCAGACGTCGGCCAGCTGAGATCCATGCGGTCCTGGCTGCTCCGTGTACTGGTGACAGTAGCCAGTTTTTAGCCAGACGGTCCATTACAGTAGTCTTCTCAAGACACGTCTAAAGTAATAAACTCATTGCAGGGTTCTGAAGCCTCACGCATTGACAGTGAGAGACGCTCATTTAAAACAGTTCACACGCCACGTCTTGAGAAGACGCCTCGTCCACCGTACGTTCGTTGCTAAGCAACATAGACGCACAAACACACGTGACCGGTGGAGGCTTTTGATACAGTGAAGGTTGTAGCAGCACATAGCAGGTGTAGGAAAACCCGGAGGACAGACACACGAAAGATCCATCCCCAAAAATAATGTATTGCACCGATTGTAGAACGATTAAGGGTCTTTTGTAGTTGGGACAAGCAATTTCCCAGTGGAAACAATAAAGGACCATGAAGTTTCTGTTGGCCATGTCAAAGGCATTACGACTAAACAGACAAAGACAACAAAGTGTTGCATTTAGGTCCCTGGTCCTCATGAAGTCAGGGGAACTACACCCTTGCAAATTTGTTAAATTGCCTTGCAAATAAATGCTTTGCTACTTGTGGCCCGCAGGCCCAAAAAGTTTGCTCACCCCTATTTTAGTCCGATAACTCACCCGGGAATTATTTACCGCCGTGAGGCACAAGCACAGTCCTCATAAAATGCAATAAGGAATGGCTCCAATATTTATTTTCTTCTAATTATGAATATTGGCATATTATAATATTTGGCTTCAGTGTTGGCATTTTTTTTCTTTATCTGCATTTAATTGACTGGCTGCTTGAAAGTTTGGTCAATTCTTTGCTTGGTTACAGATGCAGAACCCAGAGGCCCTGTCAGTGATGACCAACCCCCGCGCCATGCAAGCTCTGATGCAGATCCAACAGGGTTTGCAGACACTGCAGACAGAAGCACCAGGCCTCATGCCCAGGTTTGCTCCAACAGATACCTACACAGATATTGCGCTATCTGTTCAATTTTTTTCCAACTCCTCCTTTTTCTTTTTTTTTTTTGGTGTAGTTTGATGACAGGCGGAGTTCCCGGCGGTGTTCCTGGTGTAATTCCTGGTGGAGTTCCCGGTGTAATCCCTGGTTTAATTCCTGGCTTAGTACCCGGTGGATCTCCTGGAGGAGCTCCAAGTGGAGTTCCTGGTGGAATTCCAGGCATGCCCACAGGTGGGGGGTTGCCAGCAGAGAACCCGGCTTCCTCACCAAGCAACGCGGGAACAAACGCCGCCCAGCAGCAGCTAATGCAACAGATGCTCCAGATGTTTGCTGGTGGAGTTGGCGGAGGAGGAAGCGCAACGGTACACAGATGCACGCGTGCAAGGATATTGCTTCTTCCGCGCCTGTATGATTGTGTTTTTGAAATGGGATTTATTTTTTGCCTCCTGTAGACCCAGACCCCAGAAGTGCGGTTCCAGTCCCAGTTGGATCAGCTGAGCGCCATGGGCTTCATCAACCGCGAGGCCAACCTTCAGGCCCTTATTGCTACTGGAGGAGACATCAACGCCGCTATCGAGAGACTGCTGGGCTCACAGCCCTCGTAAAGACATACAGTACATACTGACTCACAGACACGCGCATACATACATACATACATACATACCTAACTCATAAACACACCCAGCATCAACAGAGAACCAAGAGAAATTTAGGTGTATTGTCCCAAACTTTACAGAAGACACTTGGCAGCATCTGTTAGACCCTCATTCTACATCTGTTTTCCGATCATTCCCTAGTATCCACACTTTTTTGCGTCATTCAACCTGATCTCTGTCCCAGAATGCTGCTGTAGAGCCGGACTGAACATCTCTCATCCTGAGGGGGTGTTCTGGTGCAGAGAAAGGAGAGAAAACCTCTCCTGAAAAGGGACTCCCAACCATTTCTTTATTCCTTGTTTTCTTTGCATAAACTGGAGTAGAGTGTCGCAGGCATTTGCATTATACAGATGAAACCCATGTGATGTGATTGGCTGTGGCTCTGATTTACACATGGCCGTTGTTAGGCAGATTGTTAGCGTTTATCTAGCAATTCAATACATGAAGAGTTTCTGGCATACTGACCGTAAACTTGAACGCCAACAGGAAAACGACTTGTCCATACAGACGTTCAACCCCAGTCTGCTCTGAAACCCCATTCTCAAGATTCTACATAGCCGTTTATTTGCCCAACAACTCCCACTATTTATTGCAAGCGCTTGACAAAATGACGCCCTCCAAACTTACCTTAACTTGTAATTTGTCATTCCAGATAAAAGTGCCCACTCACAGGTGCACAGTGTCTTTTCCTGCTGAGGCACCACTGCTGTGCCTTCTGTCCTTCCCTTCCCTGTCCTGTAAGAGCATTGTCGCCAACGACACCCTACATACAGCGGTTGATTAGAAACCCCCTCTAAATTCCACACGGCGTGATGCAGGACGGCAACCCTAATCAAATATCACAGCCGCTCCGTAGCAGAGGACGCTGTGAGAATGAATACGAATGAAACAAACAAGCTTTCCTTACATTTTAATCTGATTCTTCTTTGTTCATTATATTTTTCTTCTTTTGAGGTGCAGTTAGTACCTAGAGATGATTAGGATTTGTCTCGCGTAAAATAAACATTGAAATTAAGTGAGTGAAATAATAAATGAATAAATAATGGAAAGGCTGTACAAACAATTATGGTATGGTGGCACTATACAATTTCTAAAATTCAAGTTGTAGGTTGTCTTTTTCTGTTTTTCTGGAAAATCTCAGCATTGTAGTTGTGGTTACCTTGACAACTGCTGCTATAGCTTTGCTTTGTCTGTTGACCTCAGCTGGAAGGAAAATCCATCTCACAATTGAACATGTTGAAACTAACTTTTAACAGTACTGTACTAAAGAAGAATAAAACATGGTCAAAAACAGTCCACGCCCTGTGTCAGGTGATTATAGCCTTGTGACGGTGCAACATCTGTAGCTTTCTATTCATTGTTTTCTTGTCTGGAAGTTAATATGAAGTAATTAACATAACAATACTTTTAACATGCAGATAAGCTGTGTTTGGGTAACAAATGGTCATGTTAAGAGGTAAGTTGGCCGTTTATTTGGTATGCTTTTGTTTTATACATAATCACTATCCCCAATTTTTTCATATAAAATCTAAATCGGCTTTCCGGAAACCATCTCAATTAGATCTACATAGCCCAATATTACAAATTTGCCTTAAATAGTTTTACAGTCCATGGAGCATACCACGCCATCTATGCTTAGAACCTGTAGTTAATATTTATAAACTTGTATCATAAATTTATGAAACAAAAATATAATATTATTCTGATCAATATTTACTTGGGTTTAAATAGACTTTTAAGGGATTTTTTCCTGGCTTTGGAAAAAGCCTTGGGCATACTTCCAGAAAAGAAAGGTTAGCCAATTAGTCAAAATTGACTCTCAGATCAAATCTTCACACATTCCTGTGGCCAAACCGTCGTGTAGTAGTAAACCGACCCACCTGTTGGGTGAGGTTCATTGTCATAAAAAGGAAAGAATGGGTGGAGTCTCTTTCTGATCATTAACTGCCAGTGGTTCCACCTGTTCAACCGGCTCTCCACCCCCCCCCCCCCCAAAGCTCCCTTGGGTGTCAGCTGACGAGGGATCGGCAGGCTGCCGGTCCGTCTGTCCTCAGGCACGAGCTCCCTTTATCCAGATAGATAGAGAAGGAGACGCTGAGCCGGCTCTCCTTTCTGTCCTCGGTTTTCACCGTTTGCACGTCAGAGAGGAAGCTACAGAGAGTCTCATCTTTGGCTTCTCCACTTTGTCAACTAATATTGACAGTGACTCCAGGATATTTAACAAGTGAAACAGAAATCCACTGTCACTAAATGCAGCATGGGGTCCGATGAGTCGTACAATTTTGTCTTCAAAGGTGAGTATTGTTTGCTTTAGCTGTGAATGTGTCGGAAGAGATCAATCGTATGTGGTGTCTGTTCTGTAGAAGTTGTAAAGTAAAAGCTTACTGTTCATTTAGCTCTGACATCTTAAAGAAACTAATGATCATTTCCTGCTCAACTGAGACTGTTGCGTGTTTGAAGCCGCAATTTTCATTCCAAAGTAGCCTCGGCCCCAGCGGGGCCACGTCGCTGTGACGTAGCAGTGTTCTATGTGTGAAGAATCAGACATTCTATGTCTGATTCCTCACACATGAGTAGTTCTCACCATTCACGGTTGGATTTTGGACCTAATGTGTAAACAAAACCAAGAAAAAAAGCGCAAATAGTTAACCAGACACATTCTTCATAATGAATTAATTCCACATTCTCTTGCTTGTTCTTGTCCAAGTGGTTTTGATAGGGGAGTCCGGTGTAGGAAAGAGCAATCTTCTCTCTCGCTTCACCAAGAACGAGTTCAGCCACGACAGTCGAACAACCATCGGCGTGGAGTTCAGCACGCGGACGGTTATGCTGGACAACTACACCATCAAGGCCCAAATCTGGGACACAGCTGGGCTGGAGCGCTACAGAGCCATCACCTCAGCGTGGGCGCACACACACACACACACACACACTCAGTGTTTGCTCACACGTGTGGCAGTTAATGGTCTCCCGTTGTCCGCAGTTTGAATAAGAAGATGAAACTCACAGCCGTTGGTGTCCCCCTCTCAGGTATTACAGGGGGGCGGTCGGAGCACTGTTGGTTTATGACATCAGCAAGCACCTGACTTACGAGAGCGCCGATCGGTGGCTGAAAGAGCTGTTCGACCACGCAGACCCCCACATCGTGGTGATGCTGGTGGGAAACAAGAGGGACATGGAGTCCGTCCGGACCGTGCCGACGGAGGAGGGCAAAGACTTTGCAGGTCAGCTGGGACCCGGTTTAATCACTGGGCTCAGTATTTCCCCTTGATTATGTCTGTTTTTTGATAGTGTTTCTCCCCCCCCCCCCCCTCCTCCCTTGGACTATTCCAGAGAAGAGAGGCCTCCTGTTCATGGAGACGTCGGCGTTGGACTCCACCAACGTGGAGGATGCTTTCACCGACGTCCTCTTGGGTGCGTTCAGTCAGCGCGCGGAACAGTACGTCCTCTCCCAGTGACTCCCTGACGCAAACCTGCCATCTTTTTTTTTTTTTGTTTCACCGTTTTCCAGCGATTCACAGGAAGGTGGCCAGCAGGGAGGTGACCCGCGGCTCCATTTGCGCCGTGACCCTCTCCAACCCCGTCGGACCCAAAAGCGAGGCCCACGGGGAGCGCAGGAACTGCTGCGGTGGCTCCTAGCCGACCTGTGAGGACCCCGCTCCGTCATGGCTGACAGCCGCCGAGGCTCCTGCATGATTGAGAGAGCGAGGAAGCTGCTCGACACTCAATATACAGAGAACAAAACCATAGATCAAGATTTGGATATTGGGAAAATCTGTATTTTATATGCTGTATTTCTTGTGCCGGCTCAGGGGCGTATTTTATTTGAAATAGTTATTTGAAATAAGAAATTTCTTATGTTTTAAAAATAGGTTGTAAAGTTCTATTTCTTTTATGGGACGAAGTCATGACTTTATTATGTGATGAGGGAATAGGAGACATGGCGGATCTCAGAGAAAGGTCGTTGGAAGAAAAACTCCACACCGTTTATAAATGCTAATAAAATTAGTCATAAAAATATTATCCGTAAAAGTGCAGAGGTTTTATCAAAGAAAATTGCCTAAATAAAACATTTATACCATTGACTATATTAAAGGAATATTATTAATGCATTTACACATAAGCATGTTTCGTGTTTGGGTGTACTCATTTATATGCCTTGGCTAAATGCAAAACAAATCAGTGTGTTTAAAATCTGATGCAGGCACTAGAGATGCCGAATGAATGCAGATAACTGAATTAATCTTCCAGCACTGGACTAAATGTAATGTCAGTTGTAGTTGTAGACATGGACCCGCTGAGGAGCTGCTAATACACGTTGCTTCATGATAAAGGCTCACATCGAAGAACAAGTGGGACGCGGTGGTCTCTCCTCCGCCTCTAGATGTCAGTGCTGCTATGACATGTAAAGCCCGTTCCTCATTAACTCCATCACGACTCTCACCGCCATCTAATCCCACTATTCGTTTCATTAATGATTACAGTATTAAGCTCATGTGGCGCTGCAGTTTTGTCACCATGGTAGCGACCTCTGATGCCCTTTGGACGAGCTAATCAGCGAGCCCATGGAGGAGGGAATTAATTGCGACTTTCCCCACAAATAATGCATTTATTCACGGATCGTATGGTTTTTTGTAATTGAACAGGCTCATACTGCACAACTGTGAGAATATAAATCTACTGCAGTGATAGAAGACTATCTGTCCAAAATGTCATTAACTATCTCTGGCTCACAGATGTGCATCCAATGGGGCGTGTTTGTCCATAGATCCTTTATTAAATTTCTCCTCTGTTACCATGATAGGGACGGCTCTGCAAAATGTTTAATTATTTTCTTTGAATAAGGGTATTTTTATTGGCTGAGTTAAAGCATCTGCTGTAATAATCCACGCTGGCTGAACAGGCTTCACAGGTGAAAAGGTAATGACATCAGTAGATCTCCCTCCGTGCTCGGCATGAAGATAGCGCTTATCTTTGCACAAGTGATGAAATACAAATTAAAAAGAAAAGTCTTCTTTGTTCATTGTCAGCTACCACATTACAGATTCTAGCAAAGTCCTCCAGGATCTGTGTGCAGACCCTTTTCTGACCTTGTTCTAAGCTCCTAAAGCGGTCGGAAAGTATTTATCACATACATGTGGTGGCTATTACGCACATGCTACTTGACATGTAGAGCCTCATATATGCTAAAGTGACGAGTGGTACGGCGCCTCTGACCCCAACGTGGAGCTTTTTATCTCCCGTTTGAGCGACCTGCTCCTCCAGCGCTTTGTGGGTAATCTTGTGCGCCTTGAATTTTCTTTTGCAATGTCACATATGTATGAGTATTATTGTGAACTTTGTGTGCTTATGACCTTTGAACCCATCCATCCATCATTCTGTGTTCTCTTGTACCTCCTCCCATGTAGTAAATTCCCCTATGATGTCTGTTGCACTTGGCCGTCCGTATTCAAGGTCACGAGCGGTGCCTTCGGGTGCGTACAATCCAGCAGCCTGCCAGGCACAAGCTGACGTGAGCATCGGTTTCCTTACCATAATATTACGTACCGCAGTTGCCGTGACAACCCCAGTGTTTGTCTGTGAGTGCGGCGCTAAGCGGCTGCAGGTGTAAAGTGCTGCTCTCAACTGAAAGCCGAGAGCAGAAAGAGTGTGAAATTGGATTGTCATTAACACATTACGGCCGGTGTCACGGGTGAGCTTTCCGCTGAGTGTGTACATTGTAAGGATGACATCTTTGACATGACATGTTTTAGTCGACGCACGGAAACCTTTTCAGTCACATTAGCACGGTGACGTATTTTATCAACAGCCGTGACGGTTTGACTTTTGCAAATTCCTCTGACCCAGACGTTTTTCTGGCAGCGCTCCAACATATTTCCCCAGAGACACCTGGCTGAAGCTCACACGAAGCCCTTTTTCTCCTCAGCTTTGGTTCCATGTGGCTTGTGGATGGAGGTGCAGTCCAGATGACAAGGCTCAGCCACGGGCGTGAAGATGCAGGCGCTTACTTGCTATTTTGTTCCACTGAGTTGTTTCCCTGAATGACACCCGGCCTTCCTGTTGAAAATGTTTCACTTTATGGTTTGGTTTTGTATGTCGGCCGTGTAATGAGGGCTGTGTGTGCGCGCTTTTTAAGAACAGTTGTCGAATTGACAGCTTTCCAGGGCTGGATCTCTGTGGATCTGGAGATTGTGAGAAAACACATGTTGTTGTTCGCTCACTCGGGGGTGGGGGGGAGTGGTGGGTGGAGGGGGGGGGGGGGACACAACATTAAGGAATGAGAAAGTTGAACCAAGGTCTGTGTCAAAAAGTACAGCACATCTAAACTCTCTACGGATGTTTGCGTGCGTTGCATGCGGTGCGAATGAGACAGCTCATGACTGAGTCATGTGTCGTGTGCAGTTTCCTCTCCATGCACTGAAAGCTCTGGGATGCATCTAAAAATACCACGACCCGAGAGGAAGGCGAGGATGGGAAAGCATTGCAGGAGAACAACTCGGGGCTCCTTTCAGAGGGGGGGGGGGGGCATGCGGACAGGAGCCCCCTGTGGCCTGAGGGGAAGGGTTTCCCCTCTGCAAGGGTTGCTTATTACAGCCTGAAAAAAGAAATCTGCCTGTATTACTTTTGTTAATGGTCAGAAACTCTCTCTTTCATGTGGGGTGTTATGTGACTGATGCTCTGTGAACTCAGATGTGTTTATTGTATTTATTCACGTTGGCTTGGGGGGGCTGCAATAACCCAGGGTGGTGCTGCGCACTCATTAGGGTCATTTCCGTCTGTTTACAAAGTTAAAAACAGATTTCTGGGAAATGTAGATACAGGAGCAGACTTGAACACGAATCGTGAGGCGATAAGATAAAGGCAGAGGAGGAGGAGGAGGAGGAGGAGGAAGAGAGGAGGAGGAGGGTAATCCAGATGGGAAGGAGCAGCGTCGGCGCCGCAGGAGAGAGAGAGAGAGAGAGAGAGAGAGAGAGAGGGGGAAGACAGCCTGTGGAGGAGAAGACTCTCTCTGCATGGAGATAAATTAATAATAAATTAATCTCACACCGACAAACGGACTTCACTCGGTGCTGCCATGTATTTTGGTACGTAAACGATCCTTTTTTTAATGTGTTGCAGCGGAGTCACTTGTTGCTACGATGAGACGGATGAAGTCGGTCAGGTTGCAGACGATGTGCAGCTCTGGGAAATGAGCTTTGTTTTAGTTTGGAGCGAAATGACACGCGGTCCGTGTTATTATGCCGCCTAACGGGGCAACGTTTGATGAAGGAGAAAACATGTTATTGCTTTAGATTATTACATGCAGTTTGTTGAATTACGTTCACTGCTATTTTTATCCAAGTGAAAACTATTTTACACATTAAATCTCTGGTGAAAACGATTGAATAGTTCCATTTGGGAATAGAGGGCAGTATTATTGGAATCGTTGTCCTCAAGTTTGTGTCGCAATATGAAGATAATGTAGTCGGACTGCGCTGATGCAAAACACCGCGATGCGCGCAGGATCCTCCACGTGTCCAGAGCAGAGAATGCGCCTTAATTATTGCGTCACACTGTGGGTTAAACACCTTATCGCGGCTGAATTCACCTTCCCACGCGCACGCTGAAGCAAATATACAACGTGACGTGCGTGCGCATATTCTGACATGAGGTTAAAAGTGTTTCTATGCAATCAGGCGAACGACGGAGCGGATGGGTGTGATCTTGATTATGATGATTACACGCGCGAGCTTGTTTTAAATCGATTTGTAATCAACAAACGAGGTAGAAATCAAGCTTCCAGAACCAGGACTCAGCAGCACGATGCGAGACAGCACTTTTTGTAGTTACCGAAAAACCCAGAAGTGTGTGCGTGTGTGTGTGTGTGTGCGTGCGTGTGTTAAAACACAGTCGGAGACCTAAAACCTGATTACTGTGAAGGAAGTTCTCAGATGGATATCAGACTGCCATATTGTTTAATCACATAATCCAGAACAATCAGACAGACAAAGAAAGATTTTTTTTAACAAACTCAATTTAAGGTTTTTTTTAAATTATAAAACATGTATGCAAAAATACAAACAAACCAAACTTGAACAGACAACCTCGTATTTTATGAATCTAATCTTTTTTTTTTTAATTTTTGATCTGAGTGCTTCTATTTTATCAACAGTGAGTGAAACTTAAATAAAACAGAAGGACAGCAAACATATTTTTTTCTAGTCAGCAGTTTAATAGTCCAAATAATGTTATATCACATTCATCACTTCAAACGCTGTTCATTGGATTTTAACAAAGCACATCAATCACCAATAGCACATCTAACAATATTAATACAACTGAGCCTTGAGCATGTGTTTTTACAGCACTCCTTGGTGTTATTTGTAAGTAGGAAAACCCCTGATCTGTCATTTCTTCCCATGTTTACCTGTCTCCTCCCCAGGTAGCGTGGCTCTGCCGCCGCTGGCCCGCCCCACGCCGGGCAGAGTGCGACTCCCCCCGGACCCCCAGCCCCTCGTGCCCTTCCACCTGCTGCCGGGGTTCACCAACGTGAGTTCAGTCGGTCATCGTCGGTTGTCACGGCAACCGCGATCTCACCAACCGCTCGTTCCATAAAGAAAAATCGAAAAATCCCCAAATCGATCAGTTCATCTCGTCGACTTCCTGCCCGCCAAGTGTTTCGTCTCGTGCAGCAGTCTGCTTCTTTCAATACACAGCTGCCTACACCGTTTCCAAATATATCACCTCTGATGTCGAGAGCTGTGACATTTCCACACCAGCTGGAGGGTGGAGCTCATTCCTTGATATTCCTCACACAGCTCCTCTCGGAGCGATCGGTCGCCCCCCCCCCCCCCTCCCCCCCAGCCGTGCCTGTGAAGGTGGAGAGAAACGCAGCCAAGTCCAAGCCTCAGAGGCAGTAGATGTGTCAGGCAGGGCTGATAAGTGGATAGCAGGGGATCGCAGGCTGTACGCCTCCCTTAACTCTTGTCTTTCCCTCCGGCCTCGATCGACGCAGAGTGAAAATGTACCTTGACCCCCCCGGCCTGCTGCGTGTTTGAACACAAAACACCTTTATAACACTTGTATTTGCTGTGAGTACATGAAGCCCAAAAAAACCCCTGATGTGATTATTGTCTTCGCAGTTCACTAAACCTGTTAGAAAACCTGAACTTGAGAGGAAGTTGAGATGACTCACATCACGGAGTCTGGCCAGATTCACTTTGAGGGAAAATACCTCCCTGCTCATAACTTGGGTCTTGATTTTGTCTTTGATGTTGAGGAGAAATACAGACTTTAAAAGAATGAGAGGATTGTGTGTGTGTGTGTCTCTGTGATAGTATAGCCTCTCTCCCTCTTGTCGAAAAGCCATTCTGCCACCTGAGGAGGTCTCGCCCCCCCCCTCCCCTCCATTTCGCCTCTCTCCCCTCTCTCTCGCCTTCTCGTCCCCCCTGTGCACTTCACTGTGTTGTTCTTGCTCCATCGCACGCTTATCTTCAGCTCTCTTTTCTTGTATTTTCCACTTGTCTCCCGCTGTCGCCGTCCACATCTCTTCGTGCACTCTTTCTTACTTTCAGAGTTTTTGACTTTGCATCACTCCATCATTGGCCAGACCCTCCTCTCTCCCTCTATTTATTTTCTCCCTGGCTCCTTTACAGCACACACCAAAACCCGAAATCAAATTTCCTTTTTTATTATTGAGTTCACAAAAAAACTTCTCACTTTTTTTTCTCACAAATCAACACATGTTGAAAGATGTCTTCTAAAAACTCACTAGACCCTCCCCCTGCAGAGTATAGCATCCCTTCTATAACTTCTCTTCTTTTATTTCATTTTCAACACTTCTGCAACTCCGAGGGGGAATATTGTCTGGCGTGCAATGCTTGGCTTTGCCTCGCTAGTGACAGTCCGCTTCGCTTTACTTGGCCACATGTTTCAGCTCACTCACTCCATCCAGATGAGCACTTCTGACTCACAACCGCTGCAGAGGATGAGGTCGTCAGAACGAAGGTCCCGATGTCTACTGAGGTCTTTGTTTAATGTAGAGCACACTGCCTTTGTTTGTTCTAATGTCACAATCAGTCAAGAGCTTGGATGTCGCGTGTATACACGTAGGTCGTGAGGACGTATATCTGTTTACACAGTCGTACTAAGGGGACTTTCCTTCCCGTTGGGGACAAAGTGCATGTCTCCATCACGTAAACGATTACATTTTAGGGTTAAGAATGTGTTTACGGTTACGTTCAGAGTAAGTCTCCAGGAAATTAATGAGCGGGTGTCTTAGTACAGACAAGAGAAAAAAGAAGAAACTAGAGGGTATAAACAAGAAGGGGGGGCGGGACTTCCTCACAGGTGTTAGCGTGGATTGTGAGTGGAAGGTGACAGTGAGTCTGCTGGGAGGCAGGAAGGTGACTTTGATCAGCCGGACACGGACGACAGAGGCAGAGACTTCAGAGGGGGGCGGATGGAGGAGGAAAGTGAGGAATGTGTGAGGGGGGGGGGCAATTAGTGACACAGCAGTAAATATTTAACATTAATGTGGCTGTGTTGTTGTTGACATGCACTGAAAACTCACTGTATATGTCTCTGCTTAGTACAGTTACTGATTTTTAAAAAACTTTTATGATTTCAGGATTTGTGTATCAGATATTGGTGCACGATAGAACCACTTTTGTTTTTATGTGTTTGCTTGAGCTTTACATAGACAGACAGCTGCAGGGAAACACAGAGATAAGAGACCAGTGAAACATTCCACTGCAGCTGCCTGCAGTGATGATTAAAGGAAATGTGCACACACACAGACACACCCACACACAGACACACAGACACACACTGACTTGCAGACAGTCACGTTTTTGAACGTTTGAAGAGCAAATAATTCATCTGTGACACTCAAAACCGAATCTCTAGCGCAACAGTTGTCCTCAGGTCTTACATCACTAGCTGGCTGTTTCACAACAACATATACGGACAGATTCCTTTGTAGCCGCACTGGTTTTGGATGATTACGTGGCTCCCTACATTTCACCGCATGTAATAAGTTTGTAATGCTCCAGAAATGCCTGTTGGGTTTTATTATTCCGAGTGTGATGTGTGGTCAGTTACGGGTGTAGATGTGGACACACACACACACACACACAAACAGAATGACATGCACACTGACAAAGAAACCTAGACTTGTGGTGAAAGGTCACATTTTCTGTTTGTGTTGAGCAGGATGTGATTCAAGCACTGGGTGATGCTCAGCATGAAGCAGTCACTCCCCTCAGGTCGGAAAAGTGGCTGCAAAATGTAGTTTAGAGTTTGTCCCTTTGTGGCGAGTGGAGGCCAGGTGACTCTTGACTCTAATATTTACACGTTTATGTGTAGAAAATAAAATCATCCAATCTCCCTTTTCTGCAAATGCCACTTGTCTGCTAAACTAGCATATGGCTACTAAATCACACACACCATTGTTGATTACTGTTTATCTCATTTACTCCACTGGGCTACAACTTATCCACTCTCTCGTCTCTCTTGAGAGAGAATTTAAGCCAAAGTATATTTCATAGTCTTTTGACAAATAGTGACCCGATGCTGGCCAACATCAACGTGATTATTACTCATTTCCCCTTGTCAGCAACCCTCAAGCTTTTGACTGGCAACTTTCAAATGCACATGTGCAAAGGGCTTCATACTCACTTAGCCGGGGTTAGTCGAAGGTCTTGCCTCAGTGCATAAAAGGTCATTCATGGGCTTTTGTGTTAACGCATCTGGGGAATTACTACCCCATTAAGCTCCTTCTTTCAATACCTCAGATTTAATGGATCTGGTTTTCTCGAAAGGTGCACATAAGTAACAGTAGCAGACAGCCTGCTATTAACACTAATGGTGATCACCACCTACTCAGTCTCAGTCGTGACCTTAATTCCACGTTTCTGCTTTGTTGCAGATGGATCACATCCGTAAAGCTGTGATGGGCCCTGGCTTCGGGCTCACCGCGCCGCTGAAACGGAAGCTGGGTTCCTGCGGATTCTGCCCGCTGAGGTGTAACCCCGAGGTGGGCGTCGTCGTGTGGGAAGCACGCACATTGGATTGTTTTTCTTTCACAGCGCTTTTATTTCTCACGCACACCCTTACGTCATTGTGTTAGTTGAATGGCTCAGGAGGGCCGCCCTGAGGTTGCACCTGCCCCATTTCAGAATCTTGTGAAACGTGCTCACCTGTTAATATTTCACCATATTTCACCAGCAGGCTGACCCAGACTTCCCTCTCACCTACAACATCCCCAGCTCATTCTGGGGGATCCCGAGGCGTTCCCAGGCCAGCTGGGAGACATAGTTCCTCCAATTCTCCCTCTGCTTCTTCCTTGTGTTAAAACAGCTGTTATCTATGTAAAGGGAGAGCAGCCTTTAATACTATGTGCTCCGGCTACATTTAGATTCAAGTGTATTGTTGCTTGATATGAAAACATTTTTAGGGTCACATAACAAAATAATGATTGACCTCCTTCTTGTTTGCTGTTGTGTGAGCAGGCTCAGGCTCCTACACTCTCTGCTGACACCAAAAACTCAAAAAGGCTGAAAGCGATGGACACCCCCGATTTAAAAATCAGGACCTCTGAACCGGTTGCCAGGGAAACCACATCGCAAATCCTCCCGTCCCCTTGCTTACAGCCCTCGAGTGCTGACACAGGAGGTGTGTATCTCTGCAAGCACATGTTAGTGTCTGTGTGTGTGTTTGTGCAGAAATTAAATATACGACAATGTTATATATATATATACGAATGTACAGCTCTTTCCAGGCATGACTTTAATTCTTTGATGCGATAAACCTCCTGCTGCTTCGGGTTTCACCGTGAAGAGCATAAAGATTGAGAATTACTCTGCGTTCTTTCTTCATATCTACATTTATCTCTCAAGTGGGCTCCTAAGATCAAAAACGTTAAAAGAACACGTAAATGTGATTAGTAGGTAGCTGTATAGTGTGTCTGAGAGAGTTTAGTAGTGTGTGCATGCGATGTGTTAACGTGATTGTGGAGGTCTATCAAAGCGTTGACTGCTTTCCAGCATGTTTGTGTGTGTCAGTGCCCACTTGCTACTTTTGCACGCGTGTAGGTGTTTTAGCTGCAAGCTAAAATGCAAAAAAAGATTGAAGAATCGTGCTTCATCCCTGCTGTGAGAGTGTGTTTGAAGGGTGAGGGCAAAAGTGATAATTTACAGGTTTAAGGGAAGTGGATGAGACGACAGGAGAGCTCTCTGAAGACTGCTTCAACAAACAGCCTAGTCGGGCTCCAAGAGTGGGGAGTCAATAGCAACAAGCAGACACCCACTCAGCTTTAGCAGAGCTAATCATTGTTATTTGCAAAGATTGAATCCTTAAATCAGCACACGCTCCTCCAGGGAACTTCTACAAGTCGGTCTGACAGAAGACAATAGAGCAAAATCAACTTTTAACTCCAAACCCTAAATGGAGGTGCTGGTAGTTAGAGCCTTGGGGAAATCGTTGAAAATGAGTGTGATTAGGGATGTTGAGAGCTCATAGACACCTGCACATGTGTGAGTTTTTATCTGTCTCTGTGCACGTCATGAAATCCGATCTTGTTGTGAACAGTAAGAGTTCAGAAAAGTGTTGGTGGTTTCTCTTACTGCTTTTCTGCCTGCATTTCAGAGCCAACAGCAGCGAACCCTCCGTCCGAGGTGTCATCGCCGGGCAGCGGCCCCGCTGACACCTTCAGCAGACCCTCAGACTCTGCGCTGGCAGCCGGCCTGAGGACACCGGAGCCCGAGGCACGGAGAGACGGAGAGATGGCTGCGGCTCCGGAGCATGAAACAGAAGAGGAGAAAGCTTTACGTCTGCTCTACTGCTCCCTCTGCAAGGTCGCTGTGAACTCCGCCTCCCAGCTGCATGCCCACAACAGAGGTGAGGACCTGAACGCGCTGCCGCAGTCGAGCTCAGCCGGGCCTGCGCCGCGTTTTTTAGGGCTCCGCTGACGTGGCTTTACATCTGCTCAGGCACCAAGCACAAGACAATGCTGCAGGCCAGGAGCGGCGAGGGAGCCATCAAGTCCTTCCCGAGGACGGGCGTGAAGGCCAAGCTGGTGGTGGCGGCGTGCGAGTCGCCAACCGGACTGCAGAACAAGACGTTCCACTGTGAGATCTGCGACGTGCACGTCAACTCAGAGACTCAGCTCAAACAGGTCAGTTGGTAAAAATGTCTGATCTGTGACCGAGTGGTCGGTTGATGGACTGATAACACAGAAACACAGTCGATTGCAGTTTAGGATGATTCCAAGCATTGTTGGAGATTTGGGATCAGACTAAATTTAGATGATCCTGATTGGGAAGAACTGGTTAGTATAGAATTATAAAAATACTGTCAGTAAAATCCACTTTTTGTTGCAATGCTCATTTTTAAAATAAAATCTATTTTAAATACACATTGTTGAGGAAAACATCTTTGTGAGACAGATGTTAGTGACAAAATAAAATGACAAAATAAATAGTTTGCTTTACAATGTTATCTTTAAGAAGTTGTGCACCACTTTTTTGCAGTGTTGAAAAGGGTATATATATATATATATATATATATATATATACATATATATATATATATTTTTTTTTTTTATGAGGTATGCATTACAGAGTGGCAATTGAGGGCTGTACATATTTTCTGTCAAATCCCAGTGCGAACATCTTACACCTGTCGCTGCAGGTGAGTTAAAATCACAGATCCCCAAATATAATGAGACCAAAGCGACTGAGCCTTGTCTTCTTCAGCGAGACTAAAGAAGACAAGGGAACGAACAGAGATGCTAAGATTGGAATACAATCTTAGCGTCTCTGTTCGTGATATGAATGCTCATGTTTAAAAGTTTACTTCGGCCAGGTGCTCATGAATATTTAGAGGTACACTGCTGATTTAGTGGCCGTAGCCATCTGTTTGTGCTTGTCAATCAAATTTAAAAGATTTCCAATCCCGCCCCTTCATAAATATTTTAAATCTGAGTCAGAGCCAACAAAATATCAACATGCTGTCTGAATCCCCAAACCAAGAACTTTGATTAGGCTTCCTTCAATTATCTCTTCTCGGATTATTTAAATTTCGAAATAAAGCCGACTGACGTCTTCTGTTTTGTACGCTCTGCATTTCATGCCGCTGCCTGAGTCTGACTGCGCGTTTGTCCGTCTGATGCTCTTCTCCAGCACATCAGCAGCAGGAGACACAAGGATCGAGCGGCAGGTAAACCAGCCAAGCCTAAGTTCAGCCCTCACGCCCCCGTCCAGCATCACCAGGGTCTCCAGGCGGTGAGTACCTCTGCCTGATTAACGGTGATCCGCCATCACTGTGCTTGTGCTTGACTTGTGTGACTCTTTAGACCAACTTCCAAGAAGCTTCACTCCCTTTGTCAGCGAAGCGGGTTGAAGAATCTCATGGCTGATATGTTGTTATCCTATGACCTTGTGAGAAGAAAGACAGTTTGGCAGGAACTGGGACAGTTTGCGCCTCTATTGGCCAAGTAGCTGACAAGACTTTATCTCCTTGTCCTCTTTTTTACTTAACGGGTCGATTTCCTTTTGTCTTGATTGCAGTTTGTTTGTCTGTGGTTTGCAGATATGTCTTGCTCTACAGAAGAAGCAAGACCTGACCAAACCTCTGGCCTCCTGTCTTCTGCAGCGCCGACTCTCACAGCACCCTGTTGCTGCTGCCGCTGCCATGGTGATACTGCCCCCCTTCCCTCTCCGCCCGGCCTCAAACTCCAGGCCCGCCCTGTTTCAGAGTCAGACCCTCCCCCAGGCGCTGCTGCATACGGCACCGGGACCCATCTGTTCGGCACACACACCGGTTCTTTTTTCCCCTTACTGACACCCGTCAACGTCTCAAACAGCTCTGAACTGCAGCGAAAAGCGGACCTGAGACATGAAGAAGACGTGATATGAGGCAGTGCTGCCGGTGTCGTGGACCAGAACCCGAGATTCTTTCACATGCTCAAAACCCAAATGCCCAAGTAGATTGCGATGGAGGAAATGCAAAGAAGCAGAACAGTATTTTCTGATGAGATCATTTGTGCGTTTCAGTGCATGTGCAGATAAAGCCATCATAGAAGTCCAACTTTTACCACATGTTTTATGCACGACTGCGTCATTCTTTTATATATATATATATATATATATATATATATATATATATATATATATATATATATACATATACCAGTCAGAGTATGCTTGAATGAAGGCAATCCAATGCTCCACAACATGCACGTTATTCAAAAATAAGTGTAACTTCACTCGGTGTTAATATGTTAGTCTAGATCTGCAGTCAGTTGCATTTCATCCTCCTTCAAAAAAGACAATCTTTGTATAGTAATAAAAACAGTAGCCATAGCCTTTAGCTCGCTACGGGGGACTTTCAGGAGTTTTCTTTTCCAGATTCAATCACTCAAGGAAACTAATTAATCCGTTCTGTCCTTCTGATATTTGGTGTAGTGTGTGCAGCCACTAAGGGTTGTTGTTTCATTGCGATGTGATTGATATTCAAGATATGCATGAAACATCAATCATAAGTACAATGATAAACAAACACAGTTTAAGTTTTCACTTGCACATATGTAGATACTAATTGAGAAAATAAAGAAATAAAAAATAAACATTTACGTATACAAACACAAGATGGAGCTGGTGTCTACATGTATACACCCACCTCCAATATGCATCTTCTTTTATTAATTTATTGGAAAAGTATTGCACTTTAATCAATTACATAAATGATTGAACTTTATTTAGGAGGAACCCAGGGTGAGTTTCCCCGTTAGCACAGTGCACTCTTGCTATTGAGAGTTCCATCTAGGTAGCTTGGCACTATTACACAATTGTGTGTTTCTTTTTACTGTTGTAAAAAAAAATCTTTTAAATGTCCTCATTTCACTGATGATGATGAGCTGATATTCAGTGAAGGAGGACAATTTCGTCAGAGGTCGAAGTTTAAATTCAATCGATCAAGTCACGAGCTGTGTGTTTTCCTCAACTTTCTCCGACCTCTCAGGCTTTCTTGTTTCGGGCCTTCATCAGCCGACTGACACTAAACTGGACCAGTCAGTCTTTTGCTTCTGCTTCACTCGGCAGCTCCAAAGTAAATAATTTCACCGCCCAATTCAGAGGATTATCTACCAATCAATCACAGCCTTGCGATTCACCAGTTGTCATGGCAGTCATTATTATTATTAATCGTCTGGGGTGATTGTGAACATCTGTGAGTGGGATTCCCAGTCCTCCACAAGCTGTCAGAATCCAGGCCTCCTCGGGCTTAACCCGAACCCCGGCTCCTTCCCTCGCCCCCCCTTCAGTGCCTTCTCTGCTCCCTTCGTGTCATCCTCCTTTGGTTGTCTCGCGATACGTTCGCCGCTTCTCTCTCTTGAGCAGGCGTTCTGTTCGTCACTCCGCTGGAAGAATTCGTGTCAAGCATGTCAGCAACACAGAAGCCCGACTTGGCATTCGGGAAATGTTTCATTCTTTGCTACCTGGAGACGGTGCAAAGGTACAAAAGGAGGCCTTTGCATGCCGTATGAGGGCAGTTAACACAAGAGGACAATGATAACTTCTCGGTGAAAGGGTGCAGTTCTTTTTACTTCTGCGTAGGTGGTCATGCGTGTGTGCAGCGAGACTATAACAAACAGAAATCAGGTTTGGATTTTTTTCTTTGATGAATCTCAAAGGGGTTAAAACACTTTAGATATGCTGATTGACTTTATGCTGTACATTAAATAAGTGCAGCATAAATTCAATCAGCTGAAATACATTCCGAAAGCTACATTTCAAGATAGTTCAACGCTTTGGGAAAGAAGTTTTAAGATCGATTCCCCTCAAGCTGGAGCCAACAGGCAGGTAGCTTAGCATAAAGACAGGAAATGAGGGAAACAGCTCAGGTGAGCAGTGCTACACCAAAAGACTGCAGAGAGCTGCCCTTCGGAGCAGCGGTTCTCCGGCCCTTTAGGAGCTTAGAGAAAAGGTCTCTCTTTGTGTCCTCTCATTGTGGCCCTTGGCAGAACCAGAGAGGAGTCGGTTTAGTCTCCGCGGGGCTTTCTGTTACTGCGCCGGTAACGGATCAGTAAACGTGGGGATGGTGGCCGTGAGTTAAATGGCTCAGCATTAAAGCATAATGACCACGCTGCACCGCACACAGAGCTGATTGTGTGTCTGGGGCTCGGTGCCGCTGTTGTCTGAACGTGGTCCTATAAGAGTGCCGCTTCAGACGCACTCAACTGGAGTTCCTCAGCAATACTGAAATGCATTGTGGGATGTTCCAGTCCTCGTACTCCCTGCATCAGTGATCAGTTACTCCTTTAACCATTGTGGTTTTCAATCAGAGAATTCAATTTACGTTACATTACACATACATGTCATTTAGCTGACGCGTTTATCCAGAGCGACTTACAATAAGTGCATTTCTACCATAAGGATACAAACCCAAAAGAACAAGAAACAAGAAAGTGCAATTTCATCAAATAACACAATTTACTGAGCCACTGAGCCTAAAATGTGGAAGGCTATTGGATTATCTTTCCTTTAGTTTTCCATCAATATAAGATCCATTAAAAAAGACATAATCTTATTTCCTGAGTTTTATCGCCGCGGTTGATTTTGGGGTTTGACCACACAATCTGTGTGTGTATGATTTAATTACCACAAATTGTGAGTGCGGCACTATATTTTTCCATATTAAGAAGTAGCTCCTTGTATTCTTGGCCCCAGTTGAGGCGGCTGCACTGATTAGAGAGATGATGCTTATCATGAAGCAGATGGTTTTATTTCCTTGGCCACTCAGTGTCTGGACAGTGACGGGGAGCCAAAGATGTGATTGGACAGAGATGAGTTGGTTTTCTGCTAATAATGATACCAGTGTATCACATCAATAGATAAATAAACATGTACTGGCTTTTGTTGCACTAAAAAAGGAAACTAATTAATCCGTTCTGAAACCAGAGTGTCCTACTTTCTCTTGCTGCCACAATGCTAAGTGCCATTCAATCAATTATTCTGTCCTTCTGTACTTGTGATAACATGTTTCTCTCCTCTCGTCTTGATACGTGAATAGTTGGAGATGTGATTGAAATGAATGTGTGATAGATCTATTTGTCCATTAAATCAATTCTCTGTTTAATTCAGATTCACAAAGCACAGCGCTCACTATTTCCCTGCTGTAAGGCAACAGCTGCAACATTTAGTGGCTTTTTGCAAGAATAACACACCTTTTAGGAAAACAGAAGTGATGTCATTAAAACAGTGAGTCATTACTCTGACCCCTTAACTACAGTAGTTGATACTAAAATAAGCTTTTAGCTTCTGTATTTTCATCTGTAATAAAATGTTATTTATTTAGTATAACTTTGCTACATAACCTCAAAAATGCAGTAATTTCCATTGAGAGCAAACAAACCGTTTACTATTTGTGAGGGAAGTCAGCAGCTGTCTGTATACATTACTTAATAAGGGATTTAAAGTGCCGGTCTGTTTCCCAGCTGCAACGTCATGCTGAAGTCATTAGTTGTCAGCGAGTGACACTGACAAAACCCAAACCGCACCACACTCCTCCGGTAGCCCCGATATGACAGTGAGTCGGCTGCCATGGACACTTTCTTGGACCCTCACTGACAGTAGGTCCGAATGGATATTACATTGTTGGCAATGTCATGCAGGAGGTGGGGGTGTGAGTTTCTCCCCTGCGCTCTGCCAAGTAAGACGTGCCTGTTGAATGTTCAGTTTGCAAAGTAAATGGGATCATGATGAGGTGTAATAATAATATTCAGTGCAACCCAATATTTACACAACATCTATTGAACAAAATCATAAAAGGCGCATGAAAAAAGCAGTGTGTGCATGAAGGTAAGTGATTATACAAATACCATATGTAAAGAAACAATAATTTTGCATGCTGGAGCAATGCTTACTACCTCAACGTTTTCTGAATTACTGCAGTGTATTCTAATATTGGAAGAGCCAAATGAGTTTCTGAAAAATGTCTAGAAATACAGCTGAAACGTTTACAGTGGGCTTTAAAACGATCAGCTCCATAGTACAGTATATAAACCTCAGTACTGAATAATTTTATTAGTAAAATGTAATGACACAAGTTTGCGATAACCAAACTTCATTTCTCAATTTCTCAATTTTGCTGTGTTTGCCTCCCACAGACAAACTGAAAAACGATGCTGATTGAAGTATAATTACAGATCTGGAGTGCTGCGTGGGGCGTTACTGTTTACACTAAAGGGATCAGAACATGCAGACCAATAAACAATTACAAATCAGTTTACAGGGAAATGTACGTTATTTTTGATTTGCTATACATTAGCGCCATCTAGCGCATGGCAGTGTCACTCAAAGGAAGTGACGTCGGTTCAATTGCCAACCAATCAACAGCCGCGGCTCAATTTCGAATGCCAACTCACGGAGAACGGACAGTCGGATGTGGTGTGTTAAAATGTATTATGTTGCTAACTAACTTTAACTTTAGTTACCATCCAATTTTAAACAAATACAAATAGCCCCGTGGTTTACGCGTGAGGGTAAGTTGACATTTCGGTTGCTCGTAGATGTTTTTTATGCATGCGGAGATACATTGACGTTGAATAGCATGCTAACCGGGTTAGCTTAGTCGTTTGTTATGCTGAGGTTTTTCAGCAGTCTGTCCGTTTGATAAACTGGATAACGCTGAGAATTTTAAACATGAGCACAGATCCTGAGCCATGGCGAAAGAACGAGCCCGGAAGAAGTCCTTCCAGCAGAGTCTGGAGGACATCAAGGAAAGGATGAAGGAGAAGAGGAACAAACGGCTGGCCCGTGCTTCAGCCCCCAGAAGAGCACTGTCCAAAATGATAAACAACAACAACAGCAGCAGCAGCAGTGGTATGGAAACGAGCCATGCTTCTACATCGCTTTCACTTATACTTACTTTATATAAAATTGGCGTTTTTCTCCCAGTGGTCAACTCCATTCACACCATCCTGAAGGGTGTCCAGCAGAACAACAAGGAGCTGGCCATTGGCCTTCAGGCTGAGAAGGAGAAAGGGAGACAGGCTAATGCGGTGATCCTGCAGCTGAAGAGGGAGCAACAGGCGCTCTTCCTTCACCTCCTTCTGCTCAAGAAGAGGCTCAAGGAGCAGGAGGCTCTTGCACTTCGGGCTACAGAGGTACAGCTCGGTGACCTAGGCTGTTGTTTGTTGATTAACCATCCCTGGCTAAAACCCAAATCTTGTTTAATGATCCCTTTTCTTATCTAGACTCAAGCTCCAAACGTCTTTGTGGAGCCCACACACCATTTGGAATCGGCAAGGTAAGTTTTTGGAAACAAAAATAAATGGCATGTACTTGGATGACTTCTGAGATTTATGACTATCAGGATCTGTTGCCTCTAAATTTACAGGAGAAAGCCGTCCAGCCAGAACCCCGATAACCCGCTATTGTGCCAATCCTCACCAATTTGTGCAGGTATTCCATACAGACACCACTGCCGCTAGTATTACTTGTCACTGAATATCACGGATTAGCCAGAACGGTTCACTTATTCTCAGCTGCTCTTCTGTAACATTTTGTTAGTAATCTTGTTGTTAAGCATTCCCTTTATCTGTAGACTGATTAACAGAACATATATTGGCATTTTTTTTAGATCACCTAGTTTTTTTAAGAATAGGCCCACTGGTTTAATAACTATTTAAGTATCTTAAAAAGTAAACCGCGGTAATAATAATGTTTGTTTTTCACAGACCTTCCGCCTTGTGAAAAGAACACACAATTGGACCGGCTGGCTCTGCTGCCGTCCACGGTGGGTGTGAGACGTCGCCATGGAGACAGAGGCAGTAGCAGCAGGAGGTCTGAGCGTGTGCGGGCAAAGACGACGACGTCGTTGAGCGAGGGTGACCCCATCACGGGCTTTGGTACTTTGATAGCGAGCCCCATCCGCAGTGACCAGGAAAATACAAATCCGCCTCAGCAAGAAGCGGAAACGGATTTAGCGGACCCCGTCAGTCAATTTCAGCATTATACTCCTGAACCCGAACCACCCAAAAACAGGGGCAACCAGCAGCGGCCCAGCAGGAAAAGATCCCAGCAGCAGCCCCGAACCAAGCCGGTTCCTCCGCCACAGAAAGCAGAGAGAGGCCGCAAAGCAGACCGCGCCCCGATGAAGAAACCCTGGGAGAATCCCAAACCCAGAGCTCGCTCCAAGAGTCGGGACCGGTCGGCCACGCGAGCCCAAACGTCAAATCCGCCGCAGGGGAATAAGCTCAACAGCTCGCTGGGTTTCAATGACACGTTTGACTTCGATTGCGAGGAGGCGGTTCACCTCACACCGTTCAGAGCCAAGGCAGAGGACGATCAGCCGGCCACGGCCGGCAGCGAGGAGGCTCCTCACGCCGAGGCCCCAACTGTGCTTTCCCGTCAGATAGAATCCAGCTCCTCGTCTGCAGCTTCTGAGTCGGAGGACAGCCTTTATGTCCCTCAGAAGAGCAGAGGGGCTCAGAAGCCCCCCGACGAGACCAAAGTGATCACAACTCGTCGAGGCCGGCGCTCTAAAGTCGCCCCGCAGAAAGAAATCGTCCCTCCAAAACAAAAGATTCCTGGTGAGCTTTTGTGTTTGTTGTCCTTAACTAAATTCTTATGTTTATTTTTTGTGCTTTGTCAGTTAGGCTGGGAGTTAGATGGTTATTATTAAACATATGAATGAATTATTTTGTTTTGTAGTCTTTAGAGATGAGAAGTTAAGTCCTAAGGCTGCAGATCCTGCGAAGAAGGAAGCGCGTCTCTTCCCTGACTCCAGCTTCTCTAACAGTCCCCACTCAGCGTTTTTGAGACAGGGAAATCCACAAGGTGAGTAAATGATCAGAAACGCGTTTTAATTTTATAGTTCTAGCTCTCAGGTTGTAATGCATTAGCCCGTCGTTTCTTTTTTTTTTTTTTTTACATTTGAGTAATTGTTTTTACTTTGGTTTTATTTTTTTGGTGGTTTTCCAGAGCCTCCAAGGGGGGTTAATGAGAAGGATTGTTTGCTGCCTGTCAGCCCTCTGGTTGAAGTGGAGATGATGAGAATAGACAACGTCCTGTCTAACTTTGGTGATTCCTCCGGTGAAGCTCCCCCTCTTCTACCTCACCAAACACCCCAGAGGATCAAGACGTGCAAGAAACGTACGTTGACTCGTCACTTATTGAATTATATAATAATAAAATCTGCTTGTCCAAAGGAAATCTCACAGGAAGGATTGCTGAAAGGAGAGTTACCTGTCACACCAGTGGGCACTTGGGGGCGTGGCCAGATCTCACCTTCATACCCGTGTCACTTCTCGTGTTTGTCTTTTTCTTGCGTTTGGGTCACCTCTTTCGTCGCGTCTCCACAGGTGGGCTCGGTCTAAGGACAGCTGGGCGGGGCTTGAGTCTGTGTGATGTGACCAATCTGTCCCCCGCAGCCTACCGCAAGTTCTCCCACGGTGACGCCCGAAGCTCCACCCCCGCTCCTTCTCGCAAGCGGAGCTGCACCATGGTGGTGGACTACAAGGAGCCCACGCTGAATGCGTAAGTTAACGCATCGGCGCTGCTCTCGGGGGAAACGGTTTCACACACGTTCACATCTCACCGTTTGAATGCTCAACGATTCCCCTGTCCCGTCGACAGGAAACTTCGGCGCGGGGACAAGTTCACGGACCTGCAGTTCCTCCGCTCTCCAATTTTCAAGCAGAAGCCCGGCAGGAGGTCCGTGCAGAAAGCAAGGAATGCAATCGGCAGTCAGCAGCCGTTTGATAAATACAATGAGTCATTTGTTGGATGTCGCTGAAGGCAGATACCTTCTTGAGTTTAGAATAGCTCTGTCAGTTTTAATGGGATTTCTTTTCTTTGACTGGTGATCTTTTTTTCACTCGGGTTTAATATTTTAATACGGTGAAACACTGTGATCAGCCAATCCTTGTTGGCTGCAGAAATGAAGTATTTCTTCTGTCTGGCTTTTCTCCTCATCCTCTCGAGGTGAATGTATTAATTTCTATTTTATGAAGGTGGACAATTCTATTTGACAGCATCTTCAGTTCTATTTGATTTTATTCTGCATAACTTCATAGTATTGCTATCTAATACAGTTGTATTTTTTCTTACTCATAATATTATACTGTATTATGTGAGAATAAATGCTGTTTCTTAATTTCTATTGCGTTTACATACAAGCTTATTTCAATTGCTATAATATTATGATAATAAAATTAGCGTGTCCGGTCAGTGTTATTGTAAACGATTATGAATACATTTTAAGATGCTTAAACACCAGATATTTTTTTACCTTGTTTTTAAAATGAATATATGTGCAAAGAGGTTGTCTGAGGAGTTTGCATAATTCCATCATTGAGTAGCAAACTGGAGGAATCTGTAGTTTATTCATTGACTAACTGCACGCTCACTGACCAACTCCTGCTATATAACACAACGCGAAGGTCCCTTTTGCAAACAATTGTTAAATGTCACAGCTATACAATTTATTTGGTATGCTATAAAAATTGAACTGTCAGATACGCTAGGTACGATACGATACTACTAGAGCAATTTGGGGTCTTCACGTGCAGTGCAATCGTACTTGAACCTCATAAAGCCAGTGCATTAAATTGCTACATTATTTTGCTACTATTCTCTAATAAGGACTTTCTCTTTAATTGAAATGTAAAGGGCTACAATAGTCCGCAGTAATCAAGCAAGCCCATTAAAATGTATCTTATGTAGGTCTATACACATATATATATAAAGGTATATATGTGTGTGTGTGTGTGTGTGTGTATATATATATGATAAGTATAAGAATACAGAATACTTATTCTAAGGCACTTTTCTAACATACCACACAACAATGTTTTTTATAACATATACAATGACTATTTTAGATATACTATACAAGCAGAACCAGCGTCGATGACAATTTCAAACAAAAATTCCAGTAAAAAAAACGCAAAGGGCCGCAGGTCATGCAAGCAGAAGCTTTTGACAAATGCCTTCTTTGCCCTTCCGATTTAGTCGCCTGGTAGACTTGAATTGAAATATACAGAAGGCTTTGTAGACTGAAAAAATAGCCTTAAAAACTTCTATCTACTATAATTTTATTATTTAGTAGTGAAACAGTTCCCTTATCAGATATTAAAGAGTAACGAGTTGTGTAGTGGGACATTTGCAAGTGATAACAATGTAACAAGTGAAGGCTGGGAAAACCATTTATGTCCTTGAGTTGAAAACTAGACACTAAATTAGCTATAAAATAGGCTAATACTATGTCATTAAAACCAGTTGTACAAAGAGCATGAGATCATTTTCCAGACATCTTACAAAATGTATTTTTTTCCTAAATTTTGAAAAGTACAAACACTTTTTTACAAAACAGCAAAACTACATCGTATTGCACAATCTTTTCATATATCTCCAAAGTATAAAGTTATCAATCTCCTTCTGCAGGACAAAAATAAGAAAGAATAAATTAAGACCTTGTCTTAAGCATAATTCTTTTAAATTACAGAACATAAATACAAATAAATTGTAGGTAATTGAATTTAGTCCTAACAGCGGTGATTTACGTGTAAAAACAATTCTGAAAAAAAAAAATGTAACAAATACTTAATAAAAGTGCATTCAATTAGTCAAACTGCCCTATGTGGCTTATTGGGGAAAGGAAGATTGTTTTTGTTCTGACACAGAAAATATATGTTATGTACACATTTTAAATATACAACGGGTATAAGTGCTTTAAAATAATTCAAATCTGTACATATTTAAAGTATGTATTCCTCTTTTGGCAGGATCAACTCATCACAGACAAGCTTTAACCTCATTACCTCGCTGCATGCTCACAGGAACAGACTTAATTGGACAGAAAAAACGGAACTCTCAGTCCCGTTCCTCACGGGTAACACGCGTGTCACGACTTCATACAATGTAGACGAGGTTACTGCTCTTTTTCAACTCTACCTGAGCTGAGAGGAAAAGGCAGACAATGAAAAAGGCAGGGGGGTGAAAGTAAGAAAAGAAAGCAGAGGACAGATGGAAGGAGTGAATCTCCAATCAGCTGTCGCTATTTGTTACTTTTTATTCTCCACCTCAAAAATAATAACGGCGGTTTTCTGTCCCAGTTAAAATATGTGATTCTTCCACCTTCTGCTGCCCTGTATTTCCATGGGTCCGTGGGATATGTGTTGAAATGAGAAGACACGATGACACTTGTGCTTAATGTCAGCAACCGCCTAAATAAAGCCTTAGATGAGGCCTCCTCGGGCGGCCCACCCTTCAGTGTTACGATCAGTCAAAGATAGTGATTCAGGATCTGGGTTGGCATGCGTCAAACATCTAAACAGTGCCGATCTGAGACCCGTTTGCATCTTTTAAATTAAGATATGTGTTTCTGAAACCCAACCGCTCTGCTCAGTAGTCGTATTCCTAACTTCTCCTCCTACTTCTCGATGAGGCCTGCTTCTTTGATCTTGGTGTAAAAGAACTTCTCCAGTAAGTTGGCGCACTTGTAGTACTCGCTTTCCGGCGGGTTGTATTCCCGACAGTTGGTGAAGATGCGCTGCATGTCGGCCATGAACAACTTGCGTGTCGTGTAGTACCTGCTCTTCAGACGCTCGCTCATTGTCTTAAGGTCTGTGAGGGGAGAAAAAAAATATTGAATGCGGAACATTGTTCACAAATGTACAGTTGCTCATATGGACACCGAGGCTCAACCAGAGGACAACAGCCTCTTTCCCAGCATGCATCTGCTCTGCCGACGCGTAGTTTTCCCTTCATTGCGGTTAGTAATTAGCTCTGGCTGTTGGTGGGTGCGTTTCACTGTAAACCCTCTGATCCTTCAGACTGTGAGCCGTGTACGTACCCATGGGGAAGCGAATGACTTGGTAGTACCCGGGGGCCTCGGTTTTCTTCACTGGCTCCATGAAGGGCCAGGCGTTCTGGTGGCTCTGCGACACAATGATCACTCTGGTAAGATTTAAATGTGTGGATATGTTGAAAGAACACAATGGTCCGACCCCTTACTTTCACATGCTGGAGGATGGTCTTTAGAGTGCTGTACAATTGATCTGGGTCCTTCAGTTCCTTCCTTAAGTGCAGAAAGTAATAGCAATGTTCACGTTAATAACCTAAATCCAGAAGTGAAGCCACTGCTAGATTTAAATCAGAGTCAAACTCACCCTTTTCCCACAGGCTTCCAGCCAGTTTCACCTTTTGATATTAAAAGAACTAAAATTAACCTCATATATCATAAGACATCGGTAAATGTGTGTAGTGTAAAAGAAAAACATACAGTATAATGCAGAGCCATATTTGTGCTAACTTACGTATGCCAGGAATGCTCTCAATGGGAATCTGCCGAACTCCTTCCTTAAAACAGGAAAGCCCCGGATAGACTTTTCTAATCTGAGCCTGCTTCCTCTCTATCAGCTTCTTGATGATCTGAGGGAGACAAACACAATCAAAAGCGAACGAGTGCCGGGACGAAAACGGAAATAATAGAAGACAAAAGCACACACACACCTCCTTTTGCTTCTTGATAATGACGGAAAACTCTGTGTAGGGAATGCTGGGGTTAAGTTCACAGCCCATGAGTGTGGCTCCTTCGTAGTCCTTGATGTAGCCCACGTATTTAGCCTTGGGAACCTTGATGTCCTTTGAGAAACCCTGAGAGGGAGAAGATGTCTGTATTGTTGTGGCTGTAGAAAACATCCCCCATCTGACTCGTAAGTTATATTCTTTATTGTACTTTAAATAAAAAAAATAGAAGTAAATGCAAACCAAATGTGTATTTACACATGATGGAATCAAGTGAAATTGTCTGAAGAGAAATGTTTCTTTTCTCGGAGGCCCATTAAAGCTACATTTATATTTATGTAGATGCGGGAAAGGGAATTGCGCTCAATGTGACCAAAGTCACCACAGTACGACACAAATCCAACATGCACTTTATTGGAAATGTTATGTCACCTGTTTCTTGAAGTAGCCGATGGCGTACTCATCGGCATAAGTGAGGAAGTTGAGGATTTCATGCTTTATGTGATATTCCTTCAGGTGGTTCATCAAATGGGTCCCATAACCCTACGACCACGCAGCCAAACAAAGAGGCAAAGATCAGAACTGAGCAACGTGACGGCATGAATCCACCGAGCCAGAAAACAGGACGCGCTCTCACCTTGACCTGCTCGTTAGAGGTGACGGCACAAAAGACAATCTCCGTAAAGCCCTGCGAGGGAAACATCCGAAAGCAGATCCCTCCGATCACACGGCCGTCTTTGATGAGTGACAACGTCTTGTGCTTCCTGTAAAAAGAATATAGAGATTTTGTTTTTCTGTCCAACTCCGAATGTGATGGAAAAGTAAGCTCGCACTCACGGATCGAAGACCAGGCGCGTGATGTACTCCTTGGGCATGCGGGGCAGCTGGTGAGAGAAAACATTCTGGAGGCCGACAAGCCACATCAGGATCCTCTTGTTGGGCTTCTGGTTCAAGGAGTTTCCAATAACGTGGAACTCAATCACCCCCCTGCGCTCCTCGAGACGGGCGGCTTCATCGCGTGCAGAGTGAGCGGACAGCAGACTGGTCTGCACGGGAAAGAGGGCGTGAGACAATGACCTTCTTCCCCTTTCCTCACGGTGAGTGATTCTTTTTTTCTGTGCGTCTGAATGAAGATGATGTTTCCTTCATACAACTCTAACTAAAAGTCAATGGGAACTGTTTACCTCCGGAATGGCGGCCGGGTCGGTGATGGTTGCCATGACCTCGTTGATGAGCTCCAGCGGGATGTCCCCCACCACCCTGGGTCTCTTGCTGTCCTCGTGGGGGAGAGGCTCAGTGGGTTTGCGCTTTTCTCCACCTGCGATAATGCATGGGCACAGAGGAAGGTGCTTTCCAGGACTTCCATATCTGCACTCTGCAAGGTTTGCAATAATAACACTTTTTTTTTACTGCACAGAAATTTCCTTTAGAATGAATTTTAAAACTTTCTCTGCAGTTCACCAATAGACCATTTTACAGCGGCCATTTTGACATCATTGCAGATTAAACAGTCCTGACTTGCTTTCAGTACGTTGGGCTTAAATCTGGGATTGTTCTTCTGTTTCTTGATACAACTTAAGACCAAGATTCAAACAATTAAAGAAATACGTCAGTTAAAACTTTAAATTCTTTAAATCAATTGATTGAATAAAAGTATTCAGATGGAGAAGTTGAAGAGCAAATGCTGCAATAAACCCATACGCATGGTTGAAATGTGAAACACAAGGCCAACACAGCTCTTTCCCTAAGAAATGTGGTATAACACAGAGTTATTGCAGGTGTGACGGATACCTGCGCTTGGCTCCGATGCAGGAGCTGCTTTCCTGGCGGGGCTGACGCTGCCGCAGGTGGATGGTTCCACCGACACGGGGCTGGGGCTGTAGTACGATGGCTTGGCCACGGGGGACACGCTGATAACTACAAAACAACAATAGTCTGAGGACACTTTTCCCAGGTGACAATTCTGAGACTATCTGAAGTTAGCTCGGAGGGTCTGTCTGCGAGGGCGTTACCTGGGCGGATGGGTATCTGCCCTCCTGAAGCTCCTGCCAAGAAGTCTTGGCTCCAGATGGGAGAGCTGTGGCTGTACACCTCCTCCTCCAGCATGGACAGGAACCTGAGGCAAAGAAAACAAGAGAAGCCACACTGCTGCGTAGCTGGACGCTGAGGAGGGCCGTGCACGTGTGGCGCATCGTGGGCGTTTCCGCTTTTCTTACTTGGGAAAGTGTGTGAGGATGAGCGTGCGTTTTTCCGGTGGCAACTTGTCCTTTTCCTGTCTCGCCTGCTCCAGCAGCTGTTTCCTCATCACGGTGAACACCGAGCGCAACAGCGTCCGGCCGAAGATCTGAGTGGTCTCGTACCGGGGAAGACTGTCGCAGAACTGAGGCACGTTGCAGTAACAGAGCCATCTGCAACAGAAATAACTCGATGAAATAACCGATGTGATGCTAACGGGGTGTTTTGCAGGGGCGCCCGGTGATGGCGCCGCTACCTGGTGTAGTTGGCTTTGTATCCAGCCGCGTCGTCATTGAGAACCCTCTGGCGTCGCTGAGAGGGCGTCTCAAGCTGCCAGTAGTTGATTTGGTTGAGAAACATCTTGGCCAGTTCCATTATGGTTTGACGTTCCTTAGAGGGAAGGTGGCTGAATTTGTACTGGACAAAATTGTTCACTCCCTATTCAGAAAGAATATTGGACACAATTAGTGTGTGTGAACCGGGTGGTTTTCTTATCGCCGTCGATGCGGATGGTAGACATGCGACTACCTGCTCGATGCTGGGCTTTTCAAACGGAGGACTGTCCTGTGCTTCTAACATCGGTTTGCCCATTTGTACGATGGATTTCCTCAACAGCTGAAAGAGTAAGCGGAGAAAGGGATTTTTTCACTTGTACATAACGCGGGTGGTAAAATGTTGTGTCTGTATATTTTGAATATTTTGTAAAAAAAAAAGAGGCTCACTTTGAAGAGGGAAAAGTAGACCTGCTTAGTGTCGGCATCCTCCTCTTTGTGAACACACGTGTAGAGATACTCCACATCCAGCACAATTCCCAAAAGTCTGTTCATTTCCTCCTCAGAAATGTTTTCTAGATGGGTCACATGATCACCTAGAGGGGGCGGAAAGAATACATTTTTAAATGGTACATCAATTATCCGCTGTAGCTTCCTTCACAGACTTGCAGACATACCCAAGGTGTGAGAGCAGCTCCGGCAAGGCTCCTGCAGGTTGACCGCGCTGGACTGCTGGTCGGTCCGTGGGGGGGTCGGAGGGGGGTTCTGACTTTTCCAGCCGTTGCACTTACATGCTCCCTCAGCCTGGAAGGAAAAGACACACAGTATAAATTAGTCCCCGCTTCAAATTAAGCACAGAATATGATTCATATTATTTAGCGGAGGAAATACATTAATTCAAATGTGTTGTTGTTTGTGAAGCTGTTTATGGTGCTTTGTGACTTTCAGGCGTCAGCCGCTTTAATCGATCACTTTCATCTGCTTTATTTTAAATTCTGTACTTTAAAACGTGAATACAGAACACGCCCAGAATAATATCGACCTGTTATGAGGGATTTCGTAGGATATCAGCAGTTGGGGTGAAGAGGCCTGTCAGCGTCAGCTGGAGCCGCCACACTGCGCATGCGTGTGAAACAACAACAAACTCCGCCCCTCCGGCAGCTGTCACCCTGTCAAAACAAAGAGCCCGCCGCTCTCTGCGGATGATGCGCTGCGTAAAAACGATCAAATCCTCTGCGGCTGACAGTCAGCAGCGGGACGCTCTGTAATTCCCCGTGGAAAGCCTCCGACCGAGCACGAGCTCACACACACACACACACACACAGATGCAGCCCTTGTGCACACTGCCTGCTACTCCCAGGCGCCAGCGCCAAGCCGATGTTTACGTCCACCGACCCCCCACCTACACAGACACAGTAACGTTGCGCACACAGTGGACGCCTCACGGCCGGAAGGCCCCTGCATTGCAGTCCTGCAACAATAACGCTTGCATTGTCTAGATTATTAATATCGCCCTGGCAATTTTTTGGTTGGTGCATGCACGATGAAAAAAAAAATTGCGGCAATGGCTTCCTTTGCTGCGCTTGCATTTTGTAAACTCTTGCAACCGAGCCCAGGAAATAGGATTCATTGGAAAATAAATACACCACTGTGTTTAAAAACACAGCCATTTGCAACAAAAGAAAGAAAAATAGCGTACTTTGCAGGATGAATACACTCCGAGCTTTTCCAGTTTCTTCGGCCGAGGTGAAGAGCGGAGTTGCGCCTTCTTCACGGCGATACGTGCGGATCCTCCGGCGGCGCCGGAGCCCTCCGTCCCCCCGGCTCCCGGAGCGGCCGGAACCAGGCCCGCGGCCCCGATGGCCGGCGAACCTTGCTGCATTCCAGCGTTGTCGGCCATGATTCACACGGAACCCCCGACGGGACCCCCGGCCCCGGGGAGAATATTTGCTCTGCCGTCCGCTCTATTCCACCAGCGGAGGATCAGACATGGCGCTCATCCTTATTTTCACTTTTCTCGCTGTAGGTGGCGCGTTCCTCCGCTAGGGGACTCGGACGGGAGAGGCCGAATCCCCGGCGAATCCGAGAGGAGAAGGTCACGAAATGCGACCATTCGGAGCTCAATTTCAAGGTCAAATGTGAGAGGAAAAAAACAACCTGCGTTGCTTTTTGGAGACAGAGTTTAGCGCACAGTGACTGGAGAATAGTGCTAATGACTACAAAAAACAAATGCTGTTCATAAAAGTGTGTTTGAAGCACTGAGTGTAAGCAATGATGGGATCTAATCAGATTTATTATTATGGTTTTTATTGCAGACCAACGGTCTGGTCAAAGTTTGAAGATTTATAAAGAAAAAAAAAAAACTTTATCTATTCAATATGAAGAAAGAGGCGTGGAGTGAAGTTATGACCTATAATCACCAAACACAGGGAGCGTACAGTAAGAAATGGTCAGATTTATTTCAGTATTTGGTCATTACATACCAGAACTGTAAAATGCTTGCGTTTAAATGTTTAGTTCACGGCAAAAAAAACATACAATTTACATCCTTAGAATTTGTTAATTAATTTATTCATGAACCACCATTGTGCCATCTGATAAATTGTTACACTGCCCCGACAATATCGTCACAAGGTTACTGAATTGTTATGGAGGGGCAGCCGTGTGGTTAATCAATCTGTTTCGTATTGTGTCCGACTCGTCTGGAGCTTTTTACCACTTTCAGGAAGATCTCTGATAACAGGAAGCAGTGCTGGACGAGTAGCCTGATACGACAAGAAAAATCATTATGAAGTGCAAGAAGGAAATCATGTTAAAAAAATAGAAACCAAAATGTTTGGATATTCTTTTTTTTTTTCTTTTGAGAAAAAGATACAAGACAGATGACTAAATAAATGCAATTTCATTTTTTGTTAATAACAATACAAACATCTAAAAGAACACCACTGATTCTAATTTAACCGCTTGTGTGAAAAAACATTTTTTCCCCTGCTAACTGTACAGTTTTTTTAACGAGTAGACAACCGCCTATAGAGAGCATTAGTCCTGTCACTGGTAAATTGAAAAAAGGTAGACTAAACTGCAACAACATATTTACAGTATATTATTTATATATATATTTATATATATCACACTGGCTGTAATTATGACAAGATATATTCATGAGCATCATTAGTACAAGGCATGAGAAAGACCTGCAAAAACAGTGATCACATGTATGCATGTATGCACATCTATGTGTGTGTGTGTGTGTGTTGGAGGTGTAACATTAAAGTGAGGTGAGTGGGAAAGGGAAATAAAGTGTACTCTCAACCTTAAGAGTTGTAACAGACTGTGTGTGTTTATATACAATTAGAAGAAGTCAATGTAATGTGTCTGTTCGGGTGCAAATGTGTGATCAAACACACACACTTAAATGGACATGTGTAAGTGAGTCTATTAATGAAATCTGTCATCAGCCAGCCAGCGCCGGCTGTACAGACTGACACACGACTGTGTCGAAAGCACTTCCTAAACAAGAGAAGATGGCAAATCATTTTGATTCAGAGGTGATTATGAAGCAGCCTTACATATTGCAACTCCCAACTCACTACCCTCGTCTTCGCTTCTTTTACCAGGTGCAAACCCAGCAATATTAAACACAATGGAAAAGGTCATATTCACACAGAAAATCCTCCGAAGACAGAAACCAAGGTTTAAACGCATGGACGGCCTGCACAAGACGAGTGAAGGGATGCAGCATCAGGAGGTGGGAGGGTGGTGACACCGACGTGGCCCCCAGAGGCCACACGTGCCTCGTTTTGACGGGAGCCGTTTTTTTTTTTGCTGCGCTGCATTGGTCCTCGCAGACAGTATAGTCACAGATTTAATACTGTGAAACATTGCACAATGCCACTCGGGACAGCTAGAAGCAGGCATGGCTCCAGAATGGACCCTTAATGTTCACTAGTGCTACTTTGGGTTTAGTGGGGGAAAGGGCATGGCCAGGCAGGATGATCTAAAAGGGACTACCCTCCACAAACAGTTTTTAAACTTAAGGTAAAAGGGTCCAAACAACAGAGGGGTTTGGCCCTTAGAGGTTTGTGTCTTTCTATCTCTGCCTTTTTGTTTTTATTAGATTCATAAGAGTTTCCTTATCCTTCGCTAACAGACATTTCGGCGCTACTGCAGACAAAAGGTTTGGAGTTTTTCTATCTTGGGCCGTGTAAGTATATAGGTTTGTGAATCCATAAGATTGAAAAAAATATTGCAACAAATAAGAAAATCCTCAAAAATTGAACAGAAGACAGATAACTGGTATTAGAAATACTGTTGTAAAGTCTTAAAAAGAAAATCCTCTAAATTATATCTACAAGCTGAAAAGGAATGAAATGCCAAGAACACTAATGTCGCTATTTGTTGACATTAATCCATCAATAATGATTGATATATGTAATATCAGAAAGGACAGGGCGGGGGGCATCGTTTCGCACATCGGGGAATTGAAGACAGGAGTACAAACACATTGCGTTACTGCGGTGGCATTCGGGGCATTTTCCGCATTAGTTACTGCTCTACAGGCTGGTTGGAAGGACGCCGTTCTCCACGTCAGTTACTGCAGCACGGCGCCTTGGCCGGCTGGGCGGCCTCCGTCAGGTCCACCCCCCGGTTCCGCCCGCTGTTGGGTCCCACGGCCTGCGGCTCGCTCTTCGGCAATCTCTTTGCTGTCAGCGAGAAAAAAAAAAAAAAAAAAACACCACAATGAACGACAACAAAAGCAAAAACAACCACAAGAGTTTGGTTGTAAAAGCTTAAATTCAATGTCATCCTTTAATGCCACGATTCCATTGTATCAACGGCTCTTACTTATTTGCATGAGTTTGCCTGCCCGATTGTAAACATTAACAGTATCATTGTAAAGGAGAATTAATTATCTCGTGTGTTTTAGACCACACTGTCTGTAAATCGCTATGAATATTGATGTATTTATATTTGAGGGATCAAACTTTTGATTCCTATGTATGCATCAAGAAATGCCACAACGATGATTGACTGTTTTACTAGAAAGGAATTAAGGTGAGGTATTACCGTAGGATGTATAATGAAGGTGAAATGAAGGCATTGCGAAACGCGGGTTGTTCAAATCACTAGATCTATCCATCTGTACCCCTCCAGAAAAACACTGGCAAAATCGATGAAAGAAGTCTTAATATTTACCCACCAATGGCCATAAATATCTCATTCACGTTCATCGATGTCTTTGCCGATGTCTCCATGAAGAGTAAGCTGTTGTCATCTGCGTAGGACTGGGCATCCTTTCAACACAACACGTAAACACCGGTTTATTTTCATTATTAGATGCATTCAGTGGCAACAAACAACACTTTTTGTGTATGTTTGGGATATAATAACATCAAACCAAACCAAAAAAACCTTCAGCTATCCATGAGAAGTAGTAGATCCATATTTACAAGAAATGATAAACTGAGACCGACTGTCTTGACAGGTGTTTGTTGTCTCTGACCTGGAAGTCCACAGCTCTCTTGCTGGCTAGGTCAGCCTTGTTGCCTGACAAAGCGATGACTATAGTAGGGCTAGCTTGTCTCTGCAGCTCCTTCACCCAGGTCTTTGCTCGCGCAAAAGACTCCTACATGCAGAGAAAGGGAAATCTGTCAATACGGTCATGTGATCAGTAACTTTAAAATATACTTCCCTTCGACAGCACACATTTTCATATAGGCTACCAGCTGTATTTTGAACTACAGCTGCAGTAATCTTACTTCACCTTGAGGGGATGATTATCTTAAGTATCATCTGTCCAACTTTAACGGAGCAAGTAAGACGTTGGAAAATTGTATTGTGAACTTGATTGAGGGGTGAATGAACGTGCCTCGTTTGTGATGTCGTAGACCACGATGGCCGCCTGGGCTCCTCGGTAATACATGGGGGCCAAACTGTGGTAACGCTCCTGACCGGCAGTGTCCCAGATTTCAAACTTCACTGTTGTGTCGTCTAAACACACTGTCTGGGTGAGAAAGGCAGCTGAAAGGACAGAACAAGGTGAAGGGTTAGTCAGCATTGGATAATGACTATTTAAACACAATATATTTTATAATGCAATAAAATCATATTACATACACATATGTATGTAATATATATAATAAAATGTCCCACTTCAGAGAAAATGAGACCCAATGACTTTTGTAACTCATTTCAGGTGCTACTTTACAAAAGTGATCCTGACTTTCTGCAAATTGTGATAATAGCAAAGCAGCCAGTTCTCTTCGGAAGTGCACTGGTCATACATGTCACATAAATCCCTAACAATTGTTATGCAATTAAGCCAGAAGTGCACCCCTAGTCAGGAAATTATAGTACGTGTAATAATGTTTAGTGTTAGAATTATAGTTTGTGTGTTATTAGATATTAGGTATTACATTAACATGTTAGATTAAGTGAATGCAATTTCAATCAAACGCAATTCATAGTCATTTAATCATATAAACACTGTACACATTAACATTCTGTCACAATGTGATGTTAAAACCTGGGGACGGATGCCAATTGCCGTCCTTTATGGATTTCTCCCAATTTTATCCCCAAAGAGCGTTTTTTGGGAGTTTTTTCTCCTGTCAGGTAATGAATGAACAACTTAATGTAAGGCAGCCGACTGAGCCAGATGTCTTGAGAATTGGACCACATGAACTGTCTTAGATCTTATGATGAAGTGTGATGAACGGTGATCATTAATGATGGGTTGTTGTAATTAAAGTGTACTAGTTATAAGATGAAGACTTAAACGATGTATGCTTTGTTAAATTCACTCATTGGGGCATAGTATTTCACTTTGTAATTGCATTCCTTATAACATTGTTTAGTTATTAAATACCTTTTGATTTTTGAATTTAAACGAATTGACTCATTCGTGTCCTCGTTTCCGGCCGGGACGAGAACAAAGGAGTGAGGCCTTCCTCGAGAGCTTTCCGAAACCCTAACACAACCAACTGGCAGGGAACGGGCAATAGCCTGGTTTGTTGATAGGAAACTCACCCCCTATTGTGCTCTCCTGGAATTCATGGAACTGACCCTTGACGAAGCGGAGAACTAAGCTGGACTTTCCAACAGCTGACTCCCCCAAGAGCACCAGCTTAAACTGACAGATCTTGTTCCCTGCGTTGGGTCCATTGGGTCTCGTAGCTCCTCCCCGATTGGCCATGACCTCGTCCGATCCCTGTCGCTGTGTGCCAAACCTCACTATGAGGACTTCTGCTGAGAGAAGCAAGAAAATAGGTTTTATAACTATCTAGAAGTAATCAATGACTCAGCAAGATTGTGCAAGTATAGAAAGATGAATAAAATTTGCATTATACTAATTTGCCAAATACGGAGAGTGACAATTTGTTTGCAAATTTTTAAATACATAGAAACATTGCTACCTAGAGTTGGACCAATCAAGGCAAAAAGAGGGAATGTGTGTGTAGTTGCAGTTTTCAAAATTTGAAAACAATAAATAAGATTACAATAATATATGAATTGATTGAATTCAAATTCAAATATGCTCATCATATACGCTATAATGTGTTACTTCACATCGGGCGGATTTGAAAAAATATAAAATAAGTGATATAAATATGGCCAACGTCATTGTGAAAGCGCCTGAAATATGTGAAGCTTACATTTAACTATATCGCTGTTAGTGTCGACACACGGCTACAAACACAAGTGAGCATTCCTCGGCTTTGCGTACGACATTATAAAAAAGAGGAAGAGTCCACCAAAACCTCGTACAATATTGATCCAAGGAGGCCTTATTAAGAAGCAAAGTATTTTCTTGGGTTTTCAGGCGCTTCACCCATCCATACTACGTGAATGAAACCACGTATGGATACATGCCTCACATTCATGGATTGCAGAGTAACTCATTTAAGATTGAACAGCTGACTAATTTGTACAACAGATGGCTGTTGTCAAAAGGAAAAAGAATTCTATGTCCGATTTGCAGAACTGTTTACATGCAATTCCTTATCCAAGAGACACATTATCCGCTTACTAGCAAAAATAGATATATGATATAGAGAATACTCACATATGCTCTATAATGCAATGAATTGCAATGGCTATGGAAAAAAAAGCATCAGAAGGCATGTAAGTTATGTTATCTGTTGGATGTTCCTCAGTAGTAAAGACTGAGGCTGCAATTTCAAAATGTAATAAAAAGTTCAGACATTATCTCACTTTGCAATTTGCTAATTTGTTTATAACATATGCAGTAAGTTGCCAGATCTGTGTGTTAAAATACCAAGATACAAAATCAGGCAACGGAGGAATAACACTACAATTGTAAATAAAGCAAAGAAGAGCTATTCGGTCCTAACATTCATCCCTTCACCCAGAATATCAGACAGTCATTTGTCTATATATTTGTAGTAGACTCAGACGAGCAAGCAGAAAACAATAAAAAGGCATCCGGGACGTCAAAACAGCGCCTGCGATGAGTGAGACACGCGAGAGGAACTGTCAACAAACACTGCGCATTACAACGCGGTGCTGCTGGCGTCAGTTGACTGTAAAAACACTCACTGTTGTCGGCTGGAGACCGCTAATGATCGGTTCTGATCTCAGTTGTGTAGCCAGCTGCTCAGCGTTTAGCCAAACGGGTCTTTTTAGTGACTGGACAGTAACGTTGACGTAAGCCCCCACAACCCCTTCCGATGAGCACACAAAACGAATCAGGCTCAGCTAACAAATGTGCACGAAACCAATGATTAACAACATTATTGTTAACCGATGGGTTAACAAGCCAGCCGACGCAGATCCGCCAAAAAAGTTATTAAATTGAACTGTCGGGCTGGTTCGCTGAAGTCCTTTAATGGGAAGTTGACAACCCTCAATTTAATAAACACCAGCGTTAGCTTGCTAGCACTGTTAGCATTCCTCCCACTTAACGTTACCCGATTCCAATTTGGCGTTAGCCGCTAGCTGTCACTAAAACTCCCCGGCGCCTTGCGAATGACACTACGTCGACACAAAAGAGCAACAACTGAACTCTGCGAGACGTGACAAGATGCCTGCATCTCTGCATTCCCGTAGCTAAGCAAACACCCCCCGACGTTAACGTTAGCTCGAGGCAGCTAGCGACGGTGCTAGCTAGCCGCTAGTGCCCGATGAGCGTTAGCTGGTCAGCTGGACACCACAAGTCGTAGATTCGCGTCAAAGCGAAGGCACTAACCTGACGGGCAGACGACGTTCGGAACTTGAAATACCACCTGTAGTATTCACGCGAGGAGCCCCGGACACCGCGGTGGGGAGGTGGTGTGTGTGTGTGTGTGTGTGTGAAAGGGGGGGGGGAGAATACAAGAAAATAATTTCAACAATCCCGTCACGTCTCCTCCTTTCTTTCTTCTCGCAACTTCCCCTTAGAACCAAAACACAAACAAGTTCTTCCGGCCGCGCGCCACGTCACGCGGCCCGTCGGGCCTCCGCCGATGATGCCTGATAATGCTTGTTTAGGATATACATTGCACAACTATATTTTGATGATGTTGCATTGTTGGACAGCCACATTAGATATAAATATGCCTTTGTTGTCGTTTATTAAAAGGAACAAAGCTGAGGTAGGACACACATAATGCGGTGTGTTTATCAAGATTAGGTAGGTGTTGATAAAATACACATGCTGCTGATGTTTACATCTGTAGTCCTTTTACATTAACATTTTAAAGGTTTGCATCAGGTCTCATGGTCCGATAAATTTATCTACAGAACATTTTGGGTCCTTGTAGTTCCCAGAAGGTTTTTCTTTTTCAAACACACCGCCGGACAAGTTGGCAAAGGTTTATCTAAAAGGTTCTTATAAAACCTAAGGAGCAAGTCAACACGTTCCGAATGGAAAGTAATATTTTTTAAAGCTTAAATGTGCTGTGCAATTCAGAATAGAATTCATACATTTATAATATATACAGTATATGATCATACACTATGAGTTACAATATGAACATACATTATATCAATATGCATACATATGTGTTTAATTATGTATGGATACATGTATTAACATACACAAAGAAAAGGGGAGAGGGATGTGATGTTTGAGCAGGACACAGAGAAAAGGGGAAGTGAAGAAAGCATTAAGTGACACAATCCCAATAATGTAGACTGCATAAAAAACGATCTAGAATCCGAAAAGACATATGATCAACAGATAAGCTCCTGCTTTGAATCAATCACCTGGGTGGAATTTGAATGCGTTTTGAGTGCATTTGAATGACAGCTGTCTGCGGTGACGGAAGAGAACTGTAGCACCGTGACCGGCCGGCAGGCGGCGGTGCAGCAAATCTCATCTCAGAGTTTAACCAGTCGAAGCTCCGCCCTGGTTCTTCTTCTCTTCCGGTTAAAGCCATATCAGCACGTTTTATTTTGTAATTATTTTGGATTATATATATATATATATATATAGTATACATTTATCCCCTTTTAGTGTTATGACGGGGATACAATAACACGTTGTTTGTCTAAAGGCTTTACCGTAAAGTTCTCAGAGGGGCCGCAGACGGAGCAGCGTGGAGTCATGGAGGAGGAGACGGCGGAGACACCCGAGGAGCAGCTGGCGAAGCAGCACCGCAAGGAAAAGAAAGATGCTCAAGGTATCCGCACACGGACTGTTTGCACGTCCTCTTGTCAGCTTCTTTCTTTTGGAATTCCGCACAATCCGGCCATCAACAAGCCAAGCAGTAGTTTGCAAAAACGCATATTCACGGGATGCACTTGACTCCATCGCATAGTTGTCATTGTTAGCTGTTTGCTAGTTCCTTCGTTACATTGCGTTTTACTGCTCACAATGAGTGTGATTTCAGGGGGGAAATTCCCAGTGAATGTCAAGAAAAGAGCGGATGCACACTGATCTATGTGCTCTTCTTGTCATTCTATGTTAGATAAATTAGTTTAATTCATCGAGAGAGTTGCAGGATCAGATGATTTCTGTGTCCTACTTCTTCTCACAAACAAGCTAATATGGTACATCAATGAAATCTGTGATTGCATTCTTCCTTTTAATCACACTGGAAATCCATTTTGTTTTACCCTTCTAATCAACAGCCTCAGACAGAGCTGTGTTCTATATTTAGTAGCCAGGTGTTATTTAGGACAATCTGCTCTTGTGCTTAATTTTCAGCTAAAATCCAGAGCATGAAAAATGCAATCCCCAAAACTGACAAGAAAAGGAGGAAACAGTTGACAGAGGAAATTGCAAAAATTGAGACGGACCTGAACCAGAAACATGACGAAGAATTGAGGCAACTCAAATCCACAACCAACACAGAGGTACCTGTCTGCATTCCAACCATCGTCAAATCTCACAGCTACGCAATTACATTTGACATCATGAAACACGGGTGCAATTTTCGATGCGACCCCTGTAATCAACAAGTATTTATATAAACCCATGAATTGTTCTTTAGGAGACGCATGTATTTATTTAAAGTGCACATAGTTGTACTTGGTCACTTAAACATAAACAAATGAACAACGAAATGTGATTTCTTTTTCACGTTTGTATCTGATTATGCCAACATAAGTGTCAATGTGCCACATAACTAAAGCTCTTTTCACTCTAATCTAAAAGGTAGAGGCGTTAAATGGAGTGGAGAGGATGAAGATAGCTGATGGCGATGAACAAGAGGAGGGGAAACAACCACGTGTAACCAAGGCCCAGAAAAGAAGGGTGAGGTAGTTCCCAACTCCAATAGAACTGTTTGAATTGGTCTTTGTTAATGCCCACAGCTTTATAACGGTGATTTAAAGTTCAGTGAAAGAATCACACTTCAACCTAATCATAATCCTTATTTACTAGAATTCACATTAACAAACACCAGTACTTATATAGTATGCCATTTATAAATGTAGTTATATTAACCATGTGTTTTGTTTTCCTTACCAGTTTTTGTTTGTCACGTTTTTTTCAATAGTAATATCATTTGTGTCCTTTGATGGATCTTCTCCAGGACAAGAAGGCTGCCGAGGAGAAGGAGAGGGAGAGCAGGATAGCAGAGGCCGAGGTACAAAACCTGCAGGGTGTGAGGCACCAGGAGGCTTTAAAGCTGGCCCAGAAACTCGCTCAGCGCCGGCTTCAGATCAAAGAGATCTCCTCTGATGGCCACTGCATGTATCGTGCCATTGAGGATCAGCTGGTAAAGCGTGCAGAGGTATCGTCATCTTGTTATAGGACTGTTGTAGCTGTAGTTTGAAAACCTAATCAAAATGTGAAACGCAACGTTGAATCCTCCGCAATGTCTCGGCTCCACACTGTCTGTTGTTCCATTGAGAATGGAGCAATCCATCTCTGACGGACTTTCAACAAAGTTCCTACATGTGTCAAGTCAAGACAAGTTCGTACACAGAGAACATATATGCTGTTTTATTCCAGCCCGGATCAATCACTAGTGTGGAAGAACTGCGGTCCAGCACTGCTGAGCGCATGAGAGGCAATGCGGACGACTTCCTCCCTTTCCTCACCAACCCAAACACCGGTGACATGTACACAACCGGTAAGGCGTTCACACGACAAAGTCTGTTATATGAAGCATTGCACAATGTGCACGCATAGTAATCATGCTGCTGTGTGTGTGTGTGTGTGTGTGTGTTGGTTTCCAGATGAGTTTGACAAATACTGCAGTGACGTGGAGCACACGGCAGCTTGGGGCGGACAACTTGAAGTGAGTTGTTGAAGTTTGTCACTGATGCACTGTGCTGTCACTCTTTGTGCTTTTCAATCATTTTCTTTTTCCTGGACCCCCCCCCCCCCGCTCCCCCTCCTCTACCCCGCTCCCTCCTACGACAGTTGCGAGCTTTGACCCAAGTGCTTCAGCTGCCAGTGGAAGTGATCCAGGCTGACTCCGCAACCATAAAAATCGGGGAGGAATTTGATAGAGAACCCATCACCCTTGTGTACGTTGCATTTACATGCATCATGTTTGTCAGGGATACAGGTTGCTTGAGATGAATTGTTAACAATGTATCCAGTCAAATTAGTGGTAGCATTACATGTACTTCACGTAGGAATGTACCCTCATGTAACCACATGAAAGAAATGGATTTATGACCTGACGCCAAAGAAGCAGACGATGGAGACTTGAATAACTAGAATCTAAGCACTGACCGTGTTAAATGCCACTTTTTGATAAACATTTTAGGATTTCTAAAGGTTTATCTCCGACCTCTTGACTGACAGAATCTATATTTCCCCATTGTTTGCAGCTACATGCGTCATGCATACGGACTAGGAGAGCACTACAATTCTGTGGAGGGGCTGAAGGAGCCGCTCAGCGCAGAGGAGAGCTGAGAGGCCGCTCCGTCGTGGTGACACATTAACCAATGTGTGTTCTAAGAGTCCTTCCATACAAACGTACTTGGAGAGGCCCCTCCATTGAATACAAGCTGGATTAATAGAGAATATTGCTGTTTTCTGAGTGGCTACAACACAGAATGGTGTGTGTAGAATTCAAAAGCTGTCAACGAGGAGTGTAATGAAATGCAGTATCAATGTGTCAATGATTTTATTTTATTAAGCCTACCTATGACATCAGGTGTCACTCTTTAATCTCGTTGCTGAACAGATGTTGATCATTTATGTCACCCCAAATGTCAACAGTCACTGAGGGTTTGTTGAATCCTTCAATGTTCTTGGAATAAACGCAATTGTGATGTTACATAAACACATACAATACTAATACGTTATGTCAATGCGGTATTTTTGGGGGTGAAGTATAAAAAGTTGTTGTAATCGGATTTTGTTATCAGACTGTTGAAGCTGCCTATTTGGTTCCTTTAACTTAACATGATCATATGGCATCAATTAATTCTTAGGTGTTTATCAACAATTATCGGTACATATCGAGTTATTTTATTATAAATGGATATGACATTTTACCACAGATGGTGTCTCTCTCTCTCTCAGGCCAATTCAAGTTGTCAGTTTAATGAAATTAGTTTAAAACAGTCATTTCTACCATGATTAAAAACAACACACAACACGGCCAACAGAAACTCATGACTTATATCATTGTATACTGTTTCTAATGTATCTATTAAATATATAAAGTATTTATTTATTTGACAAATGTAATTGCCAGTTATTTTTTCAATGCACTATACTGCAGTCATTTAAGAAATCTATTGTTTAATTGCATGTCTGAAGTGTTGTCATATTGTTTATGTATCCTTGCTAAATAAAGAAATTATATTATCACGGCTCTTTCTAGAAAGAAACCCTACAGAAACGTAAACCCTCATGCTGGTTGGTGCTGGGCCCGTACTGACCCATTACCGTAAAGTGTTGGGCTTCCCAGTTCTCAAAAACACAATGGAAGAAAAAGAAATCAAAGAAATACCAAACACTCAAATAATAATTTAACAGTAAATATATTAGTTTAGCATTCAGTGCTTGTCTTTGTAATCTAGATCTATGTATATATATATATATATATATATATATATATATATATATATATATATATACATACATGTTTCTACTTTTACTTAAGGAGACTGGGAAATGCTGTGTGCTGAGAACTGTACATTACTTTAGTCAGCAAACCAAAGCAGGTTGGAACATCCCGATGTGCTCAATTGTCACCACCAGAGGCCGCTGTTTCAAAAAAGCGTCTTGTTGCCATGGAAACCTGAATGTTACTGCTTCACTTAGACATGACGAAGTCCGTGATGAGAGCTTTATATGGCAAATCAACTTCCTTAAATTTGAGTTCGAGGAAAATAAAGGTCGTCCCTACTTGTATTTCCAGATTAACAAACCTGAAAATCCTCCTGTTGAACAACAACTCCATCAGCAGCCTGCCGGCGGAGCTGCTCGCGCTGCAACACGTGAGTCTTCTTTGTTTGTCTGCTCTCCTCAACATGTTCCTCCACCACTCTCCCAATGTTTTACACACAAAGCAGATTTGTGACTATATATCCTTCTCATTTTGCAATGCCTGCAAGCTTTCTGAGTTGAATTTGGGAAATAACGACTTCAATGACATTCCTGCTCCTCTGGGCCTCCTGGAGTCATTGACCAAGCTCTACCTGTACAGCAACCGGATTACAGCCGTGCCACCGGATGTCATACGTAGGTTCTGTTCTGACTCATTAGCACCTATAAGATTTGTTTAGGCAGAAGAACGCTTATAAGTATTGTGATATTTATATTTACAGGTGGTTTACAAAACCTTGTTGTGCTTAATCTGAACCACAACCAGATTCAAAGACTTCCACCAGAGATTAAAAGGTAGACCCGAGTATACAGTTACCTTTTGATTTGTAAACAAATGCATTCCATTTGTTTTGACTTTATTAACATAACTCCATGACATGTCTTACCAACATGTTACAATTGAATTGATTGTGACCTAAAAACGTTTAATCCCTGGTCTAAGCAATGCCACCAAAGGGTTTAAGTCTAACATGTATTATTGTCTTAAACACAAATGCAAACCTGTCTCCATCATCAGTTTGAGCCGGCTCCGACACCTGAGCGTGCTGGACAATAAGCTGGAGGAGGTCCCCGTTGAGTTGGGTCATCTCACCAGCTTGACCGAGATAAACTTGACTTCCAATAACCTGTCCTGGTTACCTCAGCAGCTGTACCAGTGTAAAGAACTAACCAAGTTACATGTAGCCAGAAACAAGCTTACCTGCCTACCGGAGGTGGGTATTGGCTGGTGTGACGTTCATTTATTTTAAACGTCATCTACATAAGCGAAACACTCACCCTCCACTTCACCCTCCAGGGAATCGGGGCTCTGGCCAAACTTCAAGTCCTGGACGTGGCCGGAAACAAGTTGTCCGTGTTCCCCGTTGAGGTGGGCTGCATTGGCTAAACGAGTGGCCCAATGCTTTAATGCTGAAATCGGAAAACTTTTTTGCAATCACCTCGTCCCCTGAATGACACAAATTCTTTTGTGTAGTTTCACCTGCTGGCCCTCGGGGAGCTTTACTACGAAGGCAACAGGTTTGTGCGCTGTGAGCCGATGGCCTCAGTGCGGGACGCACAGGTGCTCACGTTAAAGGTAAAGTGTCATCGAAGTAGGGAAGGTTAGTGACACTTTGAATGCTCTGCACCTCATCCTTGTAATTGCTTCACCTCTGTTGGCCAGGAACTGGCTGCCAGGTTTGTCTTGCGTGAGGACAGGTATCGGTCCTCCCGGGTGCACATGATGCTCCCCCACTACCCGACCCTGACCGCCCTGTTGGCCGATGGCAACTGTTGTGCGCTCTGCCTGGATCCCTTCCTCGCCACCTGGGTGGAGTGTGTGCGTTTTATCAGCCTAAAGAAGGTTGGTTGCATCACGGGATTGTGTGGAGGGATTTTCATAAAAATAGGATTCTCTGCCATATAGAAAGTTAAATGTGCGTCTTTTTCTTTTTCTTGATGTGTGTTTTGCAGGACATGAAAATGAGGAGTTCAAAGACAATTCCAGTGCGCGCTCTTCTTTGTTCATACAAGTGCCTTAATACGGATGGACACTCCTATTACGCCGTTGCAACAAGATAAATACAACTTAATTCAAATGTACTCTTTATGATCTCAATCACTGTCCCTCTCATTCCTTTACACTAAAACCGTGGACACAGATGTGTTAATGCACATATTTAATAACACACCTGGCAGCAGTGAGATGTGCTCAGGTGTGTTAATACGCTGCTATGATTTCCAGTGAAAGAGGATTTTTGTCCCTCTAACATCTCACAGGTGCCATTTGACTTTGCAGTCACTAGGTGGCATTCAAAGAACATCAAAAACTGTCGTCCATCAGGTCGGATCTTACCTTATTGCTTCACACAGGTTCAATTGGTGGAATATATTGTGGCTTTGTGCCAACTATCACTTTTCTATCCCAAAAATAAAATGATCGCTTCAACGCTTCTGTTTACTACTGCATACTATACTTTGACTAAAACCGTTGTACGTGAATGACAGGACTAATTACAGCTGTGATTTCCCCCCCTGGCTGGTCAGTGCAGGTATTTCATATATAAGATGCAACCCTGTAGGTACTTATACCATATTTGTTTATGTTCTGTTTTTCTGCTCCACATATCCGGAGCAAACTCCCAGAACGCTGCAGGTCTGCTGAGAATCTGAGCTGCTTCAAATTAGATTTGAAGACATTTCTGCTTTTGTTTCCTTTTATCAACAATCTTCAACTGTATACAGTATTTAATAAATAATAGTGTTTTTTTTATTAAACTGCACTGCAACCTTTATTCTACTTTGTATCATATTAGCTTGCGTTTTAAAGTTCCCATCAATGTTCTTAATTGTTTTTAGATTTACTTTTCTTGTATCTAATATTTTGATGCTTTTATTGTTTTCATGTGAGGCACTCTGAATTCCCGTTGTTGAAATGTGCTATACAAATAAACCTGCCACATCAACAATGAAAATGTTAAGCTTTACCAACCAATATAGATATATCAACGAGTGGAGGCTAACAAGCGGAAACACCATGTTGTTTATTGCAATACGGTTTATACAGCCCCATAAACGGCATCCTTTAAAATATCATAAAAGTTAAATTAACTTTGACAGCTTTGCCAAAAACCAAACACTATATATTACAGAGGTTGCATTGCAGGTCTGTTATAGTGGACGTTTAGGTGTTTCGGTGTTTCCTAGACGATGAAAGTCTAGAAATACCTGGATCACGACTCTACGAGATATAAACCTCTCTACACAGGCATCGCCTAGATCCTATTCGCTTGTCAGGGACGATCAAGCTGTACTGAGACTCCAAAGCTGTCCCCTCTCTATCTCCATCTCCAGCCAGTGGCATCTGTTCCAACCTGCCAGACAAGAGAGAGAGAGAGAGAGAGAGAGAGAGAGAGAGAGAACTTCAATGCTGGCAAATTAATTTCCCATCCACGCCTCCAGAGCTTGCTAGCTCGTTCAATGGCTGCTGCGGCCGCTGCTGCATGTGTCTACTGAGTCGGAGCCTCATGCATAAGGCATCAGGTTTAATTGCAAACCCAGAAACTAATGACTTTGGACTGGTTAACAGCAGGGGAGCCATACATCTCGAGCAAACTGAATGAAAAATCAGCTCGGAGGAGAGAAAAAAAGAAGCCTAGCCCCTAATTGATGAATAATTGAAGCGGCGAGCTACAGGGCATAATTGTGACATTTTGTTTCAATCAATTTCCAAGTGGTGTGGGCGAAAGTGCACTTAAAAGGGAAAAGTCAATGACAATGAAGAAAGAAAGGGAGAGATAGAGCTAGCGGTTGGGGATGGAAATGGACATTGGGTCTTCAGTCATTACGGTGACATTTTCTAGGGAGAAAGACCAGACTCTTTAAAAACAAAATTACTTTTCTCTCTTTTTACAAATCACTTCGTAGGCTTTATTTCAAACTACTGCCAAAGTTAAATCACTTTTTGTCTGCCAGACAATTAATCCATATCCTTTTAAAAGCATTTCTTTTGTTCATTTTTTTCCAAGAAGTTGATTTCAGAGCCACTGTCCATTTACGGCACAGAACAACTAAAATGAGGCGTATTTGTGTTGTCAGTAAAGGCTGAATTCAATTTCCAGTCGGCTTTGTAAATTGACTGTCGTGGTGAGTATGAGGGCATTGAGCTGAACACCACCCCACTTTGTCTTGGCCTTGATGGCGCTCAGCAGACAAAGCCTTATGGTCCTAATGGCGGACAGAGACAAGCAGTCAGAGCCGCTGACATCTGACCCATGATGCACTGAATGGACCATCGGCTTTATCTAGAATAACTGACTGTACTAATACATGTACATGTGCAGCACATCAATGGTTCACCCAGAAAATGAAATCATGACCTCATTAAAATAAACGATGATTTGACAACAGACCAGGTGATCAACGTACACCTCTCGATAATAAGAAATACACCAGAAAGCCTTTATTCCTTTTCTTGCAGTTGGATAAGAATACTAAAAAGGATTAAGCCGCGCTCTATTAAGACGACTAGCGCTCTAATGCTCCTGTGGCATTTTGCAGGCTTAGGTTATAGGTTTATTATTCAATGAAACTTGCATTCAACATTCTTCTCTTACATTTGCCCTGAATAATTACACTGGGTACCATTATATTGCCAATTAAGTCCCACTGTTTTGCACTTCACAGGAACATTTTGCCTGGTTACATCACCACCAACTTTGCTCCTCTGCCTCCGGCACTGGAAGAGAACTGTATGTTCACACATCTACGTTCAAACTTTTTAAAGATGTAATTACCAAGGCTAAGAATACGCAGACACTGTTTAGTTATGGGGGGAAATTTGAGAATAAATTACTTATAATTTCACTTAATATACTTACATAATGACCTAAAAAATTCTAATTGTTTTTCAAGAGGTGTATGTGAACGTGCCTGATAAATAGGTCATTCCATTCCGCTGGAACCATATTAATAGGTCAAAGGCCGACAGTACGTGCCTTCTCGAGGGCAGCAGATGTCGGGGGCCTCATGCGGTGGAGGTGGCTCGGTGCCTCGGTGTCCTCGGGACTCTGTTGGTCGGTCTGGTGAGCGGTGTCAAGCCTTATGCATGTATTCACACACGCACACACAGGCCTCTTGAACCCAGCGCGGAACAATCAAATACAAACCAGTCCCCCCCACCCGGCACTGATGGAGCATCATCAAGATAATTCTGCCCCCATCCCTTTGTTTTCATCTTGTCACTTTATCCCATATTCAGAGGGCCCTGTGTTTTCTGTACAGAATGTTTCTAGGAAACCGCGCACAGCTTGATTGACGTCTATGGAAATGAGGAAGTTACATCCTCAAAGGAGACACCATACGGATGGGAGCAGCACACTGACGAGAGGCGTCTACAAAAGGCGATTGTAGATTCCTGACATGCCTGGTATATGTTAATGAGCCATTCTCTCGCTCTGATATAATTACTGCGAGGGGATATTGCCTTTGGTGGAAATATCTGTCTTGCATGCCACGGCCACCACATGGGGGGTGAAGAAAAAGTAAAGAATGACAAAGTAGTGGGCGCATGAATTCTCATTTACCATGCTTGGAGGTAAAGGAGAGTGACGTTGGCAAATTCACTCAGGATGATGTATTGGGAGAGAAGACACGGTAGGTTCATCACATAGCTTCTTTGTTAAATCGCTTTCTGCAGTCTTGTATAGTTTGTTAGAGGATATTTAGTCTGTCTTGTCATTTGGACCACTTACTCAGGACGTCTCCAGAGGCTGCTTGAGCTCAAATAGCTTCTTAGACGAAGAAAGGCATGTGATATGTTCGTTAAAAACCAAACGCGTGATGCTGCAAGATCACAGGATGCTGGATGGAAGCTCTGTGTTTGCTGCTGCAGGTCAAGTGCAGCCTGGTCTCTGCAATCACGTTTATCTAATGTTCTATCTGTATCATTAAGTCGCAGTACTACGGGTTGCGGCTTAATATATGATACGCGGGGTTATCTGTGTATCTGCCAATGAATCAATACATTTACACTAAGAGACATAAACCACTCTGTGCAACTCGTCCCAGTGACTAACACGTCCCAGCATGTCAATTCCCTCTGCAGCGCCGTAGAAGGTTTAGTCCTTTCCAGAGCTCCAACATAGTCATGATTGCCGTCTTTCTCTCAGAAAATAATGGTTTGACACCAGCTCACCCTGATTTCTCCTCTTCTGTCCTCGGGGCAACCGCGGAGGTGCTATTAAAATGAGTAGCATTGATTGCTGAATTAGGGGGCTTGTGACCGAAGAGAGAGAAAAACAGCCATTCGATAGCGAGCGGTAGGCCGGTGTCATAGCCGGGAGTGCACACCACTCCAATCAGTGGGATCTATTGTCGTGCATCGCTGGCCATGACACATCTTGGTATCGAGCCACTGGCAGAGTACCAGGGTATTGTCTGGCTTGATGGCTGCACAATCAATACTGTTGTGTTACCAGTGCCTGTGGGCAGTAGGGGGCACTATGATTCTCTGCTGGCTCCGATAAGGAGAGCGATGCACTGATGCACAGCAAACCGAGGTATGCCTGATGAATCAAAAGAGATAAAACAGCTAATAAAAGCAGGGACAATGGGCTTTATTGGAATTGGTAAGCTTAATTGAAGTCTCAGCCCGTGCAACAAAGACACCATCAAACCAAAGACCCATGTGAGACTATTGAATCTAAAAAAAGTTCAACCAAATGTGAGAAAAGGTGTTTGCTCACACTCATTGATGCATATCAACAGAAAAATAGACAACAAAGACACCAGATGTACAAGACAACAATGATGCTATTTATTCATCCAAATCAACACAAATGAACAACAGGGCATCCTTGATTTGTAATAAAAGGTGTGTGTGTGTGTGTGTGGGGGGGGTGATCTACCAGAGATCTGCCTCTGAAGAGCGGTGGACCGTGAAGAGATGCTACGAAACAAAGCCACCCAGATGTGCCAGTCTAATAACCTGGCTTCCTTCTAGTCGTGTTATTCTTTCTGCACAATGCAATATAATACATAAAAAAAGACCTGCATTCTAAGAGAGTAAACTGTCTGTCCTTGGAGGTCACGACGGAGCGACGCCATTACTGAGCTTTTCCTCATTAGGGGAGTTTTGAGACCAGAGGGCGGCCGTCAGGCCAGCAACCTCCCTCTGCTAGTTCTGGGTCAGCGCGCACCGCACTGATAAAGCAGCACGCTGCATTTGGTGAGGAAATAAGACGAAAACACTGCTGGGAACTTCAAAAGCAAAAATAAATCTTTAATCTTTGAATGCCTTTGAATCGCCTCGATAGTTTCCACGGGTTTGGTAATGATGGAGAAAGCAGAGACGGGTGAAGAATCTGTTTGGGAGAACGTCTTTATTTATCAGGGGAACGTAACTGAAGGGAAAATCAAGTTGAAAGAGGTAGATGCTGAGTTACATCTCTTGATGTTACCTCTGATAGTTCACTCAGTTGGTGGTATTTTATGATGCATGTTTTAATGCTGTATTTCTTTATTGAATGATATTCCTTCACATTACACCCAGGTTGTGATAACTCTCCTTACAATGTAGAGAAATGCAAATCCTCTCATGAATGTGGGTTTTTCCTCACTATCTTATTAAAATCATCATTCAAAACAACTTGGCATATGAATTCCGCCTGTCAGACACACAGGGGCAGACCCGCTGAGTCGACCCCGCCAGGTCTTTCGTTTCCGGCTCCGCTCTACTCCATCATCAACATGATTGACGGCGCACAATCTGAAAACCCAGTTTGAGGTCAAGTGATGGCCACTGGAGCATGGCCGGTGTAGCGGCGCAGCAGGCGGGTGGGACACCAGGTAGTAGCATCTGGTCTCCGGGTTTTTCTAGAACACACACTGCCTGTGGCGCTGC